GTACGTTTGCCCACTGACAAAGAAATGATCAGTCTATAATTTTAATCGTAGGTTTATTTGAACAGTGAGAGACAGAATAACAACAAAAAAATCAAGACAAACGCATGTCAAGAATGTAATAAATTGATTTGCATTTTAATGAGGGAAATAAGTATTTGACCCCTCTCAATCAGAAAGATTTCTAGCTCCCAGGTGTCTTTTATACAGGTAACGAGCTGAGATTAGGAGCACACTCTTAAAGGGAGTGCTCCTAATCTCAGCTTGTTACCTGTATAAAAGACACCTGTCCACAGAAGCAATCAATCAATCAGATTCCAAACTCTCCACCATGGTCAAGACCAAAGTGCTCTCCAAGGATGTCAGGGACAAGATTGTAGACCTACACAAGGCTGGAATGGGCTACAAGACCATCGCCAAGCAGCTTGGTGAGAAGGTGACAACAGTTGGTGCGATTATTCGCAAATGGAAGAAACACTAAAGAACTGTCAATCTCCCTTGGCCTCCATGCAAGATCTCACCTCGTGGAGTTGCAATGATCATGAGAACGGTGAGGAATCAGCCCAGAACTACACGGGAGGATCTTGTCAATGATCTCAAGGCAGCTGGGACCATAGTCACCAAGAAAACAATTGGTAACACACTACGCCGCGAAGGACTGAAATCCTGCAGCGCCCGCAAGTTCCCCCTGCTCAAGAAAGCACATATACATGCCCGTCTGAAGTTTGCCAATGAATATCTGAATGATTCAGAGGAGCACTGGGTGAAAGTGTTGTAGTCAGATGAGACCAAAATGGAGCTCTTTGGCATCAACTCAACTCGCCGTGTTTGGAGGAGGAGAAATGCTGCCTATGACCCCAAGAACACCATCCCCACCGTCAAACATGGAGGTGGAAACATTATGCTTTGGGGGTGTTTTTCCTGCTAAGGGGACAGGACAACTTCACCGCATCAAAGGGACGATGGACGGGGCCATGTACCGTCAAATCTTGGGTGAGAACCTCCTTCCCTCAGCCAGGGCATTGAAAATGGGTCGTGGATGGGTATTCCAGCATGACAATTACCCAAAACACACGGCCAAGGCAACAAAGGAGTGGCTCAAGAAGATGCACATTAAGGTCGTGGGGTGGCCTAGCCAGTCTCCAGACCTTAATCCCATAGAAAATCTGTGGAGGGAGCTGAAGGTTCGAGTTGCCAAACGTCAGCCTCGAAACCTTAATGACTTGGAGAAGATCTGCAAAGAGGAGTGGAACAAAATCCCTCCTGAGATGTGTGCAAACCTGGTGGCCAACTACAAGAAATGTCTGACCTCTGTGATTGCCAACAAGGGTTTTGCCACCAAGTACTAAGTCATTTTTTGCAGAGGGGTCAAATATTACATTTTTGACATGCGTTTTTCTGGATTTCTTTGTTGTTATTCTGTCTCTCACTGTTCAAATAAACCTACCATTAAAATTATAGACTGATCATGTCTTTGTCAGTGGGCAAACGTACAAAATCAGCAGGGGATCAAATACTTTTTTCCCTCACTGTATGTGCCAATCCCCCCCAACGGTTATGTGGTCTAAGGCACTGCATCGCAGTGCTAACTGTGCCACTAGAGATCCTGGTTCGAATCCAGGCTCTGTCGCAGCCGGCCGCGACCGGGAGACTCATGGGCGGCGCACAATTGGCCCAGCGTCGTCCAGGGTAGGGGAGGGAATGGCCGGCAGGGATGTAGCTCAGTTGATAGAGCATGGTGTTTGCAACGCCAGGGTTGTGGGTTCGATTCCCACGGGGGGCCAGTATAAAAAAATATGTATTCACTAACTGTAAGTCGCTCTGGATAAGAGCGTCTGCTAAATGACTAAAATGTAAATGTAAATGTAAAATGTTATGTCAGTGACCAGTGGCGGACTGGCCAATTACCGTAACCTAAAATTCCAAGACCATCACAGCGCTACAGAGGGGTCACACACCCCTTTGAAGTCTATCACCCCTTTTACATTTAAACACTTGCCCCCCAATCCCCCCTTCTTTGATACATGTATAAATATTTTTACAAGAAATTGTGCCTTCCTGTATTATGCTTATTCTATTGTACTGAGCCATTTACTTTATATTCATATGCTGATCTTTTATTATTTCTTATTGTTGTTGCATTGTTGAGAAGGAACCTGCAAGTAAGCATTTCGTTGGATGGTGTATACCATGTGTATCCTGTACATATGACTAATACAAATTGAAAATTGAAAAGAGATCACTATTTTGGGAATGTTGTAACAGAAGACTGCTCACAGACAGTCCGGGAATAACAAACCTTACCCAACATCACACTGGCAAGAGGCACTATTTGACCTGGTAAACACAGCAGGGTATGACTAAAAACTCACATACCTAAGTGGACAAATATGTAAAGAAATCTGAAACCTCTCTACATCTGATTGGTTCCCAACTTCCCATACATGGCAATAGAGGGCATCTGGATTTAGACAACTGGTTTTCTTTGAGCAACTCAGACCAGTCTCTGTTACAGCATTAGATGAGACAAGTCTAGTGATAGCAATTAGTGAACACATGTTTCTGCCCTGTTGAACTCTAGCTCTTAGTAGTGCTTAAGTGGTGAAGGCGGTATACTGTCAGGATGATCTGACACTGGTGTTATATGGAGAGATTAATCCTCTTATAAACATCAAGCTGTACTGTAACAGCAGACTTGTCATCTCATCTGAAATCTGTGATCTGTAGATAACCTGGAGTTACCTACAGTTGAAGTCAGAAGTTTACATACACTTTTGTTGGAGTGTCATTAGAACTTGTTTTTCAACCACTCCACAAATTTCTTGTTAACAAACTATAGTTTTGGCAAGTCGGTTAGGACATCTACTTTGTGCATGACACAAGTCATTTTTCCAACAATTGTTTACAGACAGATTATTTCACTTATAATTCACTGTATCACAATTCCAGTGGGTCAGAAGTTTACATACACTAAGTTGACTGTGCCTTTAAACAGCTTGGAAAATTCCAGATAATGATGTCATGGCTTTAGAAGCTTCTGATTGGCTAATTGACATAATTTGAGTCAATTGGAGGTGTACCTGTGGATGTATTTCAAGGCCTACCTTCAAACTCAGTGCCTCTTTGCTTGACATCATGGGAAAATCAAAAGAAATCAGCCAAGACCTCAGAAAAAAACATTGTAGACCTCCACAAGTCTGGTTCATCCTTGGGAGCAATTTCCAAATGCCTGAAGGTACCATGTTCATCTGTACAAACAATAGTATGCAAGTATAAACACCATGGGACCACGAAGCCGTCATACCGCTCAGGAAGGAGACGCGTTCTGTCTCCTAGAGATGAACGTACTTTGGTGCAAAAGGTGCAAATCAATCACAGAAGCCAATGCTACCAAATACTATTTGAGTGTATGTAAACTTCTGACCCACTTGGAATGTGATGAAATAAATAAAAGCTGAAATAAATCATTCTCTCTACTATTATTCTGACATTTCATATTCTTAAACTAAAGTTGTGATCCTAACTGACCACCAGGAATTGTGAAAAACTGAGTTTAAATGTATTTGGCTAAGGTGTATGTAAACTTCAGACTTCAACCGAATATAGTCTGGAGAAGAAAGGCCCCTTTAAGGCTCCTATATATGTAAAATATTACATTTTGTACACTGCAGGAACATAAAAAAGTACATTGTTAAATCAAATATCAAAACGACATTTCCGGGATGTACAGTGCCTTCAGAAAGTATTCATACCCCTTGACTTATTCTATATTTTGTTGTGTTACAGCCTGAATTCAAAATTGATCTCTCAGCCATCTACACACAATACCCCATAATGACAAAGTGAATTTCTTTTTTAGAAATGTTTCACATTTACTGAAAATGAAATACAGAAATCTAATTTATATAAGTATTCACACCCCTGAGTCAATACATGTTAGAATCACTTTTGGCAGCGATTACAGCTGTGACTCTTTCTGGGTAAGTTTCTAAGAGCTTTGCACACCTGGATTGTACAATATTTGCACATTATTATTTTTTAAATTCTTCGAGCTCTGTCAAGTTGGTTGTTGATCATTGCTAGACAGACATTTTCAAGTCTTGCCATAGATTTCTAAGCCGATTTAAATCAAATCTGTAACTAGGCCACTCAGGAACATTCAATGTCGTCTTGGTAAGCAACTTCAGTATTTGGCTTTGTGTTTTAGGTTATTGTCCTGATGAAAGGTGAATTCTGTACAGGCTTCCTTCTTTTCACTCTGTCATTTAGGTTAGTATTGTGGAGTACCAAAAATGTTGTTGATCCATCCTCAGTTCTCTCCTATCACAGCCATTAATCTCTAACTGTTTTAAAGACACGATTGGCCTCATGGTGAAATCCAAGTGCGGTTTCCTTCCTCTCCGGCAACCAAAGTGTAATTAACTTCACCATGCTCAAAGGGACATTCTTATTTTTACCCATCTACTAATAGGTGCCCTCTTTGGTCTTTGTGGTTGAATCTGTGTTTGAAATTCACTGCTCGACTAAGGGACCTTAGAGATAATTGTACGTGTGGAGTACAGAGATGAGGTAGTCATTCAAACACAGATTCAACCACATGTTAAACACTATTACTGCACAGAGTCCATGCAACTTATTATGTGACTTGTTGAGCACATTTTTACTCCTGAACTTATTTAGGCTTGCCATAAAAAAGTGGTTGAATACTTATTGATTCAAGACATTTCAGCTTTTCATTTGTAATTAATTTGTAAAATTTTCAAAAAACATAATTCCACTTTGACATTATGTGGTATTGTGTGTATGCCAATGACACAAAATCTCAATTTAATCAATTTTACATTCAGGCTGTAACACAACAAAATGTGGAAAAGGTCAAGGGGTGTGAATACTTTCTGAAGGCACTAAATTTACTCACAAAAATGCTTTTATACTGCATAGATTTGTGGTGTGATTGAACAGTTGTGTTCACTGCTTACTGCTGACAGTGCTTGGTTTATAAATTAATTTATCCCTTGCTGTTGTAGTGCTATCTGAGCCGTGCTGGTGAAGGACCTTGTAACCTGCAGTTTGTACATAGCAGGGGCCACAGCAGGGGCCAGGGGAAAGTAGAGCAGCGAGGTCAGCCCTGATAGATACTGTAGAGGGGCTGGGAGGCTGCTATAGTGTCTCTCACTATTTTGGGTATGCAGCGTAACGAGACACGGCTCTGCCAGAGATTTGGGAATAGCCAGTGTTATTCCAGTCGGCTAGGCTATCTACGGCCAGCTAGTTGAGGGAAGGAAAAAGTCAAGCCGTAAAATGCAGCAGCTCATCACATGCAATTTCCTGGTAATTACATCTCTGATACGGTGGGTGTTTCAGGATAGACAGAGAGGGTAGAGTACGATACAGACATTCAGTAGGGCTGTGACGATTATGGAATTTTGGGTTACGATTAATTGTCATGGAAATGACCACATTTATTGTCATAGCTAATTGATATTTTTGTTGAAAACATTTTATCATAATGCATCTTTGAAAAGTATCTACGACGTACATAATGAATACACCACAGCCTTGGTGACACCCTCGTCTCAAAAACTAAATGGTTTTGACCACTTGGACCTTTTGGAAATGAAGATTCTCCTGACCGTGCCGTTCTGTTCATAAAATGATTACCAATATTACCATCATGTTAAAATTAAAAACTGCAATTTTAAACTATATCTACTTGAAAATAAAGTTGAATCCCACCCCTCCTAAAATGTATTAAGTAATTAGCCTTGCACGAGCCGGAACGGCTCATAGGGCAGGAGCCTATCTCCTGTTTCTGTAGTGTGAGGCAGCTTGATGTACATGTACACCCCCTGGCCTATGTATTAAGACAATTATTAATTTTTAGTTCATGATTATTGCCCATAATTTTCGATTATACGATTATTGTGCCAGCCATAACAGTCAGTTCAGTGAGGGAGTGAGCCAGATCAAGATACAGACCGTCAGACCATGGCTCTGGCGTCAGACCAAGGCTCTGCGTCTGTCCTCGTGCCTAGTGCCGTTTTCGACACCATCGTTCACCACATTCTTTTGGAGAGATTGAAAACCCTAAATCGGTCTACGCGGACAAGTTCCTGCCTGGTTTAGATCTTATCTATCAAAAAGATATCAGTTCGTCTCTCAATGGTAAGTTGTGGTGTTCTTCAAGGATCCATTCCTGGACCACTATTGTTTTCACTATATATGCTACCTCTTGGTGATGTCATTCGGAAACACAATGTCAACTTTCACTGCTATAAAGACGACACACAGTTGTACATTTCGATGTGATGGTGAAGCCATAAAATTGCCTATCCTGGAAGCTTGTGTTTCAGACATAAGGAAATGGATGGTGGCAAATGTTCTATTTTTAAACTTGGACAAAACAGAGATGCTAGTTCTAGGTCCCAAGAAACAAAGAGCTCTACAGTCGGATCTGACAGTGAATCTCGATGGTTGTACAGTCGTCTCAAATAAAACTGTGAAGGACCTCGGAGTTACTCTAGACCCTGATCTCTCTTTTGACTAATATATTTTTGTTTTTAATCAATAGCAGCTTTTTTTACATCTTCGTAACATTGCAACAATCAAGAAACTTTTTGTCAAAAGATTATGCAGAAAAGCTAATCCAATCTTTTGTCACTTCAAGATTAGACTATTGAAATGCTCTACTCTCCGGCTACCTGGATAAGGAACTAAATAAACTTCAGCTAGTGCTAAAGTTTGGCCACTAGAATCTTGACTAGAACCCCCCAAAAAATGCCATATTACTCCAGTGCTAGCCCTGTTAAGACTAGAGCTGATTTCAAGATTTTACTGCTAACCTACAAAGCATTACATGGACTTGCTCCTAACGATCTCTCCGACTTGGTCCTGCCATACATACCTTAACGTATGCTATGGTCACAAGACGCAGGCCTCCTTATTGTTCCTAGAATTTCTAAGCAAACAGGTCGAGGCAGGGCTTTCTCCTATAGAGCTAAATTTTTATGGAATGGTCTGCCTATCCATGTGAGAGACGCAGACTCGGTCTCAACCTTTAAGTCTTTAATGAAGACTCATCTCTTCAGTAGGTCCTATGATTGAGTTTTCCTAGCCACCGTGCTTCTACATCTGCATTTCTTGCTCTTTGGGGTTTTAGGCTGGTTTTCTGTATAAGCACTTTGTGACAACTGCTGATGTAAAAAGGGCTTTATAACCATATTTGATTGATGAAATTTGATTGATCAGTCAGTATCGTAAAAGTCAGTAGTAGGAGGTATTGCAGTAACAGTTGAACCAGACCAAGACACAGACAGACAGTAACAGACTCAGTCAGTGTAAAGTACAGTAAGGGAGTGAACCAGCCAGCCAGATAAACGGACTATAGTGGCTGCAGCCAGAATGTGGAGGGGGGATAACACTAAACAGGGATTACAGACAAATCCAGAGAAACAGTGCAGCTACTGTATGTGGTGACAGGCCTGCTCTGCCCTGTCTCTGACACCATTAATAAGGATCGGACCCTTTTTTAAAATTTTCTCCTAAAATGACATACCCAAATCTAACTGCCTGTAGCTCAGGACCTGAAGCAAGGATATGCATATTCTTCAAATCAAATCAAATCAAATTTTATTGGCCACATGCGCCGAATACAACAGGTGCAGACATTACAGTGAAATGCTTACTTACAGCCCTTAACCAACAGTGCATTTATTTTAAACAAAAAAGTAAGAATAAAACAACAACAAAAAAGTGTTGAGAAAAAAAGAGCAGAAGTAAAATAAAGTGACAGTAGGGAGGCTATATATACAGTAAAATAAAGTGACAGTAGGGAGGCTATATATACAGGGGGGTACCGTTGCATAGTCAATGTGCGGGGGCACCGGCTAGTTGAGGTAGTTGAGGTAATATGTACATGTGGGTAGAGTTAAAGTGACTATGCATAAATACTTAACAGAGTAGCAGCAGCGTAAAAAGGATGGGGTGGGGGGGCAGTGCAAATAGTCCGGGTAGCCATGATTAGCTGTTCAGGAGTCTTATGGCTTGGGGGTAGAAGCTGTTGAGAAGTCTTTTGGACCTAGACTTGGCACTCCGGTACCGCTTGCCGTGCGGTAGCAGAGAGAACAGTCTATGACTAGGGTGGCTGGAGTCTTTGACAATTTTGAGGGCCTTCCTCTGACACCGCCTGGTATAGAGGTCCTGGATGGCAGGGAGCTTTGCCCCAGTGATGTACTGGGCCGTACGCACTACCCTCTGTAGTGCCTTGCGGTCAGAGGCCAAGCAGTTGCCATACCAGGCGGTGATGCAACCAGTCAGGATGCTCTCGATGGTGCAGCTGTAGAATTTTTTTAGGATCTGAGGACCCATGCCAAATCTTTTTAGTCTCCTGAGGGGGAATAGGCTTTGTCGTGCCCTCTTCACGACTGTCTTGGTGTGTTTGGACCATGATAGTTCGTTGGTGATGTGGACACCAAGGAACTTGAAGCTCTCAACCTGTTCCACTACAGCCCCGTCGATGAGAATGGGGGCGTGCTCAGTCCTCTTTTTTTTCCTGTAGTCCACAATCATCTCCTTTGTCTTGGTCACGTTGAGGGAGAGGTTGTTGTCCTGGCACCACACGGCCAGATCTCTGACCTCCTCCCTATAGGCTGTCTCATCGTTGTCGGTGATCAGGCCTACCACTGTTGTGTCGTCGGCAAACTTAATGATGGTGTTGGAGTCGTGCCTGGCCATGCAGTCATGGGTGAACAGAGAGTACAGGAGGGGACTGAGCACGCACCCCTGAGGGGCCCCCGTGTTGAGGATCAGTGTGGCAGATGTGTTGTTACCTACCCTTACCACCTGGGGGCGGCCCGTCAGGAAGTCCAGGATCCAGTTGCAGAGGGAGGTGTTTAGTCCCAGGATCCTTAGCTTAGTGATGAGCTTAGAGGGCACTATGGTGTTGAATGCTGAGCTGTAGTCAATGAATAGCATTCTCACGTAGGTGTTCCTCTTGTCCAGGTGGGAAAGGGCAGTGTGGAGTGCGATAGAGATTGCATCATCTGTGGATCTGTTGGGGCGGTATGCAAATTGGAGTGGGTCTAGGGTTTCTGGGATTATGCTGTTGATGTGAGCCATGACCAGTCTTTCAAAGCACTTCATGGCTACAGACGTCAGTGCTACGGGTCGGTAGTCATTTAGGCAGGTTATCTTAGAGTTCTTGGGCACGGGGACTATGGTGGTCTGCTTGAAACATGTTGGTATTACAGACTCAGTCAGGGACATGTTGAAAATGTCAGTGAAGACACTTGCCAGTTGGTCAGCACATCAATCAATCAATCAATTTTATTTTATATAGCCCTTCGTACATCAGCTGATATCTCGAAGTGCTGTACAGAAACCCAGCCTAAAACCCCAAACAGCTAGTAATGTCAAATAATAATCAGGAATAAATCTCAGTTGGCTTTTCATAGCCGATCATTAAGAGTTGAAAACAGCAGGTCTGGGACAGGTAGGGGTTCCATAACCGCAGGCAGAACAGTTGAAACTGGAATAGCAGCAAGGCCAGGCGGACTGGGGACAGCAAGGAGTCACCACATGCTCGGAGTACACGTCCTGGTAATCCGTCTGGCCCTGCGGCCTTGTGAATGTTGACCTGCTTAAAAGTCTTACTCACATCGGCTACGGAGAGCGTGATCACATAGTCGTCCGGAACAGCTGGTGCTCTCATGCATGCTTCAGTGTTGCTTGCCTCGAAGCGAGCATAGAAGTGGTTTAGCTCGTCTGGTAGGCTTGTGTCACTGGGCAGCTCGCGGCTGTGCTTCCCTTTGTAGTCTGTAATAGTTTTCAAGCCCTGCCACATCCGACGAGCGTCAGAGCCAGTGTAGTATGATTCAATCTTAGACCTGTATTGACTCTTTGCCTGTTTGATGGTTCGTCGGAGGTCATAGCGGGATTTCTTATAAGCGTCCGGGTTAGAGTCCCGTTCCTTGAAAGCGGCAGCTCTACCCTTTAGCTCAGTGCGGATGTTTCCTGTAATCCATGGCTTCTGGTTGGGGTATGTACGTACGGTCACTGTGGGGACGACATCATCGATGCACTTATTGATGAAGCCAGTGACTGATGTGGTGTACTCCTCAATGCTGTCTGAAGAATCCCGGAACATGTTCCAGTCTGTGCTAGCAAAACAGTCCTGTAGCTTAGCATCTGCGTCATCTGACCACTTTTTTATTAGCCGAATCACTGGTGCTTCCTGCTTCAGTTTTTGCTTATAAGCAGGAATCAGGAGGATAGAGTTATGGTCAGATTTGCCAAATGGAGGGCGAGGGAGAGCTTTGTATGCGTCTCTGTGTGTGGAGTAAAGGTGGTCTAGAGTTTTTTCCCCTCTGGTTGCACATTTAACATGCTGGTAGAAATGAGGTAGAACGGATTTAAGTTTCCCTGCATTAAAGTCCCCGGCTACTAGGAGCGCTGCATCTGGATGAGCGTTTTCCTGTTGATTAATGGCCTTGTACAACTCATTCAGTGCAATCTTAATGCCAGCATTGGTTTGTGGTGGTAAATAGACAGCTATGAAAAATATAGATGAAAACTCTCTTGGTAAATAGTGTGGTCTACAGCTTATCATAAGATACTCTACCTCAGGCGAGCAAAACCTCGAGACTTCCTTAGTATTTGATTTTGTACACCAGCTGTTGTTTACAAATATACACAGACCGCCGCCCCTTGTCTTACCAGAGTTAGACGTTCTGTCCTGCCGATGTAGCGTATAGCCTGCTAGCTGAATGTTGTCATTGTTGTCGTTCAGCCACGACTCCGTGAAACATAAGATATTACAGTTTTTAATGTCCCGTTGGTAGGATAACCGTAATCTTAAATCGTCAATTTTATTCTCAAAAGATTGAACGTTGGCTAATAGGATTGATGGGAGAGGCAGTTTACTCGTTCGCCGTCGGATCCTTACAAGGCACCCGGATCTGCGTCCACGATATCTCCGTCTCTTCCTCACGCGAATGACGGGGATCTGGGCCTTGTTGGGTGTCTGTAGAATATCCTTCGCGAACGCCTCGTTGAAGAAAAAGTCTTCGTCCAATACCAGGTGAGTAATCGCTGTCCTGATATCCAGAAGCTCTCTTTGGTTATAAGAGACGATGGCAGAAACATTATGTACAAAATAAATTACAAATAACGCGGAAAAACACACATAATAGTACAATTGGTTAGAGGGCTGTAAAACGGCAGCCATCTTCTTCCACTTTGAAGTTTGTGGAAATTTGAAATTAATGTAGGAGAATATAACACATTAGATCTGGTAAAAGATAATACAAACAAAAAAATGTGTTTTCTATTATTTTTTTGTTCCATCATCTTTGAAATGCAAGAGAAAGGCCACAATATAATATTGCAGTTTAGGCGCAATTTTGGCCACTAGGTGGCAGAAGTGTGTGTGCAAAGTTTCAGATTGATCCAGTGAAGCATTGCAATACTGGACTATTTTATATCAAGTCTGCCCAAATGTGTCGAATTGGTCAATTGATACATTTTCAAGTACATAACTATAGAGAACATACAAAAATGATATGGTAATACATGTTTACACACTCCCAGGAATGTCATACATGTTGGATCATTAGCTTACAGTGGGGAAAAAAGTATTTAGTCAGCCACCAATTGTGCAAGTTCTCCCACTTAAAAAGATAAGAGAGGCCTGTAATTTTCATCATAGGTACACGTCAACTATGACAGACAAATTGAGAAAAATAAATCCAGAAAATCACATTGTAGGATTTTTTATGAATTTATTTGCAAATGATGGTGGAAAATAAGTATTTGGTCACCTACAAACCAGCAAGATTTCTGGAAAATTGAAGGAAAATTATGAAACACAGATATCTGACTCGGATCAGGCTCTAAATTGTTTTACTTCTTTGCTAAACTTTATTGCAGACAAGCATGCCCGTTCAAGAAACAAAGATTAAAGGATAGAGCTAATCCCGGGTTCACACATGAACTATCAGAGAAACTTCAGGAGACAAACGTAGCTTGGGCTGACTGATTATACGTCTGAGGGAAGGAGGTTCTCACCCAAGATTTGACGGTACATGGCCCCGTCCATCGTCCCTTTGGTGCGGTGAAGTTGTCCTGTCCCCTTAGCAGAAAAACACCCCCAAAGCATAATGTTTCCACCTCCATGTTTGACGGTGGGGATGGTGTTCTTGGGGTCATAGGCAGCATTCCTCCTCCTCCAAACACGGCGAGTTGAGTTGATGCCAAAGAGCTCCATTTTGGTCTCATCAGACCACAACACTTTCACCCAGTTCTCCTCTGAATCATTCAAATGTTCATTGGCAAACTTCAGACGGGCATGTATATGTGCTTTCTTGAGCAGGGGGACCTTGCGGGCACTGCAGGATTTCAGTCCTTCATGGCGTAGTGTGTTACCAATTGTTTTCTTGGTGACTATGGTCCCAGCTGCCTTGAAATCATTGACAAGATCCTCCCATGTAGTTCTGGGCTGATTCCTCACCGTTCTCATGATCATTGCAACTCCACGAGGTGAGATCTTGCATGGAGCCCCAGGCCGAGGGAGATTGACAGTTCTTTTGTGTTTCTTCCATTTGCGAATAATCGCACCAACTGTTGTCACCTTCTCACCAAGCTGCTTGGCGATGGTCTTGTAGCCCATTCCAGCCTTGTGTAGGTCTACAATCTTGTCCCTGACATCCTTGGAGAGGTCTTTGGTCTTGGCCATGGTGGAGAGTTTGGAATCTGATTGATTGATTGCTTCTGTGGACAGGTGTCTTTTATATAGGTAACAAGCTGAGATTAGGAGCACTCCCTTTAAGAGTGTGCTCCTAATCTCAGCTCGTTACCTGTATAAAAGACACCTGGGAGCCAGAAATCTTTCTGATTGAGAGGGGGTCAAATACTTATTTCCCTCATTAAAATGCAAATCAATTCATACGATTTTTTACATGCGTTTTTCTGGATTTTTGTTGTTGTTATTCTGTCTCTCACTGTTCAAATAAACCTACCATTAAAATTATAGACTGATAATTTCTTTGTCAGTGGGCAAACGTACAAAATCAGCAGGGGATCAAATACTTTTTTCCCCTCACTGTATACACAATTAAATCCCACTTTGTAACACAACAAAGTGGGACTAGGTGAAAAATCTGTCTATGTGCCCTTGAGCAAGGCACTTAACCCTAATTGCTCCTGTAAGTCACTCTGGATAAGAGCATCTGCTAAATGACTAAAATAAAATAAATATATATATATATATATACACATACAGTGGGGAGAACAAGTATTTGATACACTGCCGATTTTGCAGGTTTTCCTACTTACAAAGCATGTAGAGGTCTGTAATTTTTATCATAGGTACACTTCAACTGTGAGAGACGGAATCTAAAACAAAACATTGTATGATTTTTAAGTAATTAATTTGCATTTTATTGCATGACATAAGTATTTGATACATCAGAAAAGCAGAACTTAATATTTGGTACAGAAACCTTTGTTTGCAATTACAGAGATCATACGTTTCCTGTAGGTCTTGACCAGGTTTGCACACACTGCAGCAGGGATTTTGGCCCACTCCTCCATACAGACCTTCTCCAGATCCTTCAGGTTTCGGGGCTGTCGCTGGGCAATACGGACTTTCAGCTCCCTCCAAAGATTTTCTATTGGGTTCAGGTCTGGAGACTGGCTAGGCCACTCCAGGACCTTGAGATGCCTCTTACGGAGCCACTCCATAGTTGCCCTGGCTGTGTGTTTCGGGTCGTTGTCATGCTGGAAGACCCAGCCACGACCCATCTTCAATGCTCTTACTGAGGGAAGGAGGTTGTTGGCCAAGATCTCGCGATACATGGCCCCATCCATCCTCCCCTCAATACGATGCAGTCTTCCTGTCCCCTTTGCAGAAAAGCATCCCCAAAGAATGATGTTTCCACCTCCATGCTTCACGGTTGGGATGGTGTTCTTGGGGTTGTACTCATCCTTCTTCTTCCTCCAAACACGGCGAGTGGAGTTTAGACCAAAAAGCTCTATTTTTGTCTCATCAGACCACATTACCTTCTCCCATTCCTCCTCTGGATCATCCAGATGGTCATTGGCAAACTTCAGACAGGCCTGGACATGCGCTGGCTTGAGCAGGGGGACCTTGCGTGCGCTGCAGGATTTTAATCCATGACGGCGTAGTGTGTTACTAGTGTGTTACTAATGGTTTTCTTTGAGACTGTGGTCCCAGCTCTCTTCAGGTCATTGACCAGGTCCTGCCGTGTAGTTCTGGGCTCATCCCTCACCTTCCTCATGATCATTGATGCCCCACGAGGTGAGATCTTGCATGGAGCCCCAGACCGAGGGTGATTGACCGTCATCTTGAACTTCTTCCATTTTCTAATAATTGCGCCAACAGTTGTTGCCTTCTCACCAAGCTGCTTGCCTATTGTCCTGTAGCCCATCCCAGCCTTGTGCAGGTCTACAATTTTATCCCTGATGTCCTTACACAGCTCTCTGGTCTTGGCCATTGTGGAGAGGTTGGAGTCTGTTTGATTGAGTGTGTGGACAGGTGTCTTTTATACAGGTAACGAGTTCAAACAGGTGCAGTTAATACAGGTAATGAGTGGAGAACAGGAGGGCTTCTTAAAAAAAAACTAACAGGTCTGTGAAAGCCAGAATTCTTACTGGTTGGTAGGTGATCAAATACTTATGTCATGCAATAAAATGCAAATTAATTACTTAAAAATCATACAATGTGATTTTCTGGATTTTTGTTTTAGATTCCGTCTCTCACAGTTGAAGTGTACCTATGATAAAAAATTACAGACCTCTACATGCTTTGTAAGTAGGAAAACCCGCAAAATCGGCAGTGTATCAAATACTTGTTCTCCCCACTGTATATAAAAAAAGAATAAAATAAAAGAGAACACATAAAACAAAAAATGTGGAAAAAGTCAAGGGGTGTGAATACTTTCTGAAGGCACTTTACTTATAGTACACTCAGTCACTACACAAAAATGTGTATAAAAATCAAATTTTATTGATCACATACACATATTTAGCAGATGTTATTGCGGGTGTAGCGAAATGCTTGTATAATGTAATAAATAACACACACCTCATGTTGCTTAGGAGCTAGAAGCAGAGCTGCCATGTCTGTCGGGCCATCTTCCATCAGCCCTTGCACATGAGGCATGAGTGGAACGAGATTCCTCCCTGCTCAGTGCTCAGAGCTTAGTGCCTACTAATGGGGGACCAGTGCAGATGTACACGCAATAAAACAAATCTGGAGCAACAGCTAATCCACAGTTTACCAAATGAACTCAACTCAGAATACCGTATCCGGCTGCATCAGGGGAGCCCAATCCCACAGCACGGAAACACTAGCTACAGATCAGTAGAATGACATGGATCACATTAGTGAAGGCATGGATCGACTCGGGCTGGAATATGCTTTTTTGTCTACCATGGACATGGAGACAGGTGATCAGTTTGAGTGGGGTTGGAGGCAGATGCTTAGCCTCAAACTCTGCAAAAGTGAAAGGGTAAACAACTGAACAGATTTTCACTTCATTTTGGATGCATATAAAACTGAACCATGATTAGCTACATCGCTTCAGAAACCCAGAGCCCAGAGCGAGATTGTGTAAAACGGCCCAGGTCTCTCTCAGGGTTTCTGAAGCGATGTAGCTAATCATGTTAACCCCCGCAAGGCTGCCGGCCCAGACGGCATCCCTAGCCGCGTCCTCAGAGCATGCGCAGACCAGCTGGCTGGTGTGTTTATGGACATATTCAATATCTCCCTTTCCCAGTCTGCTGTTCCCACATGCTTCAAGATGGCCACCATTGTTCCTGTACCCAAGAAAGCAAAAGTAACTAAACTAAATGACTATCGCCCTGTAGCACTCACCTCTGTTATCATGAAGTGCTTTGAGAGACTAGTCAAGGATCATATCACCTCTACCTTACCTGTTACCCCAGACCCACTTCAATTTGCTTACCGCCCCAATAGATCCACAGACGATGCAATCGCCATCACACTGCACACTGCCCTATCCCATCTGGACAAGAGGAATACCTATGTAAGAATGCTGTTCATTGACTATAGCTCAGCATTCAACACCATAGTACCCTCCAAACTGTGCAACTGGGTCCTGTACTTCCTGACGGGCCGCTCCCAGGTGGTGAAGGTAGGAAACAACATCTCCACTTTGCTGATCCTCAACACTGGGGCCCCACAAGGGTGCGTGCTCAGCCCCCTCCTGTACTCCCTGTTCACCCATGACTGCGTGGCCAAGCACGCCTCCAACTCAATCATCAAGTTTGCAGACGACACAACAGTATTAGGCTTGATTACCAACAATGACAAGACTCTGGGAGTGCGGTGCCAGGAAAATAACCTCTCACTCAACATCAAGAAAACAAAGGAGATGATCGTGGACTTCAGCAAACAGCAGAGGGTGCACCCCCCAATCCACATCTACGGGACCGCAGTGGAGAAGGTGGAAAGCTTCAAGTTCCTTGGCGTACACATCACCGACAAACTGAAATGGTCCACCCACGCAGACAGTGTTGTGAAGAAGGCGCAACAGAGCCTCTTCAACCTCAGGAGGCTGAAGAAATTCGGCTTAGCAGCTAAAACCCTCACAAACTTTTACAGATGCACAATTGAGAGCATCCTGTTGGGCTGTATCACCGCCTGGTACGGCAACTGCACCGCCCACAACCGCAGGGCTCTCCAGAGGGTGGTGCGGTCTGCCGAACGCATTACCGGGGGCAAACTACCCGCCCTCCAAGACACATACAGCACCCGATGTCACAGGAAGACCAAAAAGATCATCAAGGACATCAACCACCTGAGCCACTGCCTGTTCAGCCCGCTATCATCCAGAAGGCGAGGTCAGTACAGGTACATCAAAGCTGGGACAGAGAGAATGGAAAACAGCTTCTATCTGAAGGCCATCAGACTGTTAAATAGCCATCACTAGCACATTAGAGGCTGCCTATTGCCTATTGAAATCACTGGCCACTTTAAGAAATGGAACACTAGTCACTTTAATAATGTTTACATATCTTGCACTACTCATCTCATATGTATATACTACATTATTTTCTATAATATTCTACTGTATCTTAGTCCATGCCGGTCTGTCATTGCTTGTCCATATATGTATATATTCTTAAATCCCATTCCTTACTAGTTTTGTGTGTATTGGGTATATGTTGTGAAATTGTTAGATATTACTTGTTAGATATTACTGCACTGTTGGAGCTAGAAGCACAAGCATTTCGCTACACCGGCTATAACATCTGCTAAACACGTGTATGTGACAAATACAATTTGATTTGATTTTATTTGAGTTAGGGCCCTAGAAAAACAAGAAACACTTAACATTATCTGGAGGGGCTTGTGTGGCTAAATGACGTTCAGGGAAAATAAAGACATGGGACAAACATAACCTCCACCCTTTTCACAGAGTAAACATTAAAATAAAATGAAATATTATTTTATTTGTCACATGCGTCGTAAACAACAGGTGTAGACTAACAGTGAAATGCTTACTTATGGGCCCTTCTCAACAATACAGAGTGAAAAAATAGAAATAATAGAAAAATAATAACACAAGGAATAAATGCACAATGAGTAACGATAACTTGGCTATGTGCAGGAGTACGAGGTAGTTAAGGTAGATATGTACATATTGGTAGGGATAAAGTGACTAGGCAAAAGGATAGTTAATAAACAGTAGCAGCAGCGTATGAGATGAGTCAAAACAGTTAGTGCAAAAAGGGTCAATACAGATAGTCCGGGTAGTTATTGGTTAACTATTTAACAAACTCAATCTAAACTGTCCAATGGAGACCGGCAAGTTTAATTTCAAGGTGGCCTGAAGGCTATTCCATGAGCTGGGGGCATAAAAACTAAAAGCACCTCCAGAACCAGCCAGTCCAGAGAGCGGGTCTGAAAATTGCTGGATATCCAATTAATATGTGAGCTGAGGTAGTCCAGGAGTCTCTGAAGAACCGCTTTATATACAAAAATTAGCCAATGCTGGGCCCATCTGGTAGTCAGACTCCTAGCCAACAGAACTATACAAAATGCAGTGATGTGTACGAAAATGATCCCCAGTGATAAAACGCAGTGCTGAGTGATAGACTGAATCTAAAGGTTTTAAAACAGAATCTGCCGCATGCATGTAGATTATATCACCATAATCAAGTAGTGGGAGAAGCGTTGTTTGAACAGTCTTCCTCCTACTATCCAAAGTTATGCAGGATTTATTTCTATAAAATAAACCAATCTTAATTCTCTGCTTTTTTGTCAGTTTTTCAATGTGTATTTTAAAAAGAGAGCTTATTGTCAATACAAATACCCAAGTACTTATCATGGGGAACTTGCTCAATCAATGTGCAAATATGCAGGTCCTCAGGTTGAATATAACGAGACCTAGAGAACAACATAAAGTTGGTTTTATTAGCATTTAGCACTAGTTTAAGATCAGTAAGCGATTTTTGAATTTAGTCAAAACCATGCTGAAGGTCATGAATGGCCTGCTGTACTGAGGAGACACAGGAGTAAATAAATATCATCCACGTAGATATGAATGTTACAGGTTAACAGATAGACCAATATTATTTATAAAATAGTGATGAGAACAGGGCCCAAAATCGACCCATGTGGCACATTTCGTAATATTGAGGAAAGTAGATTTGATACCGTCAGTAAGCACACACTGTTATATTTATTCTCGGTAATACCAATTACTCCACCGAATACATTCTTTTAAAAAGTATACTCGATCATAACAGATTTTATATGGGAAAATAAAACTCATAGAATAAAAAGGACAGTTTTACTTCTTCTTAAGTCTGGGGTGGTTTCAACCTTTCAGACTTGGAATTGTATCAACTCGCCAACCAAGGCTTTTACTTACATTTTACATTTTAGTCATTTAGCAGAAGCTCTTATCCAGAGCGACTTACAGTTATTGAGTGCATACATCATTTTATTTTTCATACTGGCCCCCCGTGGGAATCGAACCCACAACCCTGGCGTTGCAAACGCCATGCTCTACCAACTGAGCTACATCCCTGCCGGCCATTCCCTCCCCTACCCTGGACGACGCTGGGCCAATTGTGCGCCGCCCCATGGGTCTCCCGGTCGCGGCCGGCTACGACAGAGCCTGGATTCGAACTCGTGGCACAGCTAGCACTGCGATGCAGTGCCTTAGACCACTGCGCCACTTGCAACATATAGTTGAGTTAACTAAAGAGGAACAATGGGTACATATTGAAGATGTGCATGCTCAACCCCAGAAACTTTTTACATGTCTATTTTCAAAGTATAAAGCTACGAACATTAGCAATTTCATAGTTAAGAACACTATAACAATATGGAGGAAAATGAAACGTATTCTACAAGAACCAATACCACTCCCTAAAAACACAACCATATGGAACAATCCTTAGATAGCTTTTCAGAATTCACCAATAAATTGGTCCACATGGAAAACTAAAGGCATAGAAACCGTAAATTACTTGGTAATGAATACATTTATTTCTATGACAGAATTCAAAAGCAATTTTGGACTGACCAATGTAGATATTTTCAAATACATGCAACTTAAGTTTCATATGATTACATTTCTATTTGAAATCTTTTGGACATCAGAGCAATCTTGAGGGAATCCTGTTTTAGTCAGAAAATGATATTCATATGATAGGTAAGATATGCAAAACCTTGCAGAGAGCCAACTGACAATCTCTTAGAATTTTTTTTTATTAACTATTGGAAAAAAACATAAAAATAAATGATATTGGCACAAGATGGAGAGAATGCTGGAACATAACTAACGAAATTACAGTTAACAGAAATGTATGCTTAATCCAGTATAAACTAATATATAGAATTTATTATACGAGACAAAATTCTCAAATTCTACAGCACAACGACAGAGTCATGTATTAAGTCTAAAACTAACAATGACTCAATAATCCATGCCTTCTGGGAATGCTATAAAGTCCAAAAGTTATGGGCAGAGTTAGAAAGTTGTCTGTCAGAAGTATTACAATGCAAATTTACTTTTAATCTGCCTGTCTGTATATTTCAAGACATGGCATATGAGGGTGCAGTGAGATACCCGATGGGTTGGACAATACTTTTCGCGTCAAATATCTTGAAAAAACGTATACTTAAAAACGGGAAATCAACCAATCCTCCATTGTTAACACAATGGAAAGGTCAAATGCTTTATTATCTAAAATGTTGAAAGCGCGTGGGCGATGGAGAGAAACAAAATGGTGGAGTTTGAGGCCATGTGGCGGAGAGTGATGCGGGCGCTGGAGACGGGGATGTGAGCAGGTGGGCCTGGGCAGGTGTGATGTTGTTGATGTTTGTATGCTGTTGTGTGTATGTGTATGTTTTGTATTGTTTGAAGAAGACAAAAGTAATCGTAAAAAAAAAAGTAGACTGTCCATGAAAAAATTGCAAGATGCCTGATCTAGGCCTATTTCAGAGAACCTTTGAACAAGTAAGAAATGATCAACCCTATCAAACGCCTTCGACAGGTCAATAAATAAGGCAGCACAAGGATTTTTATGGTCTAAACAATATAGCACATCATCTAAGACATGTGTAGCCGCTGAAACAGTGCTATGTACAGGTCTAAAACCAGATTGGTGCTCATTAAGAATAAAATGAGAAGTAGTACATTTTCTAAGCTGAGAGTTGGCCAGGGACTAAAACTTTGGCGAGGCAAGATAGCTTGGAAATTGGACGGTAGTTATCGAAGTCAGAAGGATCTCCGCCTTTGTGTAGGGGGAAGACTTGTGCCATTTTCCAGATCATAGGGATAACCCCAGAAACAATTGTCAAGTAAAAAATATAGGTTAATGATTCCGCATTAAGTGGGGCAGACCGCTGCAGCAAAAAGGGGTCAAGTGAGTCAGCCCCAGTATATATATATTTTTTTTACAGCGATCTTCAATAAGGCACTTAGTAAATCATAGACATCAAATGGTAGATATGAAAATGAGGAATGTGTATCTGGGAATGTATCGTTCTCTGCAACCTGGCTTGAGGTGAGTTAAGGACTCCCTCTACTGGAATCAGAGTTTTCAGAAGCAATTTTTTTAAATAAGTGGCCCGCTTAGGCAAAGTGTTTATTAAAAGCACCACAAATGTCCATCTAATCTGTTATGGGACCGGAGGCTGTCATAACCTGCTGGGGCAATGAGGGGGTGGAGTATTGTTTCAGTGATTTGACTATCTTCCAGAAGGCAGCTGGATTCACACCATTCTCAGATACACATTTCAAGAAGTACAGTGGGGGAAAAAAGTATTTAGTCAGCCACCAATTGTGCAAGTTCTCCCACTTAAAAAGATGAGAGAGGCCTGTAATTTTCATCATAGGTACACGTCAACTATGACAGACAAAATGAGAAAAAGAAATCCTGAAAATCATGATTTTTAATGAATTTCTTTGCAAATTATGGTGGAAAATAAGTATTTGGTCAATAACAAAAGTTTCTCAATACTTTGTTATATACCCTTTGTTGGCAATGACACAGGTCAAATGTTTTCTGTAAGTCTTCAAAAGGTTTTCACACACTGTTGCTGGTATTTTGGCCCATTCCTCCATGCAGATCTCCTCTAGAGCAGTGATGTTTTGGGGCTGTCGCTGGGCAACACGGACTTTCAACTCCCTCCAAAGATTTTCTATGGGGTTGAGATCTGGAGACTGGCTAGGCCACTCCAGGACCTTGAAATGCTTCTTACGAAGCCACTCCTTCGTTGCCCGGGCAGTGTGTTTGGGATCATTGTCATGCTGAAAGACCCAGCCACGTTTCATCTTCAATGCCCTTGCTGATGGAAGGAGGTTTTCACTCAAAATCTCACGATACATGGCCCCATTCATTCTTTCCTTTACACGGATCAGTTGTCCTGGTCCCTTTGCAGAAAAACAGCCCCAAAGCATGATGTTTCCACCCCCATGCTTCACAGTAGGTATGGTGTTCTTTGGATGAAACTCAGCATTCTTTGTCCTCCAAACACGACGAGTTGAGTTTTTACCAAAAAGTTCTATTTTGGTTTCATCTGACCATATGACATTCTCCCAATCCTCTTCTGGATCATCCAAATGCACTCTAGCAAACTTCAGACGGGCCTGGACATGTACTGGCTTAAGCAGGGGGACACGTCTGGCACTGCAGGATTTGAGTCCCTGGCGGCGTAGTGTGTTACTGATGGTAGGCTTTGTTACTTTGGTCCCAGCTCTCTGCAGGTCATTCACTAGGTCCCCCCGTGTGGTTCTGGGATTTTTGCTCACCGTTCTTGTGATCATTTTGACCCCACGGGGTGAGATCTTGCGTGGAGCCCCAGATCGAGGGAGATTATCAGTGGTCTTGTATGTCTTCCATTTCCTAATAATTGCTCCCACAGTTGATTTCTTCAAACCAAGCTGCTTAGCTATTGCAGATTCAGTCTTCCCAGCCTGGTGCAGGTCTACAATTTTGTTTCTGGTGTCCTTTGACAGCTCTTTGGTCTTGGCCATAGGGGAGTTTGGAGTGTGACTGTTTGAGGTTGTGGACAGGTGTCTTTTATACTGATAACAAGTTCAAACAGGTGCCATTAATACAGGTAACGAGTGGAGGACAGAGGAGCCTCTTAAAGAAGAAGTTACAGGTCTGTGAGAGCCAGAAATCTTGCTTGTTTGTAGGTGACCAAATACTTATTTTCCACCATAATTTGCAAATAAATTCATCAAAAATCCTACAATGTGATTTTCTGGATATTTTTTTCTCAATTTGTCTGTCATAGTTGACGTGTACCTATGATGAAAATTACAGGCCTCTCTCATCTTTTTAAGTGGGAGAACTTGCACAATTGGTGGCTGACTAAATACTTTTTTTCCCCACTGTATGTACATTTTGTTTTTCTAACCAGGGATAGACATCTATTTCTCAAGCGTCTGAAGGACTGCCAGTCAGACGTATAATCAGTCAGCCCAAGCTACGTTTGTCTCCTGAAGTTTCTCTGATAGTTCATGTGTGAACCCGGGATTAGCTCTATCCTTTAATCTTAGTTTCTTGAACGGTGCATGCTTGTCTGCAATAAAGTTTAGCAAAGAAGTAAAACAATTTAGAGCCTGATCCGAGTCAGATATCTGTGTTTCATAATTTTCCTTCAATTCGCAAGAGGCTGAATGTATCTCACCAGAGAAAGCATCCAAGTGAGCGAAACAGCGCCCCTCTGTCTCTGTATGTGTAGGCAGGCCATCTATCTGGTCAAAAAGAGTATGACATTGTTGCCGTCCATAGCATTGAATGCAAGGGAAGCCAGCGAGCATTTGGCCTCCCTTGATAAAAAAGTATAAAATAATACCCAATCAGCATTGAGCTAAAATGAGTGAGCTCAACTGTGAATGGTCCTGGCACACCAAAAGAAAGTCTCAAGGGAAGCCAGTTTGTATTTGGCTTCATTCCTATCACATCGCATCAAACCAAACGTCATTGACAGAAGAAAGAAAACTTGAATTGTTGCACCTCGTTGTGTTGATGTTCTCCAGTGGCTAGCTAGCTAGCTAAAATTGCCCCTTTCCTAAATTAGCCATGGACAGAGATAGGGATTTGGACTTGTGGTTTTACTTAATTCTAAGTACTGGTCAATGATTATAATGGCGATTCAGATCCAACCATAAATTCATACATTGTGCCCCTGGCCTGAGAGGATGGAAGTTCAATTTAGCTAGATGTAGAAGGCTAATGTTAACTAGCTAACATTGCCCATGAAAGGAAGTTAGGCTAGTGAGCAAGCATTTTAGCCAGGTAGTCTAGGACAACAAATAATTAAAGTGTGTACTGTATGACTAAGTCATAGACCGTATCATCAACATTAAAGAGAGGAGGATGGCATTGGCATTTCTCTACAAGTTGGGTGAGTCAACATGCTTTCTCCACTTGCACGCAGGCACACACACAGAAATTAGAACCACGAACAGCCACATCATATTTAGCTTACGTTGATTGGACTAAATTGCTTTCAGTATCTTTTAGTTGTCACTGTATTAGACTAAACATAGGTGATTTGATGATGTTGAAATGTTGAAGTTGAAATGGTTCTGGAATAGTGAAGGCAGCTCCTGTTTTCATTGCGACTTGCGGTAACTCTCTGTGGTTCTAAATCAATAGTTGTTTAGTAGTCCGAAAATGTCGGAAACATTCACTTGCTTGACCATGCTGTAGGTCATGTAACTGTGGACTTCACCGGACAGAGGTTGCTCTCCGGTTTTGTGATGAAACAAAGGTGTGGTTGAATTTATTCTGCAAATGTGTCATCTTATTGTCTCGGCCTTAGACCTATACAGTATATCACGGTCGCAAGGCATATGAACTAACAGGTTATAGAGCAAACACTGCAATCATCACAACACATACTCTAGGTTGTAATATGGCATTTGTTTCTGCCTTCGCTTTCCCAGTGATTTTACCCACGCTCCGCTGCTGGAGAAAGTACTCCCTTTTGACAACATTACATGCAAAATATAGACTAAATTTGCCATAAATTAGCCTGACAGTATTTTTGAAATGTTATTATTGTAATGTATCCGAGCATGTTTTCCTCGAACAGCTCTATCCCTGGTGAGTGTGGTTACAGTATGGGTGTCCAGGGGGACTACCTTATGTGAGGACTGTAAACCTCACCGGACATGTCTGTCAAAAACCCAACAGGCTATCAATTTACTCTCTGGGAGACATTTAGGTGACAGCGAAAAAAAGAAAGGTTGCTGTCAAACCAGATTGTATCACTTTAAATGCTTATCTCCATTGCAAATATCAAAATGAGTTTCGAATGCAACAGATATTTACACATCCATCACAAATCATCACAAGCATTTTGCTAAGATGCCTGGAGAATTAAAAGAAAATAGACATTAATTAGGGGAACGTAAATGTTCACATCAAATGTTATTCAAAATCTGTCCTAGAGTCCATTTCCTGTTCTCTGAGGCCCCCCATGTCTCCAAAAGAAAAAACTAACCCAGACCGCAAAGTTGGATAATTCCTTAAGCTACACTCAACATACTTGTTTAGTTTTACCCACTTTATATATTAGGAAGAGGGAGATGAAAAGGAAATGTCTACATCAGAAGACTTCCACATCCCCTCAAGCAGTAACCTGAGTATGAGGCTAAAACAAACAAACTTACCAATGTTGCTAATTACATAATAACAATAACGCTTCAAAAGACTGAGTGCCGTCTGTCCAAAACAAAAAACTGTAGTGCAGAACTTAATTAGCCACAGGTCATGCCAGCACCTGGGTCTGCTAGCTGTACCAAGTATGTAATTAAAATAATGCACCACTTACATTACAGTACAGCAGACAACTGGGCCAACATCATAAACACACTGTAAATGATGCGCACTTGGTCACACCAGCTTAGCAGCACAGCTTTCCCTGGATAGCAGAGATTAACCATGTATAGGATGACTTACTGCAGAACAGAAAAAAAAGCTACATTACAACTACTGAGAAATGCAGATGCAGCATTTCTGGAAACTGCCTCAATTGCACTGTTGTTGTTTTCCACTCAACAAAGATGAGGACATCTTGCAAAGCTCTATCCCGGATGCAATTTCCTGAGGGCAAAAGTACACTAAAGCCATAATCTGCAGCCCAATAGATTTTCTTCTGCTCTACAGATAGATGAAATCCATAACAGAGGGAGAGGGCAGTGACCTGGGAGGGAGGGATCATGGAGATTGTGTGGCGGGGACAAACTCAACATCAAGCAGTCCATGGAAAGTGTGTTCCTTCAACATCAGTATTCCTGTAAATACTGCGAAACAAGGCATATACTTTCGACACAATACTAAAGTATATCAGGTGTTCTGTTCTGGATTGCCATTCCAACCAACTTTTCCAATATGTAGACTTGTTCTCAATCCAATGCTCACGGTTGTGTGACTGAGCTTCTGGTATTCTCCCTGTACTGGAACGTGCCAATTCTTCAATGATTACTTCTCCACACAATAAGAGCAATGTACTGTAAGGCATACCTGCTGCTTCTGGTATTCTCACTATACTACAGTAGCATCAAGGTCTGGGGTCTGGTCTGAAGGACTGCTGGTGAAATCATCAGCCTAGATTTATACTGATACCAGTAAGTGCAGACAGACAGCAACTGTAAAAGTCACTCTCACTTTCTCTGCTCTGGACCCCTAAGGACAACCAAAACCCCAGAGCCATGATCCAGTGTTTGCCTTATTGTAGACTAGGATGCTTTTCATAATTGAAATGTGGGTAAAGTTTTATACTGGAGCAAAAACTTGCTACAGGCAATGCCGTATGTCTCACAGTCTCAGCAAAGAAAACTGATCTGAGGAACAGCTGATGACCCGAGTTCTGCCAACAATTCCAATGTGTCCCTATGGGTATTGTCTGTCTACCACCACAAAGATGCATGTTTGTGTAGAAAGTGTGGCAAGTATAGTATCTACAGCCTTACGATAAACAATTAAATGTTCACTTCAAGCACTTCCTAATACAAAGCATATGCACAATGTCCCCAAACAATGCCTCCGTTCTACTAAATAACAGCTGAAACTGCTTAAGCAATTTCAAATAGACTTGAGCCGTTTACATGACTTTGAAACTGTAACCAACATAAGGGACTGGAAACCACAGAGAAATCATGGTTAAACAAAGACCATATGGTAAGTTTCAGACAGACTTCCACTACAGCACAGCAGTGATTTTTTTCATACAAAATGATACATTTTCCCATGGTATTAAACCTCTAAAATGTGTTTGAATGCACACCCGCACATTTAGTCAAATTAACTTTAGAGCCTATTTAGACTAGCAAATGTAGCGCATAAACATGTGGAGTATTAACATCATGCAAACACACTCTACTGTATACAGTTTTGCCATGGCATCAACAACTGCTATATAAACAACTGCTATATATTATAATTTCAACATTTCCTTTTGCCTCAAGTCCCCCTGTTCATTCTCTGGCTTTTCATCCCCATCACCACAAAGCTGACTCTGAGCTTGTCTAGATGGACTTCACTTCTTGTTAAGGTGCTGAGTAGCCAAGGCAGGGTACAGACAAGGGACTGTTGTTGGACAGAGCACTTAGTCAGAGAGAGAGAGAGAGCAGAGAGCCAAACAACACAAAGTCACAGACATAACATGGCATGTATATCTATGTATATGCTATGGGTTGGAGAGTAAGAACAACATATTGTTTTCTCTCATATGTGATCTTGGTGAAGATGTTGGTTTTCTGAGCCATTGCAGTTGGTGGGGTGAGGTTCATTGTGCAGGAGTTTCCTTACAGTTACGTCACCAAGCAGAGGCCTAAATGTCACTTTTGAAGCATACATTTAAAATAGCCTGAGTACTACACTTCCCTTAAAACAAATAGCCTGTTCTATAAATAAACATTTCCGAAAACACTGAATGCTTGTTCAGAAATTGGGGTTGTGGAAAAACCACCTCCCTCACAGACACACATTCATACATGTAACATGGCTACAGTGCATATATTTTTCTTCTTCTTCTTCTTACCCTGAATCTATGCAGTAGGAGGAGCAACTGACAAACTACCAGCTAAATCAGATGACTGAGGAATGTTATGAGAACAACAAATGAACACAAGGTTGCCAAATCGTTACAGATAACAGTATGACCTTGTCATTGATCTCACGCCAAGCTTTTCACCTGAACTCTTTCAGTTCACTTGCCATGGATCCAGTAATGCAATATGCTCCAAGTTAACTTTAAAGTGAGGCCTTTTCTGCTCCCCACTGCTTACATTTCTCTCTCCCTCTGCTCTAGTACCTTTCCCTCTATCTGTGATCAGTGGCATGTACCATTACCTCATTCCTGGCGATAAAGTAACCGACACCAGCCTGAGCCCTGGGAGGATAGGAACATTTTATTTATTACCACATTTTTCATTATCGTGTTCAAACAAAGACAGAATTTAGTGCCACACTAAACATCTCCAAAATCCACAGAGTCATTCTATACCATGCTCAGGGTCAGAGTCAGCGCAACCTACAATTACTGAGTCAAGCCATCTGTTGTTGACCAGAAGTTCCTCTACTGTCTCTCTGCTTCTGTAAACAACAGATAAAGAAACCGCATGGTCCTACTTTTAATAGACTCCATGTCAGTGTTTGGGCTGTCTCTGGGACCCCCCTAAGACAAGCCTCCAGGATCCATCCCCCCACACCCCACCATGCAGCCAAGATGAATGCCCTACTACACCGGTTTACTGTCATTGTCCCCCATTAAGAGGCCTTTCAGTGAGATGACAACGATAAGAGACAGTCTGCTCTGCGCTGAGATCATTCTAAGCCATTCAGACAGCTGTGTTTGGTGAGTCGAGGATGCATAATCCACCACACACATGAATTAGACACAGTCTGGAGGCTGGAGAGGGTTGGAGGGGGCGGTGTGTTGGGACAAGCCTTACTTAATCCCTCTGAGCAGCCAAGGCAGGGCAGCTGGGAGCAGTGTAATATATAAACTCTACTGTAGAAGTATGGTAGTAGGCTAGAGAGTCTGTCTGGGAAGGAGAAGGGTAATGTAAGGACACTCCATGGCACATTTCCACTGAGGATTTACCAAAGTATTTCACCTAAAAGGCTCAGACTTTTCTGTTTCCATCTACGCGGGCCGGCACCCGTCTCTCACTGGCCATGACGACAACCTGCTCTGACTTGGAGCCAAGGCAAGGCCCTGGGTACTTTTCAGCTGTCATTTACATAACAATGGCTAACTGTGAACTTTAACAACTCCTCACAAAGCAACAGTCTTGAATATTTTTTAATTTTTTTTATTTAACCTTTATTTAACCAGGTAAGCCAGTTGAGAACAAGTTCTCATTTACAACTGCGACCCGGCCAAGATAAAGCAAAGCAGTGATGATGCAGAGGTTGTTGATACTGCCCACCACAAGTCTTTAGGAAACACAATAACACTAGCGCCCACATTAACATAAAACACTGGTGATACCCTGGTGTGGGGGTAAGTCTAGATGGAAAAGCACGATACTCATATTAATTAATGGAACAACCTTGACTACACTCCCAAGATGTATATTTCACCAATATTTCAAATGAGGAATATTGTGAAATGTGTAGTGCAAAACTCAAATCAAATCAAATTGTATTTGCCACATGCGCCGAATACAACAGGTGTAGACCTTACAGTGAAATGCTTACGTACAAGCCTTTAACCAACAATGCAGTTAAAAAATAATAATAATAAAGTGTTAAGTAAAAAATAGATAAGTAAAAAATTAAAAATAGCAAATAATTAAAGAACAGCAGTAAAATAAAATAACAGTAGGGAGGCTATATACAGCGGGTACCGGTACAGAGTCAATGTGCAGGGGCACCGGTTAGTCGAGGTAATATGTACATGTGGGTAGAGTTAAAGTGACTATGCATAAATAATAAACAGAGTAGCAGCAGCGTAAAAGAGGGGGTGGGGGGCAATGCAAATAGTCCGGGTAGCCATGATTAGCTGTTCAGGAGTCTTGATAACTTGGCCAGACCAGAAGGGAGAGAACTACTGTAAATCACAGAGACCTTGGGAATAGGGCTCTACAATGACTCTAATAGCGTAGTACTTCAAAGGCTTGAACTCCTCCCTGTCCCGCTGCTGCGCCCAGCCAGTCTCATTCCTTTTGCTGATCCACTGACAGATTCTATGATTGGTCACCTGCAGTTTGGCCTCAAGTTCTCTCCTGATTGGTTATGTGGTCTAGATGCAGCTGTGGATTTCTGATTGGTGCCTAGGATGGATCAGACTGGATATAACCTGGTTTCTGGGAATGTGCTTGGCCATTAGCCACAGACGGACTTACTGAGACAGAAAAACAGGGCTCTCACTTTTGTTGCTATCGCCAAATAGGCTTAGACTAAAATGCTAACAATGTATTCACAGACACACACAAAAAAAACATGAATGAGCTCTTCTCCTTTAGTATGACCTTGTATAGATAGGCACTGTAAGACACCTGGTGCTGATAGTTTACAATGGCTGTTTTTTGTGTGTTTTTTTTTAAACCAGTGAGACTTCTTTTTAGACATGGCTTGCTTCCTGATTTAACATTTTCCTTCATGCAACATTAAATCTGTTTAATACCAAGCTGGGAGAGTACATTTACACCACCTGGCCCTGTCAATACATGTCTACGATAAATGATCCAGTTCCAATTTGGGTTTTGAAGGCGCTTGCATTTCGTAACAGCCTCAGATCAATGCAACATTGTCTAACCTGTCTGAGACAGTTGCAACACAGTCTAGCCTAACCAGTAAGATAACGTTGCAGCAACATAGGCTAACCTGTAACAGACTGGAGGTGTCAGGTGAGGACATGCCTTTAGGGGATTACTGTCTGGTCTGTCTCCTATTTCAAAACACAAAAAGATGCACTTGGGCCGTGAGAAACAGGGGGGAGGGGAGGAGGTGCAGAGGGAAGGGTAGCTGGGACTAGGATGTATGAACTATAAAGACACAGCTGGAAGCGCTGGGCAATACTTTTTAATCACTGTAGACACAACTCCACTTCATTCCTGATCATTCTCAGCTGAGTTGCTCATTAACTTGAATCCCTATTGCAGGTAGATCATTGTAGATTAAGAGGATCCTGAACGACATTTAGCATTGATTTAACACTAACATTGTGCTAGTCCTTGGATAAAATAACTATTATATTACAAGGGCTATTTGGCAAATGGCTGACTTCATAAAACTATTCATACTGTCATTCCAGATCTCCTTGTTTTATAAAATGATTAATGTCTGGCTCTGGAATGAATTCCACTGCAAGGTCAGGCTGACACGTCGCCCTAAAATAGAATCAGAAGGATATTTTCTTTCTATTGCTCTTCATGAGCTCTTTATGAAAAGCACACAGTATGTTGTATGGCTGGAAGCAGAATGAATATGGTCTGTGGAGTTAGTTGATCCACAGCAATCCCACTACTACAGTATATGAGGAGGGTTTTCTCAGTGTTGGAGAGGAGAAGTCAATAGTCATAATGACACATTGGTATGGTATTGACTAAGGCTGTCCATCTATATGCCACATGGAATATGTATGGGCCAATAGCTCAACTTGAAAACCTCTCAAGAGCTTCTTCTCAAAACTAGTCAATTCATATGATGGGGTGAATTGTATGCAAAACCAGAATTCAACCAAAAGATAATAAATACGTTATTAAAAAGGCAAGTCTTCAACTGGTTCAGATGTTTTTTTCATGAGTGAACACTTTAGAAAGTTTGTTTTAATGTATTCAGTCCAAGACTCTTCCACAACCGCCAATGATATGTTTCGCTGGAGAGAATGAGAGTAGACTACCGTATCACAGTTTAGGTCATTTTCTATCTACTAACACTAAGGCCACCAGTGGAAACTGTAAACTGTAGTCAATCTTGAGGACAGAATATGAATTTTTAATAGCAAAACAAGTGTGAGAAGTGGTTATGTGGGTGTGAAGTATTAAAGTAGATGGTTACAGAGATACAGACTGACTGTTCCTAAGCAACCTAAATGTGAAAAACACCCACGGGTTGCAACTCCCACTGTTAAAATACATTAGTCAGCCATAAGCAATGGTTATGTTTCACAACAACAGCATCAGATCCAATACCCCATTATCTGTGGCAATAATATTGGCATATAGCCTCAAACTTTTATAAATACAAGCTAATAAAGGTTTCTAGGTTTATAATCTCCGTATGTCTTATCTTCCGTATGTCATATGGGCACATTAATAGTACTAAACACTTTTCCTACAGAAAACCACACCCCAAAACTGCCTTGGGCCTCTTGACAACTCTTAGTATTCCAGTGACTCAGAAGGAATCATCAACTCCTACATATTTCAGTGAAGGTATTCTGCCTCTAAAAATAATATCCCTGTCTGTCAATAACATTGGAACGGTTCTGAAATGTATATTGATTTATTAAATTCAATGTGTATTCAAAGAAAACGAATCCAAACTTTTGAGTGTTGTACTCTAGTTGCCTGACTGTTGGTTTATCCCCAGCTTCCTGATTAGGTACGTACTCATCCGAGATAACGGACGTACCCAATTTAAAGTGTTTAAATCACCCCCTTCATAGCCACACTTCCCCTCTGGCACTGATGCTGTCTGATTATGGTCACTGTGACTACTGATGAGTCACACTCAGTGGAAGTTAGTCACTCCCTATAGGATCTTCAGGAAACACAGCCTGGCAAAGTCACTCCCAAATGATTCAGTCACAACTATGGAGAAACTACCCAAGGAGGCTGTAATTGAAATAACTTTATGGCAGAGGGCTTCATTGCTATGACAGTCACAGAGCCATACGGATGGATGAATGAATGAATAAAAATATTCTGTCTGGCAATAACATACCACCACCACCACAAAAGCCCATTGAAAAGTAATGCATGTTCTTACGTCGCTCTTCCTAAACTTCGCTTTAAGGCTCTTCATGTTAGGCCTGGTCCATACAGTTTCCCACTTGTCCAGCTGTGCCTCTGAAACAAACAAAAAAATATAGTTGCACATTGTATTAAGCCTAACTGCTGAAAACGAACTCTTAATAGTCTCTAAAGTGCAACAGGGAGAGGCAAAATGTGCAAATGTAGCCCTTTTCTCTGATTTCATGTTAACTTATTTGAGAGTTAGCGCTTATTATTATGCATGTGTAACTGTGTAATATTAACAATTTGCAATAGAAACGTGTCTTGCACTCATCAACACAATAGCCTAACCAGCACTAATGAATAAAAACAAACTATGGGACTGAACTTCTAGGCTGATACAAAGTAACGTTATCCATCGCGCGCTCGAGTCCAATGGCATGGTTAGAAGTTATTTTGAGGTGGCAACAGTAGCCTGTAGCAATAGATTGCTGTATGTAATGGCTACAATTAGTGCACAATGTTCAACGGCAAAATATTTTTTTTTTATTCCGATACATTTGTATCATTCAACCAAGCTTGCTCGTTAGCGGAAGATAAGAACAGCTAGCACGCTAACAATTTAGTCTAGCATCAACCTTGTAAATACTGTATGAACACACTGCACACTTACCCTTTAAAAGTTGGGACTCAGAGTAATAGCCTGTTCGATAGCCTACAGAGATGACTAAATTGTCAGTCGGTAGAAATATATTAAAATAGAATCGACAAACAGAAAAGGAGTAGCTAGTGTGAACAAATAGCCCGCCTAGATAGGCTATGCTGGCTAGGTTCAGGCTGAATACATTAAAAGTTGGACTATTCAAGTGCCTGTCGCTTTGCTCCGGAGCTAGCTCCCTCTGATTGTTCCCGGAGTTGAAAGGGTGACGTCATTCCTCCCTCGTGACCAAACACTTCTGCATATTCCTAATCATGAATACATTTACATTTTACATTTTAGTCATTTAGCAGACGCTCTTATCCAGAGCGATTTACAGTTAGTGAGTGCATACATAATTGTATTTTTCATACTGGCCCCCCGTGGGAATTGAACCCACAACCCTGGCGTTGCAAACGCCATGCTCTACATTTACATTTACATTTATGTCGTTTAGCAGACGCTCTTATCCAGAGCGACTTACAAATAGGTGCATTCACCTTATAGCCAGTGGGATAACCACTTTACAATGTTTTTATTTATTTTTATTTTGGGGGGGTGGGTTGGAGTAAAGGGGGGAGGGGGGGGGGGGGGGGTAGAAGGATTACTTTATCCTATCCCAGGTATTCCTTAAAGAGGTGGGGTTTCAAATGTCTCCGGAAGGTGGTGAGTGACTCCGCTGTCCTGGCGTCGTGAGGGAGCTTGTTCCACCATTGGGGTGCCAGAGCAGCGAACAGTTTTACCAACTGAGCTACATCCCTGCCGGCCATTCCCTCCCCTATCCTACCCTGGACGACGCAGGGCCAATTATGCGCCGCCCCATGGGCATTTTGTAGGCTAAATGTGCAATTTAATTATAGTCTTGTGTTTATTGTAATCTTTGACAACAATTACAACAGTAAAAAGCTGTTTACAACACCAACGTGAGTAGGTAGACAGCAAAAGCACACTACATTTTTGCGGATTCAATTTCTCCTAAAGGCTGCACCCCATAGTAATGTGCAAAAATAGCAACACTACTGTATAAGCTACAAATAGACTTGTAGGGCAGTCAGTGTTTTTCATATTTCCTTCAATGCAAATCTATTCTATCACTGTTGGTTGTTTTACTTCGGAGATGGTTTCTGTCTGCTTTAATGCTCTGTCTATCCCATGTGAACATCTGTGATATCATCAGGCTCTTGTTCTCTCAGCTCAGCAGAATGGTTTACTATACTATACAAACATTTAGAAACCATACATCAGTGAAATTTAGCCTCACCAGATATGTAGGATATTTCATGGCAGACATACAGCATTTGAATCATCTATGATGCCATGTTACAAAGACATTTGGCTGGATTAATGAAACAACAAAAGCTGCCTCATGCAGTGGTAGCCTACATCTGTCCATCTAATCCACATTGCCATAAAGGCTTTCACCAGCCTGGTTAGATTTTAGTCCTACAGTCAGGGACCCAGGCATAAGTGACTTAAGCGGTCGCTTATTAGAGCCCCATGCCACTAGGAGGCCCAATACCAATTAAAAAACAAATATATATATATATATATATATATATATATATATATATATATATATATATATATATATTCAAAAAAAAAGTATTTTAGGAGCTCAGTTGGCTCTCAACTTACTGCTGATAGTTAGAACAGTAGAATACACAAGGTGCAAGGTCGAAATTTGGTTGTGCATCAGCAGTCTTTCTCTTTATGTTATGTCAGTCACTGACAGTCACTCAATAAGCTATGTCAGCTAACCATTTTTAGATTGGTAAATTAGTCAAACCAGCTATCTAAACTTGTAGTAATCACGGACAAATACCAACTGGGCACGGAAGGCACGTGCACAGGGGACTTCCAGGTGGCCCCGATTGATTTTGTTAGTCACTCTTGCTCAGATATCATCAACATGGCATAAGTCATGGCAAAATGTGTAGAATTGCAGGAAGTTTGCTTTAAAACTGCAACAATTTATCTCCACCCCATGGCAAAATGGGTAGAATTGCAGGAAATTAGCTGTAAAATAGCAATTGTTTTCTCTCTGCCCCATGGCAAAATGAGTAGATTTGCATGAATTGTGTTATAAAATTGCAAAATGATCTCTCTGCCCCATGGCAAAATGAGTAGAATTGTATGAAATGTGTTGTAAAATTGCAAAATGATCTCTCTGCCTCATGGCAAATTGTGTAGAACTGCAGAAAGCTTGCTTTAAAACTGCAATATTTTCTCTACGTCCCATGGCAAAATGTGTAGAATTGCAAGACATTTTCTTTAAAACTAAAATTATTCTCTCTGTCATCTACATGGGGGCCACTAAAATGTTTTGCCCGCAAGGTAGAACCCGCTCAGGGCCACCAAAAGGCTAGGGCCGGCCCTGCCTACAATATGTCAACTGGTATACTGGGCTGGAACAAAAACATGCACACCCTATGGGTCCCAATGCAACGACCAGTACTGAAGAAAAGCCTCTCCCAGTCTGACCTCAACTTTGCCTCAGCATGTTGGAAATTAAGCTAACTCTACCCTGGAGATTAAAGGAGCATCATTGCTCCAGTCTCATTCATGATGTAATAGCAGTGAAATATCATCCACTGAGGGTTTTATGGCAAGACTTTAGCGATTGATGAGGGGCATGAGCAAAAAGGGATTGAATAGTATTGGTATTTTTTCCTTTCTCTTTAACTGTTAACAGAGATGGGCAATTACTGCACCAAAACCATCCTTCTATGTGGGCTTTCTAGTCAGGATTGCATAATACCCGGAGTGAGATTGCATCAATGTTGCGCGCTCTGCAGGCTTTACACTGTTGGTGCTGTTACACTGTGGGATGCGCTTTCTATAAATCTGTCCAGTAGATGGTGGTAATGCTCTGTAATTTCCTCTCTACTCATTCATCCTCACTATGGTGCTGAGATCGTGTAGGGGCATGTGGGCTGTAAAGTGCAAGATGCTCTGCTCTAGAGATATATACACTCAGTGGACAGTTTATTAGGTCGGACCCAGTGTGGTCATCTGCTGCAATAACCTATCCGTGACAAGGATCAACCAGTTGTGTGTTGCGAGATGCCAGGGTGCGCACCGCTGTTGTACTGCGCCGTTATTTGCCTGTTTGTGGCCCGCCTGTTAGCTTGCATGATTCTTGCCATTCTCCTTCGACTTCTCTCATCAACAAGCTGTTTTCGCCCACAGGATGGCCTCTGACTGGATGTTTTCTGTTCGTCGCACCATTCTCGGTAAACCCTAGACACTGTTGTGTGTGAAAAGCCCAGGAGGCCGGACGTTTCTGAGATACTGGAACCGGCACGCTTGGCACCGACGATCATACCACGCTCAAAGTCATTTTGGTCACCCGTTTTGCCCGTTCAATCGAACAGTAACTGAATGCCTCGATGCCTGTCTTCCTGGCTATTAGATGGCCACTCTCTGGCCTCTCTTGGCCTAGAAATGAGATTGCTTGGCTCAGTCATAGTGGGGAGAGACTATAAAGACACTCCTGACTTGTAAAACGACTAACCAAAATCTAAAACTGACCCTTACCTTAACCCTAGCCTTAACCAAACCTTTAACCCTAACCTTAACCCTAAACCTAACCATAAACTTAATTTAATTTGAACCAATTCTGTAATACAGTGTCCTTATAGCCTTTTCAGTCATAGTGGCTGACCCCACCATTAGGATTCTACTCTCAGATTTAATAAACTGTCAGCTCTTTCATGTGCTTCTTGCTCTTACATTGATTGAAGCCTTTTTCCAGAAGCCTTTTCGGCGAGCATTACTTTGACACATGACACATCCACAGAAAAGGATCTCATGACATCACAGTAGTGAGCTCTAAAAAGGGTATTGGCAGATATTTCAACATTTCGTATGTTTATCTAGATTTTTTCCCCCAATTTCCACAGGTGTTTTGGGAATAAGGTTGGTACTAAAAGTCCTGCTGCAATCCTCCAGCAAAGATACTTCTGCTCCCATGAGTCTCTACTATCATTCATATTTTAGTCATTTTCATCCATCCTTAGTCTGATGTTGGTGTTGTAATATCTGGAAATCAAGAACATCATTACATTCGTTTTAGAAATAATGGTAGACCGAGAATAGTGTTATTGTTTTATGGATATTGTAAATTATTAAGTGACAGGATCTGTTTTACTGCATAATGAAATATATTTTGCAGACAAACCAAAAGTTAAAAGTTGTTATTGTGCTTGTCCCTGCTGTGGTCTTTGCAGTTCATTCTTGCCCTGTGAATCTTTACATCTTTGCATAATGTCAATGTGTGCTGTACTTACCCAAGCAAATAAATGGCTTCAACAGAGGGCATCCAAAATACAGTGGGGGAAAAAAGTATTTAGTCAGCCACCAATTGTGCAAGTTCTCCCACTTAAAAAGATGAGAGAGGCCTGTAATTTTCATCATAGGTACATGTCAACTATGACAGACAAAATGAGAAAAAAAAATCCAGAAAATCACATTGTAGGATTTTTTATGAATTTATTTGCAAATTATGGTGGAAAATAAGTATTTGGTCACCTACAAACAAGCAAGAGTTCTGGCTCTCACAGACCTGTAACTTCTTCTTTAAGAGGCTCCTCTGTCCTCCACTCGTTACCTGTATTAATGGCACCTGTTTGAACTTGTTATCAGTATAAAAGACACCTGTCCACAACCTCAAACAGTCACATTCCAAACTCCACTATGGCCAAGACCAAAGAGCTGTCAAAGGACACCAGAAACAAAATTGTAGACCTGCACCAGGATGGGAAGACTGAATCTGCAATAGGTAAGCAGCTTGGTTTGAAGAAATCAACTGTGGGAGCAATTATTAGGAAATGGAAGACATACAAGACCACTGATAATCTCCCTGAAGATTAAACGTGGCTGGGTCTTTCAGCATGACAATGATCCCAAACACACCACCCGGGCAACGAAGGAGTGGCTTCGTAAGAAGCATTTCAAGGTCCTGGAGTGGCCTAGCCAGTCTCCAGATCTCAACCCCATAGAAAATCTTTGGAGGGAGTTGAAAGTCCGTGTTGCCCAGCGACAGCCCCAAAACATCACTGCTCTAGAGGAGATCTGCATGGAGGAATGGGCCAAAATACCAGCAACAGTGTGTGAAAACCTTGTGAAGACTTACAGAAAACGTTTGACCTGTGTCATTGCCAACAAAGGGTATGTAACAAAGTATTGAGAAACTTTTGTTATTGACCAAATACTTATTTTCCACCATAATTTGCAAATAAATTCATAAAAAATCCTACAATGTGATTTTCTGGATTTTCTTTCTCATTCTGTCTGTCATAGTTGACGTGTACCTATGATGAAAATTACAGGCCTCTCTCATCTTTTTAAGTGGGAGAACTTGCACAATTGGTGGCTGACTAAATTCTTTTTTTCCCCACTGTATGTGTGATCAAAGGCAGCTACTAGCATGTACTGCCCAGCCCAATTCTTAATGTTTAGCTCACCTCATCCATGTAGCCAACCTAATGTAGCCTACCTAATGTAGCCTACCTAATTCTCAAGTCAGCTTGAGAATGCATTGAAAAGCCCACTGAAAAGCCCCACTCGATTTTTCATTGAAACATGCATCCTCTAGAAAGAAAAAGAAAACTGTCAGGAAAAAGTTGGCACCACTATAGTTGCAATTACTAAACAGAGAGGCAAACAGGTGATGACAATAAAGCATGAATGAAACTGAGGAGCTTAGGAGCTGGATTGTAATTTATTCTCAAACAATCTATGGTCTGACCCATTCCATCCTTACAGTATGCCAACATAGGTGGTGTTTGATGTTTGATGATCTTGTTGATCCAGTCCAGGTGTCTTTTGGAGAAGCGGGAGTACACTCCGGGCTTCTTGGGGTTGCCACAGCCACTTCCACCAGACACCAAGCCTATAAAGCCTATCTTATACTCCAACGGACCACCAGAATCCCCCTGGAAAAGGTCAACACACATTTGACCTTTCATGCACTGATAAGCTAATTCTTGTCGAGGTTATCGATGATGTTAGTTGGACCAGGTAAAGTAGCTAGAGCTCATGGCATCTGACTGGTTCAAAAGGTAATTAACCATGGAAAAAATGGCCAACAAAGTGGTAATCAATGGAGTTAGATCTATCAGTTCCCCCACACACCATACATCGCAAGCGTCTGCCTTTGTTGTCTTGACTTTGTTGCTCCTTGCACAGAGCATGTCCTGGGTGATCACATGGTTTGGGTTGTAGAAGCAGTCACAGAGCTCCCTGTCCAGTATGTACACTTCTGCCCCCTGCAGTGTGTCTTGTCTGATGTCTTGGGTAGTCTATCTAATTTTACCAGCCCCCACCCTGTCACCTGGCACTGTGTGCCAACAGGGAGGTCTTTGCCAGACTTTGAAAACGCTTTCACTTTCAAGGTCTTGCTGTTTGTCTTGACTTACATCTTCAGCTGTAAGAACAAAAATACCCCCCCTACTGTTTAGCACCAGGTCATTATCTTGTGATGATGACATCCAGACTTTTTTTAAAGGTAATATACTATACCACATCCTCTGTCTGAAATGGGTATTGGTGTATCTTGCGCTACATGATGCAAACGTCCTCATGGCATCTTCAATAAACAAATAAATCTGGACATCAACCTGAATAGAACTATTGATGCCACATTATCTACTAATGAGGCTATAATGTGCCTGCAGTTGCTGTGATTAATTCACCTTGATTAACATGTCATCTGCCTTGGTTTTGTCACTGTAGGTGCCCGGCATATAGTACTCCTCTATGTCCACCCACCGTGTGTCGTTGCTGCTCTTCAGAGAGTGAGCTCCAAGGAGGGATGTCACTGATTTCTTAGACTCCCCAAAGAAACTGCAATTCAAGACATAGTTTTCATGTTCACACTATACAGTATAATTTCCTCTGAATGGCCATTTCCAAATATTATAATCACACGCAATATAAATAAAAGCAAAAATATATATATTTTTACAGTACGGTGTATACTGTAGATGTCCCTGTGTTCAGTGCTGTGGCAGAATTTGCAGATTATTCCCACGCCATCATGACAGACTCATGACTAAATAATGCAGTCTGAAGGAGAAAAAAAAACAGTTGGCAGAGTATTTTTGTATTGTATTATTATTTTTAATGTTTATTTTTTTTGTGTGTACTTTTTGACATTTTTACTACATTTTAGGCGCTAGTGTCAAGGTCTGATGTGGATGCGGTGGTGGAGTCAAGCGCAGGACACAGAGGAATAGTCAAGATGACTTTACTCAATACCTCTTAAGGTACACACAAAATAACAGCCTCCAAAAACACAAGAGGTGTAACAAATACGCGAGTGCGTAAATCCCACAAAAGCCAAAGACACAGAACCTAAACATACAAGACAGGTGGACAATAACACACAAAATGCAAACCTAACACAGGGGAACTTATAGGAGACATAATCAAGACAGAATACGCGACAGGTGCACCAACTAGACATAACCAAACAAACATCGAAAACATCAAGCGGTAGTAGCTAGTACTCCGGGGACGACGAACGCCGAAGCCTGCCCGAGCAAGGAGGAGGAGCAGCCTCGGCGGTCTCTGTGACAGTACCCCCCCCTTGACGCGCGGCTCCAGCCGTGCGCCGACCCCGGCCTCGGGGACGGCCAGGAGGACGCGGAGCAGGGCGCGTAGGATGACTCCGGTGGAACTCCGTCAGGAGAGAGGGATCTAAAATGTCCCTCCTAGGCACCCAGCACCGTTCCTCCAGTCCGTACCCCTCCCACTCCACGAGATACTGCAGACCCCCATCCGATGTCTTGAATCTACGATGGACCGGACTGAGTACGCCGGAGCCCCCTCGATGTCCAGTGGGGGCGGAGGAGTCTCCCGTATCTCACTGTCCTGGAGTGGACCAGCTACCACCGGCCTGAGGAGAGACACATGGAACGAGGGGTTAATGCGATAATCATTAGGCAGTTGTAACCTGTAACAAACCTCGTTCAATCTCCTCAGGACTTTAAATGGCCCCACAAACCGCCGACCCAGCTTCCGGCAGGGCAGGCGAAGGGGCAGGTTTCGAGTCGAGAGCCAGACCCGGTCTCCTGGTGCATACACCGGAGCCTCACTGCGGTGGCGATCGGTGCTCGCCTTTTGCCGCCTGATGGCACGCTGCAAATGAACGTGCGCAGCATTCCACGTCTCCTCCGAGCGCCGAAACCACTCGTCCACCGCAGGGGCCTCGATCTGGCTCTGATGCCAAGGTGCCAGAACCGGCTGGTAACCTAACACACACTGGAAAGGTGTCAGGTTAGTAGATGAATGACGGAGGGAGTTCTGGGCTATCTCTGCCCAGGGAATATATCCCGACCACTCCCCCTGCCGGTCCTGGCAATTTGATCTCAGAAACCTACCCACATCCTGGTTCACTCTCTCCACCTGCCCATTATTCTCAGGGTGGAAACCCGAGGTAGGGCTAACCGAGACCCCCAAGCGTTCCATGAACGCCCTCCAGACTCTAGAGGTGAATTGGGGACCCCGATCAGACACTATATCCTCGGGTACCCCGTAGTGCCGGAAGACGTGGGTAAACAAAGCCTCAGCAGTCTGTAGGGCAGTAGGGAGACCCGGCATTGGGATGAGAAGACAGGCTTTAGAGAACCGATCCACAACGACCAGAATGGTGGTATTCCCCTGGTAGGGGGGAAGGTCCGTGACAAAGTCTACCGAGAGGTGAGACCACGGCCGTTGTGGAATGGGTAGGGGTTGTAACTTCCCCCTGGGCAGGTGTCTAGGCGCCTTACACTGAGCGCACACCGAGCAGGAGGAGACATAAACCCTCACGTCCCTAGCCAATGTTGGCCACCAGTACTTGTCACTAAGGCAGTGCACTGTCCGGCCGATACCAGGATGTCCAGAGGAGGGTGACGTATGAGCCCAATATATGAGGCGATCACAAATCTCGAGCGGAACGTACGTCCGCCCCACCGGACACTCTGGAGGAGTAGGGTCGGTGCGTAACGCCCGCTCCATCTCCGCATCGACCTCCCACACCACCGGTGCCACCAGACAAGACTCCGGCAGTATGGGCGTGGGCTCAATGGACCTCTCCTCTGCATCATATCGCCGGGACAGGGCGTCTGCCTTACCGTTCTGGGACCCTGGGATGTACGTGAGCTTAAACACAAACCGGGCCAGAAACATGGTCCACCTAGCCTGACGAGGGTTCAGTCTCCTAGCTGCCCGGATGTACTCCAGGTTACGATGGTCAGTCAGAATGAGAAAAGGGTGTTGAGCCCCCTCAAGCCAATGCCTCCACACCTTTAGGGCTTGAACCACGGCGAGCAGCTCCCTGTCCCCCACGTCATAATTACGTTCCGCCGGGCTGAGCTTCTTAGAGTAAAAAGCGCAGGGCCAGAGTTTAGGGGGGGTGCCTGAGCGTTGAGACAGTTCAGCCCCAATACCGGCCTCTGACGCGTCCACCTCCACCTGGAACGCTAAAGCGGGATCCGGATGCGCCAGCACCGGAGCAGAGGTGAACAGGTCCTTCAGTTTACTAAATGCCCTGTCGACTTCAGCTGACCACTGCAAACGCACTGGGCCCTCCTTCAGCAGGGAGGTGATGGGAGCTGCCACCTGTCCAAAACCCCGGATAAACCTCCGGTAGTAATTGGCAAAACCCAAAAACCGCTGCACTTCCTTAACCGTGGTTGGAGTCTGCCAATTACGCACGGCTGAAACATGGTCAATCTCCATCTCCACCCCTGACGCGGACAATCGATGGCCCAGGAAGGAGATGGACTCCTGGAAAAACAGACATTTCTCTGCCTTGACATACAAGTCATGCTCCAACAGCCTACTCAAAACTTGACGCACCAGGGCTACATGCTCGGCTCGTGTAGAAGAGTAAACTAGTATGTCGTCAATATACACTACTACACCTGCCCATGCAAATCCCGGAAGATCTCGTCCACAAAGGATTGGAAGACTGAAGGAGCATTCATTAACCTGTATGGCATGACGAGATACTCGTAGTGACCCGAGGTGGTACTAAATGCTGTCTTCCATTCATCTCCCTCCCTAATACGCACCAAGTTGTATGCGCTCCTGAGATCCAGTTTTGTGAAGAAACGCGCTCCGTGTAATGATTCCGTCATACTCGCAATCAGAGGGAGTGGATAACTGTATTTCACAGTGATCTGATTGAGACTACGGTAATCAATACACGGGCGCAACCCTCCATCCTTCTTCTTCACAAAAAAGAAACTCGAGGACGCAGGGGAAGTGGAGGGCCGTATGTATCCCTGTCTCAGAGACTCGGCTATGTATGTCTCCATAGCCACCTTCTCCTCTTGAGACAGAGGATACACATGACTACGTGGAAGTGCAGCACCTGCCTGGAGGTCTATCGCACAATCCCCCTGTCTATGAGGTGGCAATCGCGTCGCCCTAGTCTTGCTGAACACTAGTGCCAAATCAAATCAAATCAAATCAAATCAAATCAAATGTTATTGGTCACATGCGCCGAATACAACAGGTGCAGACATTACAGTGAAATGCTTACTTACAGCCCTTAACCAACAGTGCATTTATCATCATCAAATCATCATACTCAGGAGGAATGTGCAGTGCGGGCAATTGGTTCGGACTCTCCACCGTGGTCGCCCCTACGGAAACACCTAGACATCGCCCAACACACTGGGCAGACCACTCCTTGAGAGCCCTCTGTTGCCACGAAATGGTGGGGTCATGGGCGATTAACCAAGGAAGCCCCAGCACCACGGGATACGCAGGAGAGTCGATCAGATATAACTGAATGAACTCCTCATGATCCCCCTGCGCCTTCATCTTTAGTGGCTTTGTGACCTCCCTAATCAACCCAGATCCCAACGGACGGCTATCTAAGGCATGAATCTGGAAAGGCACATCTACTGGTCGGAGGGGAATCCCTAACTTAACACAAAAATGACGATCAATAAAATTCCCAGCTGCGCCTGAATCGACTAGCGCCTTATGCTGGGAATGAGATGCAACCTGGGGGAATACTACAGGTATACACATGTGACCAACAGAGAGCTCTGGGTGAGTTGGGTGCCTACTCACCTGAAATGACTCCCCAGTGTGTGACCTGTTGCCTCGATCCCCTGGAGACCCTCCCCAGCACCGAACCGCAGTGTGTCCTCTACGGCCACAGTTGGTGCAGGGGACGGCCTCCCTCCAGATCTCTCTCCTCCTCTCTCTAGCGCCAGCACCCCCGAGCTCCATAGGGCTCGGCTCGGAGGTGCTGGGGGATGGAATGGACGGCCCCAACTCCGGACGTCCGCGGGTGGCAAGCAGGGTATCCAGACGGATTGACATGTCCACCAACTGGTCGAAGGTTAAATTGGTGTCCCTGCAGGCCAACTCTCGTTGAACGTCCTCTCGCAGGCTGCACCGATAGTGGTCGATGAGGGCCCTCTCATTCCACCCCGCATCCGCCGCTAGAGTCCGGAAGTCCAGGGCGAACTCCTGTGCGCTCCGCTTCCCCTGTCGGAGGTGGAACAGACGCTCCCCCGCCGCTTTACCCTCTGGGGGATGATCAAAAACAGCCCTGAAGCGGCGGGAGAACTCCGCGTAGCTGATGGTGGCGGCGTCTATTCCCCTCCATTCGGCATTGGCCCACTCCAAAGCCTTGTCGGAGAGACAGGAGATGAGGGCGTAAACGCTCTCGTATCCCGAGGGCGCCGGGTGTATGGTTGCCAGGTAGAGCTCCACCTGAAGGAGGAACCCCTGACACCCGGCTGCGGTGCCATCATATGCCCTCGGGAGCGAGAGCCGAATCCCACTGGACTCCGGAGCTGGTATGATGGGACTGGCCGATGGTGGTGGTACGGTAGGAGGAGGTGTGGGCAAGCCTCCTCTCTCCAATCGGCGCAGGGTGTTCATGACTTCTTGCATGGCGGCGCCGAGTTGCTGGATCATGGCGTCCTGAATGCTGACCCGCTCCTCCAGTGACTCGGTCACCGCCGCTGCTGCTCCTACTGACTCCATAGGTGGTGTGTTATTCTGTCAAGGTCTGATGTGGATGCGGTGGTGGAGTCAAGCGCAGGACACAGAGGAATAGTCAAGACGACTTTACTCAATACCTCTTAAGGTACACACAAAATAACAGCCTCCAAAAACACAAGAGGTGTAACAAATACGCGAGTGCGTAAATCCCACAAAAGCCAAAGACACAGAACCTAAACATATAAGACAGGCGGACAATAACACACAAAATGCAAACCTAACACAGGGAAACTTATAGGAGACATAATCAAGACAGAATACGCGACAGGTGCATCAACTAGACATAACCAAACAAACATCAAAAACATCAAGCGGTAGTAGCTAGTACTCCGGGGACGACGAACGCCGAAGCCTGCCCGAGCAAGGAGGAGGAGCAGCCTCGGCGGTCTCCGTGACAGCTTGTAACACAAGCATTTCGCTGCACCCCCTATAACATCTGCTAAACTATGAAAGCGACCAAAAAACTTTAATTTTATTTAAAGATGAAGGTACAATGTCACATGAGAATTGAAGTGTGAAAGAGAGTGCAGCACAGAGGGACATGATGTGATATAACAGAGACAGGGATCAAGTTGCCATATATGTAATACATACTGTAAAGTTCTAAATCATATTCATGATAACCTTGGGTTGGCATTATGACCAAACTCAATTTAAGTGTAACTGAACTTTATAATCTTTCACCCCAGAGACATTTTTGTAAATGTTTGTATATAACGTACACTTACAGTTTGTGTCACGGTAAAGGCCTTATGTCCCCACAGGTGACAAGGGGCTTATGTAAGTAAGAGTGCCAAAGCCCTTATCCTGGCTCCTGTGATGTGTGACCTTCAATAAGAATTGTGGTAAAACAAGAAATTAAAAATATTTCCTACTAAGCAGAATATAAATTGTTTCGACTGAGTATGTGTTTTCAAAGCAAGCTGGTACAATTGAAGCAAAGTGCCTTATTTTAAGTTGCAATGCCTCAAGAGTATGTGACAGAGGTTGCAGGTGACAGTGACAGAAAAGAAGATTGCTACATGTGAACTATTTTTAGAGGCAATTCTGAAGAGGGGGAGATGGTAAACAATAACAAACATGCCTTCAAGTGAGCCACTCACATCTACTTCAAACCCTTCTGCTGTGTGTGTGTGTGTGTGTGTGTGTGTGTGTGTGTGTGTGTGTGTGTGTGTGTGTGTGTGTGTGTGTGTGTGTGTGTGTGTGTGTGTGTGTGTGTGTGTGTGTGTGTGTGTGTGTGTGTAAGAAAGCGAGAGAGATGTGGGGGTCTTGATATGGCCTTTGGACATGTGTTTCTACAATTGAGGAACAGGTATCACGCATGTTTTTCTCTCCAGGCCTAAATCAAAGCTTTTTGTTCAGAGGTGAATATAATCACACTGTGCCACTCAAAGGTTTTACCAGCAAAGCACAGTTCTCTGTATTCCCATAAGTTAACCTTTCGCTTTCTTTCATTTTGAAAACAACTGCTTTCTTCTTCGTTCAACTCTTACTACATTCGGAAAGTATTCAGACCCCTTGACTTTTTCCACATTTTGTTACGTTACAGCCTTATTCTGAAATGGATGAACTAGTTTTTTTCCCTCATCAATCTACACACTATACCCCATAATGACAAAGCAAAACAGGTTTTTAGAAAATTTTGCAAATGTAGAGAAAATACTAAACTGAAATATTACATTTACATAAGTATTCAGACTCTTTACTCAGTACTTCGTTGAAGCACCTTTGGCAGCGAGTACAGCCTTGAGTCTTCTTGGGTATGATGCTACAAGCTTGGCACACCTGTATTTGGGGAGTTTCTGCCGTTCTTCTCTGCAGATCCTCTCAAGATCTGTCAGGTTGGATGGAGAGCGTTGCTGCACAGCTATTTTCAGGTATCTCCAGAGATGTTCAATCGGGTTCAAGTCCGGGCTCTGGCTCGGCCACTCAAGGACATTCAGAGACTTGTCCCGAAGCCACTTCTGCGTTGTCTTGGCTGTGTGCTTAGGGTCGTTGTCCTGTTGGAAGGTGAACCTTCACCCCAACCTGAAGTCCTGAGGTCCTGAGCGCTCTGGAGCAGGTTTTCATCAAGGATCTCTCTGTACTTTGCTCTGTTAATCTTTCCCTCTGCCTTTCCTGGGCCTTTACTAGTCTGGGGGTGTGGGGGAGTTGTTTTAAGATGGTCATACAGTTGTGGTCAAAAGTTTTGAGAATGACACAAATACTAATTTTCACAAAGTCTGCTGCCTCAGTTTTGATGATGGCAATTTGCATATACTCCAGAATGTTATGAAGAGTGATCAGATGAATTGCAATTAATTGCAAAGTCCCTCTTTGCCATGAAAATGTTTCCACTGCATTTCAGCCATGCCACAAAAGGACCAGCTGCCATCATGTCAGTGATTCTCTCGTTAACACAGGTGAGAATGTTGACGAGGACAAGGCTGGAGATCACTCTGTCATGCTGATTGAATTAGAATAACAGACTGGAAGCTTTAAAAGGAGGGTGGTGCTTGAAATCATTGTTTTCCTCTGTTAACCATGCAGGTAAGCAAGGAAACATGTGCCGTCATTATTGCTTTGCACAAAAATGGCTTCACAGGCAAGGATATTGCTGCTAGTAAGATTGCACCTAAATCAACCATTTATCGGATCATCAAGAACTTCAAGGAGAGAGGTTCAATTGTTGTGAAGAAGGCGTCAGGGCGCCCAAGAAAGTCCAGCAAGCGTCAGGACCGTCTCCTAAAGTTGATTCAGCTGCGGGATCAGGGCACCACCAGTGCAGAGCTTGCTCAGGAATGGCAGCAGGCAGGTGCGAGTGCATCTGCACACACAGTGAGGCGAAGACTTTTGGAGGAAGGCCTGGTGTCAAGAAGGGTAACAAAGAAGCCACTTCTCTCCAGGAAAAACATCAGGGACAGACTGATATTCTGCAAAAGGTACAGGGATTGGACTGCTGAGGACTGGGGTAAAGTCATTTTCTCTTATGAATTCCTTTCCGATTGTTGGGGCATCCGGAAAACACCTTGTCCGGAGAAGACAAGATGAGCGCTACCATCAGTCCTGTGTCATGCCAACAGTAAAGCATCCTGAGACCATTAATGTGTGGGGTTGCTTCTCAGCCAAGGGAGTGGGCTCACTCACAATTTTGCCTAAGAACACAGCCATGAATAAAGAATGGTACCAATACATCCTCCGAGAGCAACTTCTCCCAACCATCCAAGAACAGTTTAGTGATGACCAATGCCTTTTCCAGCATGATGGAGCACCTTGCCATAAGGCAAAAGTGATAACTAAGTGGCTCGGGGAACAAAACATCGAAATTTTGGGTCCATGGCCAGGAAACTCCCCAGACCTTAATCCTATTGAGAACTTGTGGTCGATCCTCAAGAGGTGGGTGGACAAACAAAAACCCACAAATTCTGACAAACTCCAAGCATTGATTATGCAAGAATGGGCTGCCATCAGTCAGGATGTGGCCCAGAAGTTAATTGACAGCATGCCAGGGCAGATTGCAGAGGTCTTGAAAAATAAGGGTCAACATTGCAAATATTGACTCTATGCATAAACTTAATGTAATTGTCAATAAAAGCCTTTGACACTTATGGAATGCTTGTAATTATACTTCAGTATACCATAGTAACATCTGACAAAAATATCTCATAACACTGAAGCAGCGAACTTTGTGAAGACCAATACTTGTGTCATTCTCAAAACTTTTGACCATGACTGTACATAACATGAATCTTTTAGCCTTCAGGTATAATTTTTTTGTATTAAAAAATGATTTAAGAAAATATTGAGGACAGTCAAATAATTAATCATAAGGAATAAGGTTTTGAAGTGTCTGTCCTATATTTAAGAGATATAAGAAAGCTCAGGAAATATTTGGGTTTTCTTGGACACATATTTAACCGGTTATTTTTGTTGGCATAAAACGACCTCCATATTTCCATTCGTTTGTGTGGGTTACCTTGAGATGGAGAACAGCATCGTGTTCGTGAGAGTCTCCCCTTTCCATAGTGGGGTCATATTAGTTTGTAGCTCAAAGGTTTCGGACACTACAGACAGAAGTTGCCACATCAGCTTTACCGACTTCAGACAAGTCCCGTGACACTTGTTGGGGTCATAGAGTAGGGCGACCTGCCTTGTAAAACAGATGAGGATAAAGAGAAGGATTGTTTTACTATCTCACTGCATCAAATCAATTAAAGCATGGCTCTCTCACACAGCTGCGGATCATGTGGCAGTGGAATTGAAGGCACAAACTTAAGTTGACCTTATATTGAAGTTTTGCAGGTGATATGGAGCTCTCCAGGATGAATGGCAGAGTAATACAATTATGGGTCTATGATATAATGCATGAGCTGAAATGGTTTATGACTCCCTTGTCGTTCCATTAAAGATTTACTGCAGTGGGGAGAAGAGGAGATTTGGATAGATCCATTTGATTTGGATAGATCCATTGTCGCTCATGTAAGCAAACTGCCTGAAACCAGCATTGCGGACAGCACGATTTTATGCATGATGTTTTACTTATAAAAACGATTTTTATTTTTTTTATTTTATTCAAAACTTGGTAATGGATACATGTACGAAAACACTTGTACTTTTATGTCAGTTGTTATCTGGGATCGTGTTTCGACCATTTCAAAGTGGATTTGACATCAAGCAGGTTGTTGTGTGTGTGTCAGCAAGAAGCAACAAGAACACTACCCATAGCATTGTGAGAGAGACCAAGCTGCAGCAGGTGCGTCTCAACACGCATAACATCCGAGGCAACTGGCAGGACATGAGATGGATTTTCTGAGCGGCAGCAGTGCGGGACTGAGGTCAAAGATGCAGGGGGAACAAACCGATGAAGGTTCTGAATTATATCCTGTTGCTGACTTGAACTTCTCTTTCATGCTTAACGAAACAAATCAGTCCTTTGGAGAGTACTTGTCTGATTTGGAGAAAAATGATTTAGTTGGGGATGGATCCGCCGTCCTGAGAATAATAATCTCTGTGATTTACTCTGTGGTCTGTATATTGGGGTTGATAGGAAATATCCTTGTCTTATACCTCATGAAGTCTAAATGGAAGAAATCGTCCATTAACCTTTTCGTGACGAGTTTAGCGGTGACTGATTTCCAGTTTGTATTAACTCTCCCTTTTTGGGCAGTGGAGAACGCTTTGGACTTCACCTGGCTTTTTGGAAAAGCCATGTGCAAGATAGTGTCTTACGTGACAGCGATGAATATGTACGCAAGTGTCTTTTTCCTGACTGCTATGAGTGTGGCACGGTACTGGTCGGTTGCATCTGCTCTCAAGAGCAGGCGGCGCAGTCCGCGCTGCTGCTCCGCGCGCTTTATGAGCATTGTCATATGGGTTGCTGCTATATCCGCAGCTTTGCCCCATGCGGTGTTCTCCACAACCGCGACTGTCTCCAACGAGGAACTGTGCCTTGTTAAATTTCCAGACACTGTTGACGCACAATTCTGGCTTGGACTTTACCATAGCCAAAAAGTACTGATCGGGTTTCTAATACCGCTCGGGATCATCTCCGTCTGCTACCTGCTGCTTTTGCGCTTCATCACATCCAAGAATGTGAACACCTCCAGCGCAAAGAGACGCTCCAAAGTGACTAAATCTGTGACTATAGTGGTTCTGTCATTCTTCCTCTGTTGGTTGCCGAACCAGGCACTAACGGCATGGGGGATTCTCATAAAACTCAACTTTGTGCATTTCAGTTGGGAATATTACACCACCCAGGTTTATGTATTCCCAGTGTCTGTCTGTTTGGCGCACTCTAACAGCTGTCTAAACCCCATATTGTATTGTCTAATGAGAAGAGAGTTCAGAAAGGCTTTGAAAAAACTTTTTTGGCAAATAACTTCTCCATCGGTGACCAACATGAGACCATTTACGGCGACGACCAAGCCGGAGCAAGACGAGCATGGACATGCGTTGGTACGGTTAAGTCCGGCAGAGCCAGCTTTGGTTTTCTATCCACCTGGTGTTGTCATTTACAATGGGAGAAACGATATGCTCCCGAAAAGTACGTAGCCTGTCTTAATACATGTAGCCTACCAAGCTGTCTATGTGGCCAAGTCGATTTCGAATAAATGAATTTCAACAGAATGTATGTTTGTTTGTTTGTATGTATTATTGTGTTGATCGATTTAATTATTAATTAAATATGTATACTGTATATGTATTTATTTATTTCTAGCACCATTATTACCACTATATTTGTCAATTTTACGCATCAGTGAGAAGTGGCATGCCCTGGACTGATTGAAGCCTAAACTTGTCTAGACAGATTCAGAAACGTGTTGTAGAGACCTTTTCCAATGTCACTCAATCGTGTTACAACTGAATAAAGGCATTTCACTCTTCGAAATGTATTTCATAGATGCACATCATTCATGTATAAAACCAGCCAGTCGGTTAATCTTACGTAAATTCTGGGCTTTAATGTATATGTGTGACACATCAAAATAAAGACCTGGATTATCTTGACATACACAGTTTGATAGATTAAAACTCTGATGTGGTAAATAAATCCTACACATGCTCCTGAGTTTTACATGACTTGCACTGCCTTTTTAGAAATACTGTGACATATCTAACCTGTAGGGAATGTATTCAGTTGTGCAAAATCTATTTAGTTATGCGAAGACCTTATAAATCAGTAATTGAAGTGGAAACAAACAAACAGTGGGCTATCATAGTCTCTTCTCTCCTCTCACATTTATTTGAATGTCCTATCCTTCAATGTCTTTCAGAGTTCAATTTAGAGGTGCAGTGTGTGAGATAGTTATTTCACATCACTTGTAAGCATCACTATTTTAAGAGCATACACCAGCAGTTAGTCCTTTATTCTGAGCTAATTGCGTCTAGGAAAAATGGGCATGCCAGAGGTGTGCAGTGGTGATCTGTAAAGTTGCTTATGAAAGGTGGGGGGTTGACAGACACCTAGTCACTCTGCACCAACTCTAAAGAGCACTGCAAGGGGCACATCATTGATAATAACCCTCTGAGCAGACCACATTACATATTGCACCTCTGTGCATGCATACCACATGGTAAACTGCACAATACATGCTTCTGTGCAAATCTCTTTCAGAGGAGTCAAACTTCTTAATTTTTATTAATTCAATTTCGATTGATGTGCTTGGCAGAATTCATCTGGAGCCACTTGGCTCAAAGTTTAGACTTTGATAGTTGGATTGATGTTGGAGAGTAGTCTGGATAAAAGCCTCGCCTAATGGCACAACATTAGTATGACTCATCTGTTTTTACCAACATCGTTTTGAGAACATCTACACTGGTATAGCAAATGGGGAAGAGAGGGAGGTGGAATGGAAAGCATTGAGCTGCACACAGTTTGTTCTGCCTTTCTCAGTAACATATATAACGCAGCTTTTGAATCCATTTACAAAACCCTTCAAAGGATTTACAGAACAGAGGGAGACCAGGTAAAAGGGTCTTAGTAAATATCTTTATTCAAATAGGTTATTCCACGTATCTAATGAAGAGGGCGATGAACAGACAGCCAAGTAGAGACATTGTTGATGCGGAGAGGACCACCACAATCACACTTCCTGCCATGTTGACCAATGCCCCCAGTCCCGCCCCTACGATGATCTGAGCCAGCTGCACCATACACGTGAGCGCTGCACAATCCACGCCGGTGCCTCGATCCTGTCCAGCAGGATTACCTGTCCCCAGCTTCCTCTGTACCTGGTGGGAGGATGGGAGACGTTACATTTGTATCAGTATAATGTCATAAGAGGAAAGAATTCATTTGAGAAATTCCATAAACACTCTCACACTCAAGTGTGCACACAGATATACGCGCGCACACAGATATACGCGCGCACACACACACACGCACGCGCGCACACACACAACTAAATGTATTCAGGACAAACGTATTCACAGTTCACGCTTTATAAAATATGATGTGAAAAGCATGTGGTGAAACTGAAGGTAATGGGACCTGTAGTGACACAATACCAGATTAAGAGTGGCTGGGGAAGAGTCTTGTGAACATGCCTGGTAAGCAGAATTACAAGCAATGCCTCAACTCCAAATCAATAAACTAGTTAACACAAATCCCCTTTGTGTCCTGCTCTATGGGGAGTAAATATATTGATAACACAATAGACTACTAGGAAATGGAGCTGAAACAAGATGAGATGTTTGGTTTGATATACAGTGGGGAGAACAAGTATTTGATACACTGCCGATTTTGCAGGTTTTCCTACTTACAAAGTATGTAGAGGTCTGTAATTTTTATCATAGGTACACTTCAACTGTGAGAGACATAATCTAAAACAAAAATCCAGAAAATCACATTGTATGATTTTTAAGTCATTAATTTGTATTTTATTGCATGACATAAGTATTTGATCACCTACCAACCAGTAAGAATTCCGGCTCTCACAGACCTGTTAGTTTTTCTTTAAGAAGCCCTCCTGTTCTCCACTCATTACCTGTATTAACTGCACCTGTTTGAACTCTTTACCTGTATAAAAGACACCTGTCCACACACTCAATCAAACAGACTCCAACCTCTCCACAATGGCCAAGACCAGAGAGCTGTGTAAGGACATCAGGGATAAAATTGTAGACCTGCACAAGGCTGGGATGGGCTACAGGACAATAGGCAAGCAGCTTGGTGAGAAGGCAACAACTGTTGGCGCAATTATTAGAAAATGGAAGAAGTTCAAGATGACAGTCAATCACCCTCGGTCTGGTGTTCCATGCAAGATCTCACCTCGTGGGCCATCAATGATCATGAGGAAGGTGAGGGATCAGCCCAGAACTAAATGGCAGGACCTGGTCAATGACCTGAAGAGAGCTGGGACCACAGTCTCAAAGAAAACCATTAGTAACACACTACGCCGTCATGGATTAAAATCCTGCAGCGCACGCAAGGTCCCCCTGCTCAAGCCAGCGCATGTCCAGGCCCGTCTGAAGTTTGCCAATGACCATCTGGATGGAATGGGAGAAGGTCATGTGGTCTGATGAGACAAAAATAGAGCTTTTTGGTCTAAACTCCACTCGCCGTGTTTGGAGGAAGAAGAAGGATGAGTACAACCCCAAGAACACCATCCCAACTGTGAAGCATGGAGGTGGAAACATCATTCTTTGGGGATGCTTTTCTGCAAAGGGGACAGGACGACTGCACCGTATTGAGGGGCGGATGGATGCGGCCATGTATCGCGAGATCTTGGCCAACAACCTCCTTCCCTCAGTAAGAGCATTGAAGATGGGTCGTGGCTGGGTCTTCCAGCATGACAACGACCCGAAACACACAGCCAGGGCAACTAAGGAGTGGCTCCGTAAGAGGCATCTCAAGGTCCTGGAGTGGCCTAGCCAGTCTCCAGACCTGAACCCAATAGAACAGCTTTGGGAGGGAGCTGAAAGTCCGTATTGCCCAGCGACATCCCCGAAACCTGAAGGATCTGGAGAAGGTCTGTATGGAGGAGTGGGCCAAAATCCCTGCTGCAGTGTGTGCAAACCTGGTCAAGACCTACAGGAAACGTATGATCTCTGTAATTGCAAACAAAGGTTTCTGTACCAAATATTAAGTTCTGCTTTTCTGATGTATCAAATACTTATGTCATGCAATAAAATGCAAATTAATTACAATGTGATTTTCTGGATTTTTGTTTTAGATTCCGTCTCTCACAGTTGAAGTGTACCTATGATAAAAATTACAGACCTCTACATGCTTTGTAAGTAGGAAAACCTGCAAAATCGGCAGTGTATCAAATACTTGTTCTCCCCACTGTAAATCAGTGTAATAGACTATAATCTATCAGTTGGAAAAGTGGAAAACAGGCACATTAACAAATGTTTGCTCTATGATAGTGAAATGGAGGAAAAGTACAAGGGTGGGAAAAACTTTTGCTTTGTCACTTGTGGACTTTCTTGGAATCGTTCCATCTGTTTTATTATGCAGTATTAGTATTTCCCAATTCATGGTGAAAGCGGCGATTTAGGGATTATCTCTACTGAAATTAATCAGCCTTGTGCATTGGCAGACTGGACTACAGTTAGTAATTTGGGACTTTATTGCTGTACATTATGTTCTCAGGTGGATAATATGGATAATATAGTATATGGATAAAATAGTAGACATCTATAAACTCAGGACAGTTTTGATCCCAATCTGAATTTGATCCAAATAATTTAGATTGATTATGCTAATTATATCTAAATGAAAATGGCAAAGTAGGATTTGTAATTTTATGAAAAACCATGGAGTGCTGTCCAGAGATGTCCTTACTGAAGGTGACAGGAAGGGTTGAATATAAAGTAAAGTGCAGATTGGCTAAACTTAATCTCATTAATCACTTTTTCCATCCAAATCCAAACCTTTCCCTATTTACATCCTGAAAGGCTGTGTTCACTTTTAAGCCAAAACACTAATAGGAAAGCACTATGTCTTAGCGAGGCCTGTTTCGCATCTGGGTAGTTCCATGTCATTTCAGCAAGCCATGACACCCAGCATTTCAGATTGTTCTGAAATCATTTCTGTAGTTAGAAACAGATAAGATTTGCATTTCTGCAACGTTCTTTTGTTGAAATATAATATAAAATATAATTGGCCATTTTAATACGATTCATATAACATTCAATAAATATACATATCATTGATTTGGGCCAAACCTTTTTCTAACAATGAGTAAGACATGAGGAATCCAAACAAATGATCAAAAATATAAACACAACATGTTACAATTTTAAAGATTTTACTGAGTTACATACAGTTCATTTACACTAATAGGAAAGCACTATGTCTTAGCGAGGCCTGTTTCGCATCTGGGTAGTTCCATGTCATTTCAGCAAGCCATGACACCCAGCATTTCAGATTGTTCTGAAATCAGTTCTGTAGTTAGAAACAGATAAGATTAGCATTTCTCCAACGTTCTTTTGTTGAAATATAATATAAAATATAATTGGCCATTTTAATACGATTCATATAACATTCAATAAATATACCTATCATCGATTTGGGCCAAACTTTTTTCTAACAATGAGTAAGACATGAGGAATCCAAACAAATGTTCAAAAATATAAACACAACATGTTACAATTTTAAAGATTTCACTGAGTTACATACAGTTCATATACAGCACCAGTCAAACTTTTGGACACTTCTACTCATTCAAGGGTTTTAATTTATTTTTTACTATTTTCTACATTGTAGAATAATAGTGAAGACATCAAAACTATGAAATAACACATATGGAATCATGTAGTAACAAAAAAGTATCAAACAAATCAAAATATATTTTATATTTGAAATTCTTCAAATAGCCACCCTTTGCCTTGATGACAGCTTTGCACACTCTTGGCATTCTCTCAACCAGCTTCACCTGGAATGCTCTTCCAACAGTATTGAAGGAGTTCCCACATATGCTGAGCACTTATTGGCTGCTTTTCCTTCACTCTGCGGTCCAACTCATCCCAAACCATCTCAATTGGGTTGAGGTCAGGGGATTGTGGAGGCCAGGTCATCTGATGCAGCACTCCATCACTCTCCTTCTTGGTCAAATAGTCCATACACAGCCTGGAGGTGTGTTGAGTCATTGTCCTGTTGAAAAACAAATGATAGTCCCACTAAGCGCAAACCAGATGGGATCGCGTATCGCTGCAGAATGCTGTGGTAGCCATGCTGGTTAAGTGTGCCAGACAGTGTCACCAGCAAAGCACCCCAACACATTTAACATTTAAGTCATTTAGCAGACGCTCTTAACCAGAGCGACTTACAAATTGGTGCATTCAATTTAGGATAGCCAGTGGGACAACCACCCTTTTTTTGTGGGGAGGTGGAAGGATTACTGTTATACTATTCCAGGTATTCATGGAAGAGGTAGTGTTTCAAGTGTCTCCGGAAGGTGGTCAGTGACTCCGCTGTCCTGGCGTCGTGCCTCCTCCATGCTTCATGGTGGGAACCAAACATGCGGAGATCATCCGTTCACCTACTCTGCATCTCACAAAGACAAGGCGGTTGGAACCAAAAAGAGCAAATCTGGACTCATTTCTTGGCCCAAGCAAGTCTCTTCTTATTATTGGTGTCCTTTAGTAGTGGTTTCTTTGCAGCAATTCGATCATGAAGGCACTGATTTACTCAGTCTCCTCTGAACAGTTGATGTTGAGATGTGTCTGTTACCTGAACTCTGTGAAGCATTTATTTGGGCTGCAATTGCTGAGGCTGGTAACTCTAATGAACTTATCCTCTGCAGCAGAGGTAACTCTGGGTCTTCCTTTCCTGTGGCGGTCCTCATGAGAGCCAGTTTCATCATAGCGCTTGATGGTTTTTGCGACTGCACTTGAAGAAACTTTCAAAGTTCTTGAACATTTCCGGACTGACTGACCATCATGTCTTAAAGTACTGATGGCCTGTCGTTTGTCTTTGCTTATTTGAGCTGTTCTTGCCATAATATGGACTTGGCCTTTTACCAAATAAGGCTATCTTCTGTATACCACCCCTACCTTGTAACAACACAACTGATTGGCTCAAACGCATTAAGGAGGAAAGAAATTCCACAAATTAACTTTTAACAAGGCACACCTGTTAATTGAAATGCATTCCAGGTGACTACCTCATGAAGCTGGTTGAGAGAATGCCAAGAGTGTGCAAAGCTGTCATCAAGGCAAAGGGTGGCTACTTTGAAGAATCTCAAATATAAAATATATTTTGATTTGTTTAAACACTTTCTTGGTTACTACATGATTCCATAAGTGTTATTTAATAGTTGTGATGTCTTCACTATTATTCTACAATGTAGAAAATAGTAAAAAATAAAGAAAAACCCTGGAATGAGTAGGTGTGTCCAAACTTTTGACTGCTACTGTAAGGAAATCAGTCAACTGAAATAAATTCACTAGGCCCTAATCAATGGATTTCACATGACTGGGAAAACCAGTCAGTATCTGGTGTGACCACCATTTGCCTCATGCAGTGCGACACATTTCCGTCGCATAGAGTTGATCAGGCTGTTGATTGTGTCCTGTGGAATGTTGTCCCACTCCTCTTCAATGGCTGTGTGAAGTTGCTGGATATTGGCAGGAACTTGAACATGCTGTCGTACACGCCGATCCAGAGCATCCCAAACATGCTCAATGGGTGACACGTCTGATGAGTATCCAGGCCATGGAAGAACTGGGACATTTTCAGCTTCCAGGAATTGTGTACAGATCCTTGCGACATGGGGCTGTGCATTATCATGCTGAAACATGAGGTGATGGCAGCAGATGAATGGCACGACAATGGGCCTCAGGATCTCGTCACAGTATCTCTGTGCATTGAAATTGCCATCGATAAAATGCAATTGTGTTCGTTGTCTGTAGCTTATGGCTGCCCATAACATAACCCCACCGCCACCAAGGAGGAACTCTGTTCACAACTTTGACATCAGCAAACCGCTCGCCCACACGATGCCATACACGTGGTCTGCGGTTGTGAGGCCGGTTGGCCGTACTGACAAATTCTCTAAAACGAAGTTGGAGGTCGCTTAAATTCTCTGACAACAGCTCTGGTGGACATTCCTGCAGTCAGCATGCCAATTGTGTGCTCCCTCAAACCTTGAGACATCTGTGGCATTGTGTTGTGTGACAAAACTGCACAAGGTGCACCTATGTAATGATCATGCTGTTTAATTAGCTTCTTGATATGTCACACCTGTCAGGTGGATGGATTATCTTGGCAAAGGGGAAATGCTCATTAACAGGGATGTAAACAAATTTGTGCACAACATTTGAGAGAAATAAGCTTTTTGTGCATATAGAACATTTCTGGAATCTTTTATTTCATCTCATGAAACGTGGAACCAAGACTTTACATGTTGCGTTTATATTTTTGTTCAGTGTAGTATTAGTTCTCTATGTCTGACAAGTAGTATGGAGCTGCGGCTCGGAGTATTGTTTCTTCATCCTATGTAATGTATTCTCAGTGAATTGGGGGATGTTTTTTTCCTCTGTTCAGAGAAATTAGTCATTGAAGTTGTTAGGTTTATGTCCCATCCTACATCCTGATATTAGGGATAGCTCACCCAAATTACAAAATGACATATTAGTTTCCTTATGTGGCACAAATCCAATGCAAGTGAATGACCACGTACAGGGAGGAGGTGAGGGCTCTGGGAGTGTGGTGCCAGGAAAATAACTTCTCACTCAACGTCAACAAAACAAAGGAGATGATCGTGGACTTCAGGAAACAGCAGAGGGTGCACCCCCCATCCACATCGACGGGACCGCATTGGAGACGGTGGAAAGCTTCAAGTTCCTTGGCATACACATCACTGACAAACTGAAATGGTCCACCCACGCAGACAGTGTGGTGAAGAAGGCGCAACAGAGCCTCTTCAACCACAGGAGGCTGAAGAAATTTGGCTTGGCACCTAAAACCCTCACAAACTTTTACAGATGCACAATTGAGAGCATCCTGTCGGGCTGTATCACCGCCTGGTACGGCAATTGCACCGCCCGCAACCGCAGGGCTCTCCGGAGGGTGGTGCGGTCTGCCGAACGCATTACCGGGGGCAAACTACCTGCCCTCCAAGACACATACAGCACCCGATGTCACAGGAAGGCCAAAAAGATCATCAAGGACATCAACCACCTGAGCCACTGCCTGTTCATCCCGCTATCATCCAGAAGGCGAGGTCAGTACAGGTGCATCAAAGCTGGGACAGAGAGAATGAAAAACTGATTCTATCTCAAGGCCATCAGACTGTTAAATAGCCATCACTAGCACATTAGAGGCTGCTGCTGCCTATTGAAATCACTGACCACTTTAAGAAATGGAACACTAGTCACTTTAATAATGTTTACATATCTTGCACTACTCATCTCATATGTATATACTGTATTCTATTCTATAATATTCTACTGTATCTTAGTCCATGTCGCTCTGTCATTGCTTGTCCATATATGTATATATTCTTAAATTCCATTCCTTACTAGATGTGTGTGTATTGGGTATATGTTGTGAAATTGTTAGATATTACTGCACTGTTGGAGCTAGAATTACAAGCATTTCGCTATACCCGCAATAACATCTGTTAAACACGTGATTGTGACAAATAACATTTGATTTGATTTGGTACTTACTGTATGTTATCATTTTCGCGCTTCATATCCAAATCATCTATATGTGACATAATTGAGTTACACAATACATTTTTAATACTTTATGATGATTTGGATATGAAGCATGAAAATTGTAATATATGTACAATTGACTTGGATAGGATTTGTGAAAGAAATGCTAATCGATTAGCATTTGAAACAGTGGCCAACAAAACCAAAGCATGGGTTTTTCACCTAATAGAGGGCACAGCACCATCTAGTGGTCAGAACCTGGTAATATCAGGATGTAGGGTGTGACACAAACCTAACATCTCCAATGACTAATTTCTCTGAACAGGAAAAAAAAAACATCACCAAATTCACTGAGAATACATTACATAGGGTGAACAAACAATACTTTGAGCTGCATCTCCATACTACTTGTCAGACATAGAGAACTGATACTACATACTCGTTGTTAGGGTGGGATTGGCATGGGGTGTCTGTGGGTGGCTTTTGACAATTTATTGGGATTCCTAACTCATTGTTAGAAAAATCTGTCCAAATCGGATGTTAGGTGCTATAAATTAAAATGGCCAATTTGGGTGCAATCAATTAGCTTAATTTCTCAGAGATCTAATCATTTTTTAGTAGCTACCACAGCCAGTTCAACTCTACCTCTAGCTATGTGTCAGGTAGCAGTATCTAACAGCTGTTATGTGTATGGAAATGTTTTGTAGCCTTTTTGTCCCGTTTCTACAGAAGGCAATTAACTTGGGTCACACTAGACCTGAATCAAACGATGAAACCAGCAGCCAATCGATTGAAGACCAATATTCTGACTTTTCTTGACAGCGCAAGGTCAGACAGCCAAGGAAGACCAGTCAACGGAGCGCAAGTGAATTTTGCAGTATTTTATAACAATCAATGAATGTACAAAGTTCCTTCTTGAGTTGATGAGTAGGCTACAGTCTGGGATCTGGGAATAATGGTTATTTCAAATATTAAACCATTGATTCTATTCTTGTATAATGTAATGTATACAGTGCATTTGGAAAGAATTCAGACCTCTTGACTTTTTCCACATTTTGTTACGTTACAGACTTATTCAAAAATGGATTAAATAAATAAATAAATACAAATCCTCATCAATCTACACACAATTCCCCATAATGACAAAGCGAAAACAGGGTTTTTGGAATTTTTTGCAAAGAACAAAAAACAGAAATACCTTATTTACAAAGTATTCAGACCCTTTGCTATGAGACTCAAAATTGAGCTCAGGTGCATCGTGTTTCCATTGATCATCCTTGAGATGATTCTACAAGTTGATTGGAGTCCACCTGTGGTAAATTCAATTGATTGGACATGATTTGGAAAGGCACACACCTGTCTATATAAGGTCCCACAGTTGACAGTGCATGTCAGAGCAAAAACCAAGCCATGAGGTCGAAGGAATTGTCCGTAGAGCTCTGAGACTGGATTGTGTCGAGACACAGATCTGGAGAAGGGTACCAAAAAATGTCTGCAGCATTGAAGGTCCCCAAGAACACAGTGGCCTCCATCATTCTTAAATGGAAGAAGTTTGGAACCACCAAGACTCTTCCTAGAGCTGGCCGCATGGTCAAACTGAGCAATCGGGGGAGAAGGGCTTTGGTCAGGGAGGTGCCAAAGAACCCGATGGTCACTCTGACAGAGCTCCAGAGTTCCTCTGTGGAGATGGGAGAACCTTCCAGAAGGACAACCATCTCTGCAGCACTCCACCAATCAGGCCTTTATGGTAGAGTGGCCAGACGGAAGCCCCTCCTCAGTAAAAGGCACATGACAGCCCGCTTGGAGTTTGCCAAAAGGTACCTAAAGGACTCTCAGACCATGAGAAGCAAGATTCTCTGGTCTGATAAAACCAAGATTGAACTCTTTGGCCTGAATGCCAAGCGTGACGTCTGGAGGAAACCTGGCACCATCCCTATGATGAAGCATGGTGGTGGCAGCATCATGCTGTGGGGATGTTTCAGCATCAGGGGAGACTAGTCAGGATCGAGGGAAAGATGAACGGAGCAAAGTGCAGAGAGATCCTTGATGAAAACCTGCTCCAGAGTGCTCAAGACCTCAGACTGGGGCGAAGGTTCACCTTCCAACAGGACAACGACCCTAAACACACAGCCAAGACAACGAAGGAGTGGCTTCAAGACAAGTCTCTGAATGTCCTTGAGTGGCCCAGCCAGAGCCCGGACTTGAACCCGATTTAACATCTCTGGAGAGATCTGAAATACAGATGTGCCAAGCTTGTAGCGTCATACCCAAGAAGACTCTAGGCTGTAATCGCTGCCGAAGGTGCTTCAACAAAGTACTGAGTAAAGGGTCTGAATACTTATGTAAATGTGATATCAGTTTTTTATTTGTAATACATTTGCTAACATTTCTAACAACCTGTTTTCACTTTGTCATTATGGGGTACTGTGTGTAGATTGATGTGGATTATTGTATTTTTTTATCCATTTTAAAATAAGGCTGTAACGTTACAAAATGTGGGAAAAGTCAAGGGGTCTGAGTACTTTCTGAATGCACTGTAATCATATGTGTTGGGCACAGAGATGAGGTAGTCTTATTGTGACTTTTTAAGCACATTTTTACTCCTTGACTTGTTGAGGCTTGCCATAACAAAGGGGTTGAATACTTATTGACTCAATACATTTCAGCGTTTCATTTGTAATTAATTAGTAAATAATTTGAAAAACATAATTTCGCTTTGATATTATGGGGTATTGTGTGTCGTCCAGTGACAGAAAAAATCTATATTTAATCAACTTTAAATTCAGGCTGTAACACAACAAAATATTTAAAAAAGTAAAGGGGTGCGAGTACTTTCGGAAGGCACTGTGAAACTCACTTAGATAATACCTTTGACAATACAGTAGTAGCAATACATGATTATAACATTATAGAAAAGACAGAAATTACAATGGGTATGGTGCTGCGGTTTATATTCAGAGTCGTATTCCTGTAATGCTTAGAGAGGATCTCATGTCAAATGCTGTTGAAGTAATATGGCTACAGGTTCACCTGCCTCACCTAAAGCCTATTGTTGTGGGAATCTGCTATAGACCACCAATAACTAACAGTCAGTATCTGGATAATATGTGTGAAATACTTGATAATGTATGTGATATCAACAGAGAGGTATATTTTCTGGGTGACCTAAATATTGACTGGCTTTCATCAAGCTGCCAACTCAAGAAAAAGCTTCAAACTGTAACCAGTGCCTACAACCTGGTTTAGGTTGTCAGTCAACCTACCAGGGTATTTACAAACAGCACAGGAATGAAATCACATCTTTACTAATGCTGCAGAAATCTGCTCTAAAGCAGTATCCACATCCATCGGATGTAGAGATTATAATATAGTAACCATATCTAGGAAAACCAAAGTTCCAAAGGCTGGACCTAATACAGTGTATAAGAGGTCATACAATAAGGTTTGTAGTGATTCCTATATTGAAGATGTAAAGAATATTTGCTGGTCTGGGGTGTGTAATGAGGAGCAACCAGACGCTGCACTTAACGCATTTATGAAATTGCTTATTCCAGTTACTAATAAGCATGCACCCATTAAGAAAATGACTGTAAAAACATAAATCCCAGTGGATTGATGAGGAATTGAAAAAACGTATGGTTGAGAGGGATGAGGCAAAAGGAATGGCAAATAAGTCTGACTGCACAGCCGATTGGCAAACGTACTGTAAATTGAGAAATGTTGTGACTAAACTGAACAAAAAGGAGAAGAAACTGTAAATAATGATAGTAAAAAGCATTGGAGCGCCTTAAATGAAATTTTGGGCAAAAAGGCGAACTCTGCTCCATCATTCATTGAATCAGATGGTTAATTCATCACAAAACCCTGAACTGATATTGCCAACTACTTCAATTATTTTTTCATTGGCAAGATTAGCAAATTTAGGCATGACACACCAACAACAAATTCTGAACCTACACATCCATGCATAACTGATCAAGTTATGAAAGACAAGCATTGTCATTTTGAATTCCGTAAAGTGAGTGTGGAAGAGGTGAATTATTATTTTTTGTCTATCAACAATGACAAGCCACCTGGGTCTGACAACTTGGATGGAAAATGATAGAGGATGATATTGCCACTCCAATTTGCCATCTCTTCAATCTAAGCCTAAAGGAAAGTGTGTGCCCTCAGGCCTGGAGGTAGGCAAAAGGAATTCCGTTACCCAAGAATAGCAAAGCACCCTTTACTGGCTCAAACAGCCGACCAATCAGCCTGTTACCAACCCTTAGAAAAATTCAGGAAAAATTTGTATTTCAAATCAGATGTTATTGTGGGTGTAGCAAAATGCGTGTGCTTCTAGCTCCGACAGTGCAGAAATATCTAACATGTAATATCTAACAATTTCACAACATATACCCAATACACACAAATCTAAGTAAGGAATGGAATTTAAGAATATATACATACAGTGAGGGAAAAAAGTATTTGATCCCCTGCTGATTTTGTACATTTGCCCACTGACAAAGAAATGATCAGTCTATAATTTTAATGGTAGGTTAATTTGAACAGTGAGAGACAAAATAACAACAAAATAATCCAGAAAAACGCATGTCAAAAATGTTATAAATTGATTTGCATTTTAATGAGGGAAATAAGTATTTGACCCCCTCTCAATCAGAAAGATTTCTGGCTCCCGGGTGTCTTTTATACAGGTAACGAGCTGAGATTAGGAGCACACTCTTAAAGGGAGTGCTCCTAATCTCAGCTTGTTACCTGTATAAAAGACACCTGTCCACAGAAGCAATCAATCAATCAGATTCCAAACTCTCCACCATGGCCAAGACCAAAGACCTCTCCAAGAATGTCAGGGACAAGATTGTAGACCTACACGAGGCTGGAATGGGCTACAAGACCATCGCCAAGCAGCTTGGTGAGAATGTGACAACAGTTGGTGCGATTATTCTCAAATGGAAGAAACACAAAATAACTGTCAATCTCCCTCGGCCTGGGGCTCCATGCAAGATCTCACCTCGTGGAGTTGCAATGATCATGAGAACGGTGAGGAATCAGCCCAGAACTACACGGGAGGATCTTGTCAATGATCTCAAGGCAGCTGGGACCATAGTCACCAAGAAAACGATTGGTAACACACTACACCGTGAAGGACTGAAATCCTGCAGCGCCCGCAAGGTCTCCCTGCTCAAGAAAGCACATATACAGGCCCATCTGAAGTTTGCCAATTATCATCTGAATGATTCAGAGGAGAACTGGGTGAAAGTGTTGTGGTCAGATGAGACCAAAATTGAGCTCTTTGGCATGAACTCAACTCGCCGTGTTTGGAGGAGGAGGAATGCTGCCTATGACCCCAAGAACACCATCCCCACCGTCAAACATGGAGTTGGAAACATTATGCTTTGATGGTGTTTTTCTGCTAAGGGGACAGGACAACTTCACCGCATCAAAGGGACGATGGACGGGACCATGTACAGTCAAATCTTGGGTGAGAACCTCCTTCCCTCAGCCAGGGCATTGAAAATGGGTTGTGGATGGGTATTCCAGCATGACAATGACCCAAAACACACGGCCAAGGCAACAAAGGAGTGGCTCAAGAAGAAGCACATTAAGGTCCTGGAGTGGCCTAGCCAGTCTCCAGACCTTAATCCCATAGAAAATCCCTCCTGAGATGTGTGCAAACCTGGTGGCCAACTACAAGAAACGTCTGACCTCTGTGATTGCCAACAAGGGTTTTGCCACCAAGTACTAAGTCATGTTTTGCAGAGGGGTCAAATACTTATTTCCCTCATTAAAATGCAAATCAATTTATACAATTTTTGACATGTGTTTTTCTGGATTTTTTTTGTTGATATTCTGTCTCTCACTGTTCAAATAAACCTACCATTAAAATTATAGACTGATCATGTCTTTGTCAGTGGGCAAACGTACAAAATCAGCAGGGGATCAAATACTTTTTACCCTCACTGTATATGGACAAGCAATGACAGAGCGGCATGGACTAAGATACAGTAGAATATTATAGAATACAATATTTACATATGAGATGAGTAGTGCAAGATATGTAAATATTATTAAAGTGACTAGTGTTCCATTTCTTAAAGTGGCCAGTGATTTCAATAGGCAGCAGCAGCCTCTAATGTGCTAGTGATGGCTATTTAACAGTCAGATGGCCTTGAGATAGAAGCAGTTTTTCATTCTCTCGGTCCCAGCTTTGATGAACCTGTATTGACCTCGCCTTCTAGATGATAGCGGGGTGAACAGGCAGTGGCTCGGGTGGTTGATGTCCTTGATGATCTTTTTGGCCTTCCTGTGACATCGGGTGCTGTAGATGTCCTGGGGGCGGGTAGTTTGCCCCCGGTAATGCGTTCGGCAGACCGCACCACCCTCTGGAGAGCCCTGCGGTTGCAGGCGGTGCAGTTGCCATACCAGGCGGTGATACAGACCGACAGGATGCTCTCAATTGTGCATCTGTTTGTGAGGGTTTTAGGTGCCAAGCCAAATTTCTTCAGCCTCCTGAGGTTGAAGAGGCTCTGTTCCCCTTCTTCACTACACTGTCTGCGTGGGTGGACCATTTCAGTTTGTCAGTGATGTGTACGCCAAGGAACTTGAAGCTTTCCACCTTCTACACTGTGGTCCCGTCGATGTGGATAGGGGGTGCACCCTCTGCTGTTTCCTGAAGTCCACGATCATCTCCTTTGTTTTCTTGATGTTGAGTGAGAGGTTATTTTCCTGGCACCACACTCCCAGAGCCCTCATCTCCTCCCTGTAGGCTGTCTCGTCATTGTTGGTAATCAAGCCTACTACTGTTGTGTCGTCTGCAAACTTGATGATTGAGTTGGAGGCGTGCTTGGCCACGCAGTCATGGGTGAACAGGGAGTACAGGAGGGGGCTGAGCACGCACCCTTGTGGGGCCCCAGTGTTGAGGATCAGCAAAGTGGAGATGTTGTTTCCTACCTTCACCACCTGGGGGCGGCCCATCATGAAGTCCAGGACCCAGTTGCACAGGGCAGGGTTCAGACCCAGGACCTCGAGCTTAATGATGAGCTTGGAGGGCACTATGGTGTTGAATGCTGAGCTATAGTCAATGAACAGCATTGTTACATAGGTATTCCCCAGATGGCATAGGGTAGTGTGCAGTGTGATGGCGATTGCATCGTCTGTGGATCTATTGGGGTGGTAAGCAAATTGAAGTGGGTCTAGGGTGACAGGTAAGGTAGAGGTGATATGATCCTTGACTAGTCTCTCAAAGCACTTCATGATGACAGAGGTGAGTGCTACGGGGTGATAGTCATTTAGTTTAGTTACCTTTGCTTTCTTGGGTACAGGAACAATTGTGGCCATCTTGAAGCATGTGGGGACAGCAGACTGGGATAGGGAGAGATTGAATATGTACCAGCCAGCTGGTCTGTGCATGCTCTGAGGACGCGGCTAGGGATGCTGTCTGGGCCGGCAGCCTTGCGGGGGTTAACGTGCTTAAATGTCTTACTCACGTCGGCCACAGAGAAGGAGAGCCCACAGTCCTTGGTAGTGGGCCGCGTTGGTGGCACTGTGTTATCCTCAAAGCGGGCGAAGGTGTTGTTTAGCTTGTCTGGAAGCGACACGTCGGTGTCGGCGACGTGGCTGCTTTTCCTTTTGTAGTCCATGATTGTCTGTAGACCCTGCCACAAACGTCTCGTGTCTGAGCCGTTGAATTGCGACTCCAGTTTGTCTCTATACTGATGTTTTGCCAGTTTAATGGCCTTGCGGAGTGAGTAGCTACACTGTTTTGTTTGTAATCTGCCATATTCCCAGTCACCTTACCATGGTTAAATGCAGTGGTTCGCGCTTTCAGTTTTGCGCGAATGCTGCCATCTATCCACGGTTTCTGGTTAGGGTAGGTTTTAATAGTCACAGTGGGCACAACATCTCCTATACACTTCCTGATAAACTCAGTCACCGTTTCAGTGTATTAGTCTGAATTATTTCCGTAAACTACCCGCAAGCTACCCGGAACATATCCCAGTCCACGTGATCAAAACAATCTTGAAGCGTGGATTCCGATAGAACGCTATTTCATAGTAAACAAATTAACAACAGATTTTTCAGCACACTTATAGGGAAGGGCATTCAACTACGGAACACAAATGACTGATGATTGTCTGGGAGAAATTGAGCTGTTTTGTTAGACTTTTGTTGACATTATCGATCATAGCATGCTGCTGGAAAAACTTGTGTGTTATGGCTTCACATCCCCTGCTATATTGTGGATAGAGAGTTACCTGTCTAACAGAACACAGAGAGTGTTCTTTAGTGGAAACCTCTCCAACATAATCCAGGTAGTCACGCATTCCCCAGGGCAGTTGTCTAGGCCCTTTACTTTTTTCAATCTTTAATAATAACCTGCCACTGGCTGATTAAAGAATGACTCAACACTATACACGTCAGCTACCACAGCAAGGAAATCACTTAACAAAGAGCTGCAGTTCGTTTCAGAAAGTGTGGCAAGAAATACGTTGGTCCTAAATATTTCAAAAACTAAAAGCATTGTATTTGAGGACAAATCATTCACTAAACCCTAAACCTCAACTAAATCTTGGAATCAATAATGTGGAAATTGAGCAAGTTGAGGAGACTAAACTGCTTAGTGTAATGCTGAATTGTAAACTGTTATGGTTAAAACATATTGATGCAACAGTAGCTAAGATGGGTAGAGGTCTGTCCGTAATAAAGCGCTGCTCTGCTCTCTTGACATCGCTATCAACAAAACAAGTCCTACAGACCAGTGGCGGCTCCTGAAAAAATTCTCAGGAGGGGCAATTTTTCTGATGATTTAGGTGACCTACACACATTTAAAAAAAAAGATATGTCCAGCAACAACATGAAGACAGGGGCAGCATATAAGTCAATACCAGAAGCATTTATTGACTGATCTCAAAAGTGTTGGCTTACCAGGGTTGGTGGAGCCCTCAGTTTCATCTTTGCCTCGCAAAGCTAACTCAAACACTCCGCAAAACTTCACACACTGGATTAGCCGGCTGAGGATGTGGCGGTTCTTGCTAATGTCGTAGTAAATATATTTGTTATAGTGAATATGGAATATGATATGTTGAGTAAAATGTTGTGCTAAGATCTATTTAGGTCAGGAGCTGGTTATAAGTTCTGTTCCTATCCAATAACAATGGACAAAAGGGTCCTATCTTGTCAGCCTTGTCAGCAGGTGGCCAAGGACAACACCCACGCCATAGGCCTCTCAGTTCTTCCAACTCACGAGTTCTTGCTCTGAGGACACACACACACACAAACACACACACACACACATCATCACTGTTAAACACACACACACACACACACACACACACACATCATCACTGTTAAACACACACACACACACACACAAAAATCCCCTCTCTTAGGCTGAACATTTGAAGACAGAGAACCCGACTCAGAGCCAATGCAACAGTGACAGTAGCCTGGAGGTGACCTCGCCCAACTCATCAGGACCAATCAGAAGATCAGAACTACTAGATTGAACCTACTTCATTTATTGCATAAAATGTCTGCACACAATGTTTCGGGGCTCTCTTCAGATAATAATAATAATAATAATAATATGCCATTTAGCAGACGCTTTTATCCAAAGCGACTTACAGTCATGCGTGCATACATTTTTGTGTATGGGTGGTCCCGGGGATCGAACCCACTACCTTGGCGTTACAAGCACCATGCTCTACCAGCTGAGCTACAGAAAGTGGATACTCATGGATGCGCATTGCAATTGTAAAATGTCAACACAATTGGAGACACCACGTCATTTTTGGAGACATGTTATTGACAGTAAACTATTGTAGATGCGACTGCTAACTAAATAAAACATTTTAGCTGGCTAGCTAATCATCTTAGCTAAATGTGGGGCAAACAATTCAGTTATTTACCGTTAATTTGAGGGATTGGGGTGAAAGAAATCGAGTTACATAGTGATACTTTACGATATACTGTATTGACAATATCGCAATATTTTAGCGCTAGTTGGCTGTACCTGCACCAAAACACCATTATTGTTCCTTCATAGCTTGTTCTCAATCTTTTCACATTGGGAGCCAATTAGTTTTCAGCACTTTTATTTCCATGACTGATCAAAACTCGTTCTCATGGCTTTCTGATCCCTCTGCAACAGACATATGGTGCGCAATAAAATCACAGTATCGAATCGCAATACGTATAGAATCATGAGACTCGCAATGCTGATGCATATATCTTATCGTGAGGTTCCTGGCAATTCCCAGCCCAAGTTCATTTGCCACAACAAATCTCTTCGCTAGCAAACGCGATGTCTTCTCCAAAACGACAATGTGTCTCCAGCAATGTTTACTTTTTTGACGTTCTATGGCATCTCCACTTTCCAAGCATATATGACCACATGTAATATTTTGGTAAGTGATGCAAATAGTGAACTATGTAGGGCCAGGATGTAAAATATATGTAGCTGCAGCAATTTCTCTTATCTGATATGGTAAGTAATGGGGCTTAATTTATTGCTCCCTAAGAGTTTGACGAACGGGTCCGTGAACGCGATTCCAGATATATTTACCTCTGAATAAACTGCCTTTATTACACCATATCCACATCCAGTAAACTTGTGATTATCAACACTAACCTCATCGTTGTGGCGGCGGACAGCTAGCCTGTATCCCTCGTCATCCAGTTGAGTGGCAATGTCTTTTTTCGTTCGTACCAATTTTTGGAAAATCCTCGGGTGTAGGACTTTCCGCCTTTAGTAGAAACCTGTTGAATTATTAAATTTGGTCTGGGAGGTCCTAATTGTTTCGTTGCCAATTTATCTTAATTTGTTCGCCGACAAAAAGGAACTTCTTTCAAAGACACAATCGAGTTGGACTGAAGCCTAGCCATTTTGATAGTAGTAGTGAATTGATTGAGGCTGCTACCTGGTCTTTTCTTAGTTACGTTCATTCGTGGTTACGTTATGTATGACGAAAGCGCGTAAGTGCAAGCCCACAGACACCCATAGAGAATGTATTGAAAGCTTTGAAATGTGGAAAAAATAGATTTTACATGACAGGCTATGAGAGACTTCTGGGCGATTTTCAACCTGACTGAAATCGCCCAAAAAACGGGCGGGGCCATTTGAAGCACGACTTTAGCCTGATTTGACATTTAGTGGCTGTCAGATCAGACGTGAACACTGATAACTGCTGTTGCCGTGATATAATTTTTTATAAATTTATAAAAAATATATATATATATATATATTTTTTTTTTTTTTTATAATTGATTAGAAAAAAAATCCCTTCCTTTTCCCGTTTGGCAGTGCGTCGCCCATATCGCCCTATTGAACAAGCCGTCCCTGCTACAGACCCTAGTTTTGTTGCACCTGGACTCCTGTCTAGTAATTTGGTAAAGTGCCACAAAGAGGGACATAGGCAAATTACAATTAGCCCAGAACAGAGCAGCACGGCTGGTCCATAAATGTACACTGAGAGCTAACATGAATAATATGCATGTCAATCTCTCCTGGCTCAAAGTGGAGGAGAGATTGACTTCATCACTGCTTGTATTTGTGAGAGGTATTGACATTACATTTACATTTTAGTCATGAAGAAAAGAAAAAGGGGAGTTCTCCTCTGTGATAAATTACATGTTGTAAACGCAAATCTAAAAGGGCAGCTGCGCATAGGGTTGCAAAATTCCTGGAACTTGCAAATAATTCCATGGTTTCCCAGTGGCAATCCTGGTTGGAGGCTTTTGGATGTCCTGCTTATTCCTTTCTGATTCTGGGAATCCTCCAACAGGGATTTCGGCAAAACCAGGAATTTATTGAAAGTTCTCTGAATTTTGTAACCCTAGCTCTGAATCACTCCATATACAGTGCCTTCGGGAAAGTCTTCAGACCCCTTGACTTTTTCAACATTGTTACGTTACAGCCTTATTCTAAATTTTTACACAAATCTACACACAATACCCCATAATGACAAAGCAAAAACAGGTTTGTAGACATTTTTGCAAATGTATTAAACATTTTAAACCGAAATATTAAATTTACATAAGTATTCAGACCTTTTACTCAGTCCTTTGTTGAAGCCCCTTTGGCAGTGATTATAGCATCGAGTCTTCTTGGGTATGACGCTACAAGCTTGGCACACCTGTATTTGGGGAGTTTCCCCCATTCTTCTCTGCAGATGCTCTCAAGCTCTGTCAGGTTGGATGGGGAGCGTTGCTGCACAGCTATTTTCAGGTCTCTCCAGAGATGTTCGATCGGGTTCAAGTCCGGGCTCTGGCTGGGCCACTTTAGGACATTCAGAGACTTGTCCCGAAGTCACTCCTGCGTTGTCTTGCCTGTGTGCTTAGGGTCATTGTCCTGTTGGAAGGTGAACCTTCGCCCCAGTCTGATGTCCTGAGTGTTCTGGAGCAGGTTTTCATCAAAAATCTCTCTCCTGACTAGTCTCCCAGTCCCTGCCGCTGAAAAACATCCCCACAGCATGATGCTGCCACCACCATGCTTCACCGTAGGGATGGTGCCAGGTTTCCTCCAGACGTGACGCTTGGCATTCAGGCCAAAGACTTCAATCTTGGTTTCATCAGACCAGAGAATCTTGTTTCTCATGGTCTGACAGTCTTTAAGTGCCTTTTGGCAAACTCCAAGCGGGCTGTCATGTGCCTTTTACTGAAGAGTGGCTTCCGTCTGGCCTGATTGGTGGAGTGCTGCAGAGATGGTTGTCCTTCTGGAAGGTTCTCCCATCTCCACAGAGGAACTCTAGAGCTCTGTCAGAGTGACCATCGGGTTGTTGGTCACCTCCCTGAACAAGGCCCTTCTCTCCCGATTGCTCAGTTTGGCTGGGCGGCCAGCTCTAGGAAGAGTCTTGGTGGTTCCAAACTTCTTCCATTTAAGAATGATGGAGGCCAGTGTTCTTGGGGATCTTTAATGTTGCAGAACTTTTTTCATACCCTTCCCCAGATCTGTGCCTCGACACAATCCTGTCTCTGAGCTTGGTTTTTGATCTGACATGTACTGTCAACTGTGGGTTTGTATTTATTTAATCCATTTTAGAATAAGGCTGTAACGTAACAAAATGTGGAAAAAGTCAAGGGGGTTGAATACTTCCCGAAGGTACTGTATGAGCTACAGACAGGTGGTGGATGAGGTTCGCAACCTCTACACATTATTATATTTTAACGTAAGCTGCTACAGCCTCAGAATGCACAATCCACTATCAGTTCCATAATAACTATCTGGAGGTGAGAGAGTAGCCTGGTCCCATATCTGTTTGTGCAGTCTTGCCAACTCCTATGGTCATTGAGGATGGACAAACACATGTGGGACCAGGCTATGAGAGAGAGAGGGTACTGACCTCCTCCTCCCGATGGTACTCTGAGATGAGGTTGAAGGGGATGGTGTACAAGGTACTGGACATGACTCCGAAGACACTGCACAGGATGAGGGTGGTGGTGATGTTGGGGAACAGGCCGATCAGACTGGTGCCCAGGCCAAACACGAAGTATCCCACAAAGTAGAGCCCTTTCAGACCGATGAAGGGCAGCAACAGCCTCTGGACATCTGGAGACACATCAGACGGAGGGAGGGAGGGAGGGAGGTTTCAGCTTTACACAGTATGTGGACTGGTACTGCCAAGTAAGACTTTTTTTTACAAAATATACTACTGTATAAGAACACGCAACATGTCCAAGAAGACTGCAGGTGTAACTAAATATAGAAGTGATTTCTTACTCGAGGGCACAATGAAAATTCAAACTGCCTGGGATATGAATAAGCCATTTCTTATCACTCCATGTTGCCATACCTATTGTAGCAAACTGTTGCCATAGTGCTCCTTGTTACTTTGCTTACCTTGTGGCAAACATTTGAATGACACTGAATAAACAAACACAGCATCATTGGTAATTCAGTTACATGGAATGACGACGGCACAATGGAAATAGCCTGTTGTTCTGCTTAGTGACATTGGATCTTATGCATGCAAATGTATGTCACTATTCTCCATAGACAGAAGATCAATTTGGTTTGTTCGCCACGCTCTACTTTCAGTGATTGGAGTTTAAACTATAAGACAAGGCAGTCTTACTTAATGAAATCCATTACCAAACAATAATCAAATTATAAGCATCTGCTATGCACTTTTGCAGAGTGAGTGATTTAATATGTTCTGTGCTGTGATTTAGGGTATTCACACAACATATACCACAGTCGCCAAGCTCGGACTTCTGTGGAAAGTTCCCTGTGTTTTGGGCGGACATGGGCAGACAAGATATGAACTCATAAGCTTTAGAAAGAGGAGTGTAGCATACGGTAAGACTCTTTACAACAAAATAAAAATTTGCAAAGGAAATTAGCTATGGCTCTTTTGTGGACATTGGGTGACTACACATATACCCTTAAGCTAAATCACATGTTGCAGACATTGGATGACTCCAATTACATTTACGTTTTAGTCATTTAGTAGACATGCTTATCCAGAGAGACATACAGGAGCAATTAAGGTTAAGTGCCTTACTCAAGGGCACAGCTGCAGATTTTTTACCTAGTCAGCTTAGGGATTCAAACCAGCAACCTTTCGGTTACTGGCCCAATGCTCTTAACCGCTAGGCTACCTGTCAATAATGTCTTACTTATGTATGCTGCGACACGACTTACAGGAGTAGAGAGCAGAGGAGACGGCGTTGATACAGAGACCCCAGCATCCAATCTCCACCCCCCTCTCATACCGCTCATAGGCTGTAGAGTTATGGTCCGCATACGGGTTGCCCTTATACACAATCTGTCAACACACACAATCAACTCAACCATTATTACACACACACTTTATGACCAAGTATGATGATTATGATAATTATGATAATTACATACACAATGGAGACAAAGTCACCACCACAGCTGAATATGAATTGAACTGGTTATTTACAATAAATGTGGTGTTTGATTGAATATGTCTCTCCAATCTCCACCCACTCCACTGACATATAAAAGTGGTGGTATGGTTGTTGAGGGTTAAGATAAAGCTAGCGCCTGCATGAAGTGACGGAGGATGATGCATTTATCTTATAGTGCATGTGCTGCACAGTAGCTTGTAACAGTTAACAAGCTCCATCCCATTTGTTATTATAGCTGCCAAAGCCTGTGTCAACGTCATAAACTGCATCTGCCACTGCTCTCTATTGATACAGTCAAAGCACGGTTTGTTTAAGTCTGACCTGCTGCTTTGTTTGCCTCAGTCTACCTTCAACCATTAATTCACTACGACCACCATGACCATCGTGTCACTGCAGCCTGCGTAAGAGCAGTCATCAGCATGCAGATCAGATCAGACATGATCACCATAAAGCCTGTCTGTCAATGTCTTCATTACAGAGCAATTAATAGTTGGGCACACAGAACCAAATCAGCCAAGGCTGTGACGAGAGACTACCCACCAATCAGGGCATGTCGTGATGGTGCTAAATCAATAGACAGGAAGCATTTTAATGAACACAGCGATGAACCTCTATCACATAACGTTAAAGACGACAGAAAGGTAATTTGTTTTCATAGGTAAAAAATATTAGAATGTAAATTGAGTGAAAACATTAAAGTTCTCTTATGGCCATCTGTCAAATAAGGGTAATCATTAGTAGTACATGAGTGATATAATTTGTTTGTCCTTTAAATGGCAGCTACATAGACCCACTAACTAATTCCTTTCATCCTACGCTCTCACTATCTCACTCTCCGTCTCTCGCTCTCTCTTCTCACCTGTCCCATGAAGTCTGTGAAGAAGAGCATGTTGCAGAGGAAGGCGGTCCATCCCAGCAGGTGAGTGACACAGAGACAGCGGTAATGACTGGGCATGTTAATCATGGCCAGGAGACACGACTTCAGAGTCATCCTCTTCTGCTGCAGGCAGACACAGAATAGAGACACACACAAGGCAGATCATTAGATCATGAGACTTCAGAGGGACTCACACGGGAACAGCAGGGGGTCAGTGAAAATCAAGTCAAGAACAAAGGGAATTAAAAAAGAACCAGGAACTGTAAGGTGTCAAATAAGAATAAAGAAGTCAGATGAAAGCTACTAGCTAATGACAGATACACTAGCCTTATGCTGTAAAAATTATGTTTTAACAAGTCAGGAACAGCGGGAATTAAACAAATTAAATGTTTAAAGAAATGGGTGAGAAAAACAACAACAATGTTCTCTCTCTTTAATCTTGTTCTGGTTTAATATACTGTAGTTATGTGCTCTGTGGGATTCAAAGCTTTTTCTATTGCTTAAGTGTACACAGAGTGGCATGACAGCATACATTTATTCAAATCATCATCCCAAAATACATTCCCCATAAAACTTTTCTAGGAATGCTTCTGCAAAATCAAAAAGGAATATGAAAATATATATGGTTGCACCAACGTACACTGTCTGACTACTGTGATAATGGAGGACCCTGCCTGCTAAAATAGTCTCCTCTAGCAAGGATACACGGTAATTATTTCCTGCCTCGTTTCATAGAATTTTGAATTACTTCTGCAAAGTAAGTCATCATTAATTTCCAGCCATAGTTATAATAATAGTATAATAATATGCCATTTAGCAGAAATAGTTACACACTGGGCATAAAATACCCATCATCATTAAATTACCATTGTTAAATGCTATGGTGCTGAATTGAATTGTTGAATGCTAGTCTGAGTTTCAATGCATCTCTTTCAGAGCACTGGTTTGAATGGCTGTCTGAGCCTTAGAGATCATATCATTCATTTAATTCCAGGGTGTGAGCTACCTATACCTATAGTACAGTATAATGACCATTTCAATGACTTTATCTGTGTGTATGGGGTAACATTACAACCTTTTAGTGGCTGTTTTACAACCTGACCATGCCTGATGACTGCCTGGTCTCATCAACATCAAGGTAACCATGCAAGTAATCCAGCTGCCACCGGTAACTAAGAAGACCAGTTTCCTCCATTAACACTGGGTTTGGGAACAGACAGACACAACTCATTGTTTCTTGCTTCTTTAAATAACTACATGACCCTTGTCCTCTAACAATCCTCCCATCTCCAATCTATAATAATAATATGCCATTTAGCAGACGCTTTTATCCAAAGCGACTTATAGTCATTTGTGCATACATTTTTACGTATGGGTGGTCCCGGGGATCGAACCCACTACCCTGGCGTTACAAGCGCCATGCTCTACCAATTGCGCTACAGAGGACCAATCTCCACCTCTCCTCTTCTCTATCCACTCTATCCACTCTCCTCTATTCACACCACATATGGAAATTAATTATATAACTTGAAATACCGTAAAATTCAAATGATGCGGTTACTGTGACAATGGCTGGGGAGTGGTCATCACTGCCACACACCAGAGCTAATTTCAATGCTACACATGTAGGATCTTAATTTGACCTGTATTGTAACAGCAAAAGAATCCTGCAGCAACAGGATTTTAACATTTAGTCCATAATGTTGCTTGATCATTTGTTAGGCTATTAGCTGGTCAAAATGAGTCTACATGAAAAGTGGAAAACTGTTAATATAACCAACCGTGTGTTAGTGCCAGTGGTGATTTATTTATTAATGAGCGAGTTAGGACGGACGTAGTCAATATAACTATTTGTTCAGCACTTTGAAAAGTGCAGCGACAGAATTCAGAACATGGGCCGTTCTTACAGTGTTCTCCCTGTACACCAAGTCAGAACCGTAGGATAAATGAAGGGGGCATATAAGCAGACAATGAAAGTTCTCACAATACGATGATTACATTTCTCTAAAACAGGCTATAGGCTAAATGTGCATCACCAAGTCAGAACAGTAGGCTAAGTTATGAGGAAGAAATGGACCAAATTATTAGGGTGAGGCACATGGGCTACTAATACTTTACTACACAACATACACTTACAGTGAGGGAAAAAAGTATTTAATCCCCTGCTGATTTTGTATGTTTGCCCACTGACAAAGACATGATCAGTCTATAATTGTAATGGTATGTTTATTTGAACAGTGAGAGACAGAATAACAACAAAAAAATCCAGAAAAACGCATATCAAAAATCGTATTAATTGATTTGCATTTTAATGAGGGAAATAAGTATTTGACCCCTCTGCAAAACATGACTTAGTACTTGGTGGCAAAACCCTTGTTGGCAATCACAGAGGTCAGACGTTTCTTGTAGTTGGCCACCAGGTTTGCACACATCTCAGGAGGGATTTTGTCCCACTCTTCTTTGCAGATCTTCTCCAAGTCATTAAGGTTTCGAGCCTGATGTTTGGCAACTCGAACCTTCAGCTCCCTCCACCAATTTTCTATTGGATTAAGGTCTGGAGACTGGCTAGGCCACTCCAGGACCTTAATGTGCTTCTTCTTGAGCCACTCCTTTGTTGCCTTGGCCGTGTGTTTTGGGTCATTGTCATGCTGGAATATCCATCCACGACCCATTTTCAATGCCCTGGCTGAGGGAAGGAGGTTCTCGCCCAAGGATTGACGGTACATGGCCCCGTCCATCGTCTTTTTGATGCGGTGAAGATGTCATGTCCCCTTAGCAGAAAAATACCCCCAAAGCATAATGTTTCCACCTCCATGTTTGACGGTGGGAATGGTGTTCCTGGGGTCATAGGCAGCATTCCTCCTCCTCCAAACATGTCGAGTTGAGTTGATGCCAAAGAGCTCGATTTTAGTCTCATCTGACGACAACACTTTCACCCAGTTCTCCTCAGAATCATTCAGATGTTAATTGGCAAACTTCAACTTGGTGATTATGGTCCCAGTTGCCTTGAGATCATTGACAAGATCCTTCCGTGTAGTTCTGGGCTGATTCCTCACAGTTCTCATGATCATTGCAACTCCATGAGGTGAGATCTAGCATGGAGCCCCAGGCCGAGGGAGATTGACAGTCCTTTTGTGTTTCTTCCATTTGCGAATAATCGCACCAACTGTTGTCACCTTCTCACCAAGCTGCTTGGCGATGGTCTTGTAGCCCATTCCAGCCTTGTTTAGGTCTACAATCTTGTCCCTGACGTCCTTGGACAGCTCTTTGGTCTTGGCCATGGTGGAGAGTTTGGAATCTGATTGATTGATTGCTTCTGTGGACAGGTGTTTTTTATACAGGTAACAAGCTGAGATTAGGAGCACTCCCTTTAAGAGTGTGCTCCTAATCTCAGCTCGTTACCTGTATAAAAGACACCTGGGAGCCAGAAATCTTTCTGATTGAGAGGAGGTCAAATACCTATTTCCCTAATTAAAATGCAAATCAATTTATAACATTTTTGACATGTGTTTTTCTGGATTTTGTTGTTGTTATTCTGTCTCTCACTGTTCAAATAAACCTACCATTAAAATTATAGACTGATCATTTCTTTGTCAGTGGGCAAATGTACAAAATCAGCAGGGGATCAAATACTTTTTTCCCTCACCGTATATTGGTTCATGACTTCCCTGAAAAGTTGCTTTTCGTGGGGGCTGTTTGATGCTAATGCAGTACGCCACAGGATGTTTTTGTGCTGGTCAAGGGCAGTCAAGTCTGGGGTGAACCAGGAGCTATATCTGTGCTTAGTTCTGGATTTTTTGAATGGGGCATGCTTATTTAAGATGGAGAGGAAAGCACTTTTAAAGAACAACCAGGCATCCGCTACTGACGGAATGAGGTCAATATCCATCCAGGATATCCAGGCCAGGTGCCCGCTGAAGTGTTTTAGGGAGCGTTTGACAGTGATGAGGGATGGTCGTTTGACCGCGGACCCATTACGGACGCAGGCAATGAGGCAGTGATTGCTGAGATCCTGGTTGAAGACAGCAGAGGTGTATTTAGAGGGTAAATTAGTCAGGATGATATCTATTAGGGTGCCCATGTTTACGGATTTAGGGTTGTACCTGATAAGTTCCTTGATAATTTGTGTGAGATTGAGGGCATCTAGTTTAGATTGTAGGACGGCCAGGGTGTTAAGCATATCCCAGTTTAGGTCACCAGCAGTACGAACTCTGAGGATAGATGGGGGGCAATAAATTCACATATGGTGTCCAGGTCACAGCTGGGGGCTGAGTGGGGTCTGTAGCAAGCGGCAACAGTGAGAGACTTATTTCTGGAAAGGTGGATTTTTAGAAGTAGAAGCTCAAACTGTTTGGGCACAGACCTGGATAGTATGATAGAGCTCTGCAGGCTCTCTCTACAGTAGATTGCAACTCCGCCCCCTTTGGCAGTTCTATCTAGACGGAAAATGTTGTAGTTGGGGATGGAAATTTCAGAGTTTTTGGTGGCCTTCCTAAGCCAGGATTCAGACACTGCTAGAACTTCAGGGTTGGCGGAGTGTGCTAACGCAGTGAATAACTCAAACTTAGGGAGGAGGCTTCTGATGTTAACATGCAAGAAACCAAGGCTTTTACGCTTACAAAAGTCAACAAATGATAGCGCCTGGGGAGTAGGAGTGATACTGGGGGCTACAGGGCCTGAGTTAACCTCTACATCACCAGAGGAACAGAGGAGGTGGATCTTCGTGGGTGTCGCAACGGGAAGCCTGTTGAAACCACATCAGACGATTACGTTGGCAGACCAGTCGTGATGGATTGGCGGGGCTCCGTGTCGACAGTAGGAGGTCCCGTCCGGTTGACAGAGAGGTAGATAGCCGGGAGATGGGCCTGGCTCGAGGCTAGCTCAAGGCTAACTGGTGCTTGTTTCGGGGCAGTGGTGATTAGCCAACAACAACATCCATTCGGTTGCAGCTAGCTAGTTGCGATGATCCGGTGTTAAAGGTCCAGTGATTCAGTGATTCCAGCAGAAAATCTGATATGTTCTGGGTCGATAGCGCGCTGTGCAGACTGGCTGATAATTGTCCAGGCTAGAGCTGGCTGGTAGGTTGTGCAGGCCACGGACAATGGTGAAAACCACTAACGGTGGCTAATAGCAAGTAGCGAGCAAGTAGCTAGTTAGCTGGATAGCTGGCTAGTTTCAGATGGAGGTTCTTGATAAAAAGGTATGAGAAATAATAGAATCCGTTCCACATTGGTTGAGGAGGGTTGCAGGAAAGTATATTTAGTTGAAGGATGAAAAGTGAGATTGAGAAATATATACGAAAAAGACAAAAAAAACTGGCTATTTACCCGAGCACACTACAGAATACACGACCGCACTGCTATGCCATCTTGGAAATATAAACTAAGAGGTTTTCTACGTAAGTCATTCAGATGACAATAGGCTACGCCCGTACCGCTTGTCATGTGAATCCGGTACTGTAATATTAAATACTTTGAACCAACTCTCCATCTAAGTGTTTAACTATTCTCTTGCATACTGAATTACTCGATACCAGAAAACTCATCATAACACTTAGCTACAGTATACATATCTCCCTGGCATATTACATGATTTATGCAGCAGCATACAAGACATTTTTGGACTCACCTTGTTGTGCTGTGCTCACTTGAACAGGAAGGTGACACGGCGGTCCTTGCGGGCAAATTTGTCATCAAACTTTGTTCTCAAAGTCTGGCATTCTCTGGATTTATGGTGCTTTCAAGACAACAGGGAACTCGGAAAAAAACAAGGTTGAATCATGACTTCAGTGATGTTCAGGTCGGAGCTCTAGAAAGCGGCCCGCATTCCCGACTTAGAATTCCAAGTTGGATGACCATTCAAAACGTATTTTCCCCAGTCGGAGATAGTTTTTTTCAGAGTTCCCAGTTGTCTTGAACTCAATGAAGTCTGAGATTTCACATTTCCAAGTTTCTAGTTGTTTTGAACGCAGCAGAAGTCATGCTGGATTGACAGCATGGCCAATGTATTTAACCTTTCCTGGTCTATGGTGTTGAATGTTTATCCTTTTAAGCTTGGGAAAGAGACCCTTAAAACCAGACTTGGACCAGACACTCACTCCACTGAATAGCAGGCTAGTGTTTGCTTTGCAACGCATGCAGTTACCCACTGATTCCTTCCAAACCACTCATTGTTGAATTTGCGATTTCCAACTTGATGTGTAATGTTTATGTTCAATGGCCGATGAGCACCGATATGTTTTATTTATAATTTCTATAATAAAAAAAAAAGGATTTGCCAGTAGACTGTCGACGTGATTCATGATGATGACTGCTTGTCTAGCTTGCTAGCTAAGATTTTGAAAGTATGATGATGACATGATCAGTCCAATCAAAGCTACGGTAGATATATCGTGATTTGATGTAATTTTATCTGTGGCCAATAACCTAAGGCCTTCTTGGATGGGCACTTCTAATGTAACTATGGCAGCACCCAAGGGGCTTGAATTTTCGAGCTATCCCCGTAGATTTTGCGGTGAGAGTGTCCCCATGAGTGATAGAACACTGAGCCAATCACAGCGCAACTAGAGAACATTACCAACCCCTACGCTCTGTATTTTTCACTGGCTGCCCCACCACCACAGAAAGCACTGAGCTAGGCTGAAACACCTGCATCTTGGAGCTGCCTTACCCAAGAAAGCAAAAAAGAGACCATGTTTGTATGCGGCTTTATTAATTCAATGCTATTTAAATTTTTTTACATTGTTTGCAAACTGATATGTGACACGTATTAATGCCAAAATAACATGCCCCACCTGCCCTGAATGACGGGTCACCACTGGTTAGTGTGGGTTTTCAGTTAATTTATGTAAATTATGAAGCTCATCAGCATTTCCTGCATTTCCTCAGCACCATAGGAGTGTTCAAATTAAGATCCTACATACACTACCGGTCAAATGTTTTAGAACACCTATTCAAGGGTTTTTCTTTATTTTTACTATTTTCTACATTGTAGAAAAATAATGAAGACATCAAAACTATTAATTAACACATATGGAATAATGTAGTAACCCAAAAAGTGTTAAACAAATCAAAATATATTTTATATTTGAGATTCTTCAAATAGCCACCCTTTGCCTTGATGACAGCTTTGCACACTCTTGGCATTCTCTCAACCAGCTTCACCTGGAATGCTTTTCCAACAGTCTTGAAGGAGTTACAACATATGCTGAGCACTTGTTGGCTGATTTTCCTTCACTCTGTGGTCCAACTCATCCCAAACCATCTCAATTTGGTTGAGGTCGGGGGATTGTGGAGGCCAGGTCATCTAAGCAGCACTCCATCACTCTCCTTCTTGGTAAAATAGCCATAACACAGCCTGGAGGTTTCTTTAACTCACATCGTAGTTCTGGTATGTTTTTTTGTTGTTGTATTATTTTACTCTATTTTCTATTATTATCTATATTATTATTATCATTGCATTGTTGGGAAAGAGTTCAAGGTAAGAATTTCACTGTACTGTTTTACACCCCTTGTATCCTGTGCACATGGCGAATAAACTTTGAAACTTGAAATTTCGTGAGACTACTGTCACAAAACACCAAGGTCCCACTGTACTTTGTAAATAGTTAGTAAGGCATATCTCCTCTGGGGTAAATCAAGAGCTTTTACCCAAGGAGATACTCAAGAGGTAGTCAAACTCTTTTTAATATAACATTTAATAGAAGTGCCAATAGATATGAACATAAAACACAAACTCACAGCATGTAAACTATACACTGGGTGTACATCAAGATTACTCTAGTGTGATCATATTCTTCTTAATAAACACTGACGGCATTAAACACAGATGTCTTTCAAAGGATTTTACATTTCTTCAGTGTGTGTAGTTTCATAGACAAATCGCTTTGTTGTGTTGCCTCTAAAATACAGTATTCATGGTTGCACGTTTCGTCACAATATTGTTTTGAACAGTCATTTCAGGACTGATGCCCAGCTGATAATTCTACTCAATGCAGTCTCAATGGGTGCTGATTAAGATTTTGTCTAAAGTGCATTACAGTGGCTTGGAAACACGAGGATATTTAAAAAGGCAAATAATTAGTAGGATAAGCTTTTGTTATCATTGTGATTTCGCCAGATTGACTTTAGATGCAGTGTACCTTTATCTATCTAGCTAAGATTGAGGGGAGAGCACAGATATTTATGCTAGCTAACTTTAACATTGTTAACTATTTCTGATTAACTTTGCTGGATACAAAATTTGCCATCTCTCTAAAGTAAACTTTTATTTTTTTACAGTGTAGAAAATGTCAGCCACACTAGACTCCTTCCTGTGTCTATGACATACCTCTTTGTTAGGTTGTTTGGAGCTGGATGTGACTGAATTGGCCTCCATCAGGGCAGAGAATGAACGAGGCCGGAGGTCTGGCTCCAACTCTTTGGACATGGAATCATGCAGGGATCCATAGCCACCACTGCTACAGTGTGTGATGAGGAGGAGGAGGGCATTAGGGGGTAACGAGTCCAAACTACCATCCTTGAACAGGGGTATCTCTGGGATGCTGAAGAGATGCACGATGAGGAACACCGTCCAGGTCAGAGCAGAGAAGAAGTAGATGACCTGGTACTCTGACCCCAGCAGTCGGCCCAGGGACGAGTGACCCCAGTCCATGGCTCCCACGAGGTACCCAAAGGCACCCCCCAGCCCTGCAACAGACACAATACAGATTGGTTATCAGGTCAGGTGATGGGGGCCCTAGGCCACTTGTCATAGCACAGGTCCTGTGTGGCTCAGTTGGTAGAGCATGGCGCGATTCCCACGGGGGACCAGTATGAAAATGTATGCACTCACTACTGTAAGTTGCTCTGGATAAGAGTGTCTGCTAAATTATGTAAATGTAAGCAATCATCAGATAGTATACACACTATCTTCATGGAAAATTTCAAAACCACCTCAGGCAAATGTTTTTAAATACAGTACAATTCCTGGATTGCATATGATATGATCATCTGCAAAAAGATTTGCCTGTGGTGGTTGTGTATTTTACCATGAATACAATGTGTGCTGTATTAAATACATAAAGGGTCTGATTTATAAAATAATTGTCATGATCGTCGGATATAGAGGACCAAGGCGCAGCGTGGAAGGTGAACATACTTATTTATTAAATGATACACGAACAAAACAACAAATCGATACGTGACGTCCACCGGTGCAAAACACAAACCAACACGGAACAAGATCCCACAAACACTGTGGGAAAACCACCTGACTAAATATGGTTCCCATCAGAGACAACCAGCAACAGCTGATACTCGTTGCCTCTGATTGAGAACCACTCTGGCCAACATAGATATACAAAAACTAGACTAGACACAACGAGCACAAAACATAAACTCTACACACCCTGGCTCAACTTAAAAGAGTCCCTAGAGCCATGGCGTGACAAGAATGCTTCTTGCATCTGAATACAAAGCTCATGTCACAATGCAATGTTGAGGCTGGGTGATCTCAGAGAACCTGGGAGTAATGATAAATGTGTTTTGTCACGTAGTAAGTAAGATCCTGCACACAGATAAGTGGCTTGTTCTGTCAAACATATCCCAATAATCTGGACATATGTTCCCTCAATTCTTACCCTACATTGAGAAACCTGTAAATCAAACGTTCTCATAAATTGTGCAGCACTTTTGAGTATATCAAACTGGGATTTGATGTCAAGTGTCTGCCTGCATTAAGTCTGGACATACAGTATGTTCCCTGAATTCTAAATCCTGCATCCTACAATGAGAAACCTGCTTGCAGCTGAAACATTCTCAGAAATTATGCATTGAGTTTGAGTACCTCAAATGTCACTGCCCTACTCCCTGACTATAATATCAAAAAGCCTCTCTAGAGCCATATATAGAGAACGATATGGTAGGCTATATCTGTATGTAAGGTATATACAGTGGGGAAAAAAGTATTTAGTCAGCCACCAATTGTGCAAGTTCTCCCACTTAAAAAGATGAGAGAGGCCTGTAATTTTCATTATAGGTATACGTCAACTATGACAGACAAATTGAGATTTTTTTTCTGCAGAAAATCACATTCTAGGATTTTTAATGAATTTATTTGCAAATTATGGTGGAAAATAAGTATTTGGTCACCTACAAACAAGCAAGATTTCTGGCTCTCACAGACCTGTAACTTCTTCTTTAAGAGGCTCCTCTGTCCTCCACTCATTACCTGTATTAATGGCACCTGTTTGAACTTGTTATCAGTATAAAAGACACGTCCACAACCTCAAACAGTCACACTCCAAACTCCACTATGGCCAAGACCAAAGAGCTGTCAAAGGACACCAGAAATAAAATTGTAGACCTGCACCAGGCTGGGAAGACTGAATCTGCAATAGGTAAGCAGCTTGGTTTGAAGAAATCAACTGTGGGAGCAATTATTAGGAAATGGAAGACATACAAGACGACTGATAATTTCCCTCGATCTGGGGCTCCACGCAAGATCTCACCCCGTGGGGTCAAAATGATCACAAGAACGGTGAGCAAAAATCCCAGAACCACACGGGGGGACCTAGTGAATGACCTGCAGAGAGCTGGGACCAAAGTAACAAAGCCTACCATCAGTAACACACTACGCCGCCAGGGACTCAAATCCTGCAGTGCCAGACGTGTCCCCCTGCTTAAGCCAGTACATGTCCAGGCCCGTCTGAAGTTTGCTAGAGTGCATTTGGATGATCCAGAAGAGGATTGGGAGAATGTCATATGGTCAGATGAAACCAAAATATAACTTTTTGGTAAAAACTCAACTTGTCGTGTTTGGAAGACAAAGAATGCTGAGTTGCATCCAACGAACACCATACCTACTGTGAAGCATGGGGGTGGAAACATCATACTTTGGGGCTGTTTTTCTGCAAAGGGACCAGGACGACTGATCCGTGTAAAGGAAAGAATGAATGGGGCCATGTATCGTGAGATTTTGAGTGAAAACCTCCTTCCATCAGCAAGGGCATTGAAGATGAAACGTGGCTGGGTCTTTCAGCATGACAATGATCCCAAACACACCGCCTGGGCAACGAAGGAGTGGCTTCGTAAGAAGCATTTCAAGGTCCTGGAGTGGCCTAGCCAGTCTCCAGATCTCAACCCCATAGAAAATCTTTGGAGGGAGTTGAAAGTCCGTGTTGCCCAGCGACAGCCCCAAAACATCACTGCTCTAGAGGAGATCTGCATGGAGGAATGGGCCAAAATACCAGAAACAGTGTGTGAAAACCTTGTGAAGACTTACAGAAAACGTTTGACCTGTGTCATTGCCAACAAAGGGTATATAACAAAGTATTGAGAAACTTTTGTTATTGACCAAATACTTATTTTCCACCATAATTTGCAAAATAAATTCATTAAATATCCTACAATGTGATTTTCTGGAAATTTTTTCTCATTTTGTCTGTCATAGTTGACGTGTACCTATGATGAAAATTACAGGCCTGTCACGATCGTCGGTAAGAGAGGAGGCCCAAGGCGCAGCGTGATGAACGAACATATTTATTTATATAATGAATGCACGAACAAAACAACAAAACGAAAACGTGACGTCCTACGGTAAACACAACCCAAACGGAACAAGATCCCACAAACACAAAGGGAAAACAGACTGTTTAAATGTGGTTCCCAATCAGAGACAACCAGCCACAGCTGACACTCGTTGCCTCTGATTGAGAACCACACTGGCCAACATAGAAATAGAACACATAGACCTACAACACAGAACTAGAATGGCGGTTCCGGCTCCGGGCTTGACCACCACCCTTCAATACTCCCCCCGTAGCGCCCCTGGTCCGGTCTGGCCCCGCTGGCTGGAGCTGGACTGGACATCGTAGGAGCGGATTGCTTCAGCTCCGGTGTGGAGCAGCTGACCGGTACCTGACCAGGCACCGGTGACCCAGGCACGGGTTGTGCCGGACTGACGACGCACACCCCTGGCTTGGTGCGTGGAGCAGGAACGGGCCGGACCGGACTGACGACACACACCCCTGGCTTGGTGCGTGGAGCAGGAACGGACCGGACCGGACTGACGATGCGCACCCTTGGCTTGGTGCGTGGAGCAGGAACGGGCCGGACCGGGCTGACGATGCGCACCCCTGGTTTGGTGCGTGGAGCAGCAACGGGCCTTACCGGGCTGACGACTCGCACCCCTGGCTTGGTGCGAGTGGCAGGAACAGGCCGGGCCGGGCTGACGACTCGCACCCCTGGCTTGGTGCGAGTGGCAGGAACAGGCCGGGCCGGGCTGGCGACGCGCACCGTAGGCTTGGTGCGAGTGGCAGGAACAGGCCGGGCCGGGCTGGCGACGCGCACCGTAGGCTTGGTGCGAGTGGCAGGAACAGGCCGGGCCGGGCTGGCGACGCGCACCGTAGGCTTGGTGCGAGTGGCAGGAACAGGCCGGGCCGGGCTGGCGACGCACACCGTAGGCTTGGTGCGAGGAGCAGGAACAGGCCGGGCCGGGCTGGCGACGCACATCTTAGGCTTGGTGCGAGGAACAGGAACAGGCCGGGTTGGGCTGGCGACGCGCACCATCCACTTAGTGCGGGAAGAAGGAACGGGCCGGACCGGACTGGTGACGCACACCACTTGCTTGGTGTGAGGAGCGGGACTGGGTTTCGTCATAACCCTCCGCTCCCTCAGCTGCCTACTAAGTTCCTCTCGCCGTGCCTCAATTCTCACCTTCTCCCTTATCGCCTCCAATAGCTCCACCCTCTGCACCACTAACTCCTGCTCCCTCTGCGCCAATAGCCCCCTTAACCTGGTGGCCTCCTCACCTAACCTCCTACTACGCCCTGTAGCTGCCTCCTGCTGCCCCGTCGCCCATGCCGTATGCCCCCCCCTAAAAAATTTTTGGGGTTGCCTCTCGTCCGTCCGACGACTTACTTGTTGACGCCGTTGCTCGTCTCTCCGTCGCGCCTCTACCGTCTCACTCCATGGACGGCGATCCATCCCGGCCTGGATTTCCTCCCAGGTCCAGGACCCCTGCCCGTCCAAGATCTGCTCCCACGTCCAGGCTGCCTGCTCCTGGACACGCTGCTTGGTCCTGGTATGGTGGGATCTTCTGTCACGATCGTCGGTAAGAGAGGAGGACAAAGGCGCAGCGTGATGAACGAACATATTTATTTATATAATGAATGCACGAACAAAACAACAAAACGAAAACGTGACGTCCTACGGTAAACACAACCCAAACGGAACAAGATCCCACAAACACTAAGGGAAAACAGACTGTTTAAATGTGGTTCCCAATCAGAGACAACCAGCCACAGCTGACACTCGTTGCCTCTGATTGATAACCACACTGGCCAACATATAAATAGAACACATAGACCTACAACACAGAACTAGAATACATATAATCTACACACCCTGGCTCAACATATAGAGTCCCCAGAGCCAGGGTGTGACAAGGCCTCTCTCATCTTTTTAAGTGGGAGAACTTGCACAATTGGTGGCTGACTAAATACTTTTTCCCCCACTGTATATAGTATCTCTGGCCCCCTCTAGGGAACTTTCAATACATTCCCTGGTTTCCCAGAAATCCTGGATGGAGAATTCTGGATTTCCAGTTTATTCACTTCTGATTCCGGAAAACTTCCAAACGGGATTTCAGGAAAACCATGGAATTTATTGAACGTTCCCGGGATTTTGCAACCCTTTCCCCCACCTTCCATTATGGTAAACAGTATGGTATTGCATAGAATCTAGTACAACTTTATCAATTTTGTATCCATTCATAGAAGCAGATTAGAAAAAGTCACATCTGCATTACCGTAAAACTTCAATGAAACGCAGTCTCTCAAATAACCGGGCAACAGCACACATTTCAGCAAATAATTGCCTGTTTCAAATAAACACTGGGTCTAAATGAATTGTATACAAAGGTTACCATTAATTACCATGAATTGTTTGAGGTTTTATGTTTCATTTGTTACATTAAATAATTGAGTAATGACAACAACAAAGAAATTGTGGCAATCATCCGTTTTTATCACCAGTAAGAAACTGCTAGCCAATGGCTGCTAACAGCTGAGAACTGCTAACTAACTGGCAAGAATAAAAACAGTCAACAACTTCGGGAGTACAGACCCTTATAAATCGGCCGAAAATGCACAGTCAAAGAGGAGAATAATTAGTCTGTCAAGGAAAAGTTTTTTTTCTCTCAAAATAGAGGTATACTAAGGCAAAAGACACAGTGTGTAAATGATAACACAGTGCAGAAAATGAAGAAATTGATTAAAATGCTGGAAGTGAATGCTGGAATTTAACTATTATGTATGCAAATGAGCAAAAGCTGTGTGCATTAAGGAAATAGACGCCTGGTTCATATAAAAGCATGTCTCTAAGCGCCTGTTGTGTTCAGTGATTTCAGAAAAACGCTTGGGCTATTAATTGAAGTTTTACAGTATTCTAATTTGATGGTTGGAGATAGAGTGAGTTAAAATTAATGGATATAAAACCAAAGACCATAAAGTCCATTAACGTTCCACTACAATACTTGTATTTGTGAGAGGTATTGACATGTTGAAAGCACCGAGCTGTCTGTTTAAACGACTAGCACACAGCTCAGACACCCATGCATACCCCACAAGGCATGCCACCAGAGGGCTCTTCACAGTCCCCAAGTCCAGAACAGACTATGGGAGGCACACAATACTACATAGAGCCATGACTATATGGAACTCTATTCCACATTAGGTAACTGATGCAAGCAGTAGAATCAGATTTTTTTTTTAAAGATACAAATACACCTTATAGAACAGTAGGGACAGTGAAGCAACACAAACAGACACAGACACATGCATACACACACATAACACACACTATACACACAAGTACACATGAATTCTGTGTTGTAGATATGTGGTAGTGGGGTATGGGCCTGTTATGAATGTATTGTAATGTTTTAAAAATTGTATAACTGCCTTCATTTTGCCGGACCCCAGGAAGAGTATGTGGAATTTGTATTTGTATTTATTATGCATTGCCATTAGCTGCTGGCAGCAGCTAATGGGGATGCTTAATAAATACAAATACAAATTCCACATGCTCAGACAGAATACATTTCACTAATCTCTAAAAACATCTAAAGATGTAAACAACTCTAGTTCTAAAATAATAATCAATAGATACTTCAAAGCTCTTGGACAACACAATACGAAATATTTTGTGGTTTCTGTATTTGTATATTTCCACGCATTTATCCAATAATTGACTCGAGTTAGTCACCTCTAAATTCACAGGTTAATAAAGTTTTGTGAGTTGTGAGGGTAGTCAAAAGCAAGTTCAAGGCATATTTTTTGTTCAGGCTGTGTGACTGCAAAGCTAATGAACAGCACAAAAGACAAATATCATTACATCCAACCTCTCTGTATAAAGAAAACACACACAATCTTGCGCAGCTAACCTTGTGGGGACATACAATTCAGTCCCATTCAAAATCCTATTTTCCCTAAACCCAAACCTAACCCTAACCCGTACCCTTACCTTCACCCTAACCCTAACCCTAACCCAAAAACCTAACCCTAGCTCCTAACCCTAACACTAATCCTAACCTTAACCCCCTAGAAATAGCATTTGACCTTGTGGGGACCAACAAAATGTCCCCAGTTGGTCAAATTTTTCTTGGTTTACTATTCTTGTGGGGACTTCTGATTCCCACAAGTATAGTTAAACACGTCCACACACACACACACACACACACACACACACACACACACACATTCCTCCACACACCAGAGCTACGGTGACTAGCAGGTCATGTGCCTCCCTTCTCTCTCAGTTCCAACCCATGACTGAGTATCTGCTGGATTAGGGCGTACTGTACACACTCACACCACCCTGTGCCGGCTTCCTTGCCATCAACTGAGTCCACTTACTCACTTGCCAATACACTCAAATACCTACTCACATGCTTGTTCCCTCACTCAATCAGTGACTGACTGACTGGGCGAGCTCTGAGGGCCGTCTGCATGTTACTATGGTAGAGAAATTAACATCAATTCTCTGACAACAGCTTTGGTGGATATTCCTGCAGTCAGCATGCCAATTGCATGCTCCCTCAAAACTTGAGAGATCTGTGGCATTGTGTTATGTGACAAAAATGAACATTTTAGAATGGCCTTTTATTATCCCCAGCACAATGTGCACCTGTGTAATGATCATGCTGTTTCATCAGCTTCTTGATATACCACTCCTGTCAGGTGGATGGATTATATTGGCAAAGGAGAAATGCTCACTAACAGGGATGTAAACAAATGTGTGTGCAAAATCTGAGAGAAATAAGCTTTTTGTGCATATGGAAAATTTCTGGTCTCTTTTATTTCAGCTCATGAAAAATGTGACCAGCACTTTACATATTGCGTTTATATTTTTGTTCAGTGTATATTTAATCTGTACATGTCATAGGTTCTTATTGCTATGTTCGTACATACCAGACAGCATAACTGTCAAAGCCAATCAACCCAACACTAAGTTCTGACAAAGTGAGAGGGAGGCTACTGCATGTCATCAGCCATTGCTTACCAGTGAGAAGGGCGTGGTAGTGCAGTCCTCTTTCTTTGTCTATGTACGAGCAGACATCAAAGAGGTAGGCCTTGACTGGCCCATCGATGAAGTCTGCTGCAAAGTCAAATAGCACCACTCCAAACATGACTATGACGATGGCCCATATCCTCTTCAATGACGTATCCTGTACTAACGCTGCAAAAGAGGAGAAAGACAGGAGTTTACCTCTTTATCTCAAGATATGGTTTCGGTCTATGTCACAGATTCTTTACTCATTAATACCACTTTCAATAACTGAGATACTTTTGAATGCTCTTTGTGTTCGTTCTTTGTTGGGGTATTGTAGCTGAATAATTTCAATTTGCCTTAGGAGGTACATCTTTCCCTTAGTAATTACTTTGAAGACACACACTGGCCCAGCTGACATTTACAGATGTGATGAGACATACAAAACATTCGGATCACCTTCCGAATATTAAGTTGCACTCCCTTTTGCCCTCAGATCAATTTGTCGGGGCATGGACTCCACAAGGTGTCGAAAACATGCTGGCCCTTGTTGACTCCAATGCTTCCCACAGTTGTGTCAAGTTGGCTGGATGTCCTTTGGGTGGTGGACCATTCTTGATACACACGGGAAACAGTTGAGCGTGAACAACGCATCATGGTTGCAGTTCTTGACACACTCAAACTCAAACCGGTGTGCCTGGCACCTACTACGATATCCCATTCAAATGCATGTTGTGTTGCAGTCTTGTTAGGAATGTCGGATGCATTGTGGCCTAGGTTTTGATCTCAGAGAAATACAATACATTTTATCAAAGCTTAGTTTCATCCACTGTAGGAAAATCACAATATACTGTACTGTAGCTAACACACAGGTTGTGTATTATGATTCTATCACAGATCCCCATTTTACTATTTACTACAGTGTTGAAGAACGGTCCTTGCTATCTGGGATCATTGGTACGTCCCTACCGCATTTAAATTGGTACGTCCCTACCCCATTTACGTTCAAATTTGAAATGGTTATGGTAAGTGTTAAGAATAGGGAAAGGGTACAGGTAGGGACGTCCCTAGGGTTAGGGTAAGGAAATCCCAAGGATCCCGAATAGCACTAACTGTTGAAGAATGGAGATAATCATCTTAACAAAAGTACTGTAAATGGTCACACTTTGTATTGTACAGTATTATTACAGAGAAGGTGAAATTTGGCATAACTGAAAACTATTTTGAGGATATCAACCAACAATGTAGGCATTCACTGAAAACAAAAAGGTTAGGTTGTCAGATCTACAGTTGAAGTCGGAAGTTTACATACACCTTAGTCAAATACATTTTAACTCAGTTTTACACAATTCCTGACATTTAATCCTAGTAACAATTCCCTGTTTTTGTCACGCCCTGGCTCTGGGACTCTGTTATGTTGAGCCAGGGTGGGTTGTTTCTATGTGTTTTGTGTGCTAGGTTGTTTATCTAGTTCATTTGTTTCTATGTTGGCCGGTGTGGTTCTCAATCAGAGGCAACATGAATCAGCTGTTGCTTGTTGTCTCTGATTGGGAACCATACTTAGGTAGCCTGTTTTGCCACAGTGTTTGTGGGATCTTGTTCCGTGTTTGGTTAGTGTCTATTGTGTCACGGTTTCGGCCGAGGCTGCCTCTCTTCCTTGTTCGGGCAGGCTTCGGCGTTCGTTGTCTCCGGAATACTAGCTGCCACCGTTGTATGTTTCATGTTCGTTTGCTTTTGTCTGTTTGTTGTGACACCTGTTCTCGTTTAGCGTAATTAGTGTCCTATAAGTTTCTCGTTGTGTTTGTCTAGTGTTGTGTGTGATTGATTTATTTTCTGTCGTGTGTTGCTTGTTTATTGCATTCTCGCTCGGTTGAGCTTCACTCCACTGCGTTGGAGCATTTTCGCACATGTTTAGTGCGCCTTTATTTTTGTCGCCTTCGTGCATAATTTCGCCTTCGGGCAAGTGTGCTCGTATTTTCCTTGTTGGAAATAGTACTAAAGTCTTTTGGACTATACTTCGGTGTCCTGCGCTTGATTCCACCACTACACCCACCTACAGCACTCTTGACAGAATCACACACCTTCAAGATGGAATCAGCAGGAGCCGCAGCAGCCCAGGCGACGCTGGAGGACAAGGTCCGGGAACAAAGTGACCAGATCCTGCAGATGGGGTCCGCACTGCAGGAGGTGATCACCACCATCCGAGGCTGGGGGACTCCTCCACCGCCACCCTCCCTGCCAGCACCATCGGCCAGTCAGCCCATTCCTGCTCCGGAACCCCGAGGAGTTCGACTCTCGCTCCCGAGGGCCTACGATGGGACCGCGGCCGGGTGTCAGAGATTCCTTCTCCAGGTGGAGCTATACCTGGCCACCGTGCACCCGGCGCCCTCGGGACATGAGAGCGTGTCCGCCCTGATCTCCTGCCTTTCCGGGAAGGCGTTGGAATGGGCCAACGCGGAGTGGAGGAGGATCGACGCGGATACCATCACCTACGACGAGTTCTCCCGCCGCTTCAGGGCGGTGTTTGACCATCCCCCGGAGGGGAAAGCGGCGGGGGAGCGTCTGCTCTTCCTCCGACAAGGGAGGAGGAGTGCCCAGGAGTTCGCCCTCGAATTCCGTACTCTAGCGGCAGATGCAGGGTGGAATGAGCGGGCTCTCATCGATCACTACAGATGTAGTCTTCGCGAGGACGTCCGTCGGGAGCTGGCCTGTAGGGACACCAGCCTCACGTTCGACCAGTTGGTCGACATGTCTATCAGGCTCGATAACCTGCTAGCTACCCGCGGACGTTCCGAGGGGGGTCCGTCCATTTCACCCTCCAGCGCCTCCGAGCCGTGCCCCATGGAGCTCGGGGGCGCTGGCGCTAGAGAGAGGAGGGGTCGGCTTACGAGGGGGTCCATCTCCTGCACCAACTGTGGTCGGGGAGGACACACCGCGGCTAGGTGCTGGGGATGGCCTCCTAGGGGAAAGGGACGACAGGTCCCGCACTGGGGATTCCTTCCAGGTGAGTAGGCGCCCCACTCACCCAGAGCTCTCTGTTGCACATTTCTGTATACCTGTGCGTTTTCCACAGGTAGCACCTCATTCCCAGCATAAGGCGCTGGTAGATTCAGGCGCGGCTGGGAATTTTGTTGATAAGAAGTTTTGTTTAGCCTTAGGGATTCCCCTTCTTCCTGTTGATGTCCCTTTCCCCGTTCATGACCTAGATAGCCGTCCGTTGGGTGCGGGCTTAATCAGGGAGGTCACTGCGCCACTTAGGATGTGTGCGCAGGGGGGTCATCAGGAGATGATTCAGCTATTTCTGATTGACTCGCCTGCGTATCCGGTGGTGCTGGGCATGCCCTGGTTGAGTACCCATAACCCATCTATTTCGTGGCAGGAGAGGGCTCTGATGGAGTGGTCTGCCCAGTGTGTGGGTCGATGTTTGGGCGTTTCCGTAGGGGCTACCTCGGTGGAGAGTCCAAACCAGGTGCCCGCATTGCACGTTCCCCCTGAGTTTGGGGATTTGGCTATTGCGTTTAGTAAGTCGAGGGCGACGCGGTTGCCGCCCCATAGGCAGGGAGATGTGCGATAGACCTCCAGTGCGATAGACCTCCAGGCAGGAGCTGCGCTTCCACGGAGCCATGTGTATCCTCTGTCTCAGGAGGAGAAGAAAGCTATGGAGACTTACATAGACGAATCTCTGAGACAAGGATACATACGGCCTTCCACTTCCCCTGCGTCCTCGAGTTTCTTTTTTGTGAAGAAAAAGGATGGTGGTTTACGCCCGTGCATCGATTACCGTGGTCTCAATCAGATCACGGTGAAGTATAGTTATCCACTCCCGCTGATTGCGACCATGACTGAGTCTTTGCATGGGGCGCGTTTCTTCACTAAATTAGATCTCAGGAGCGCGTACAACTTGGTGCGCATCAGGGAGGGCGATGAATGGAAGACAGCCTTTAGTACCACCTCGGGCCATTACGAGTATCTTGTCATGCCATACGGGTTGATGAACGCTCCGTCAGTTTTCCAATCATTCGTGGATGAGATCTTCAGGGACATGCAGGGGCAGGGGGTGGTTGTGTACATAGATGACATTCTCGTGTACTCGCCTACCCGTGTCGAGCATGTGGCCCTGGTGCGCAGAGTGTTGCGGAGGCTGGTGGAGCACGACCTGTATGTTAAGGCAGAGAAGTGTCTGTTTTTCCAGGAGTCGGTCTCCTTTTTGGGGTATCAGTTGTCTGCGTCAGGGGTGAAGATGGAGGTAGACCGGGTGTCAGCCGTGCGTAATTGGCAAACGCCAACTACTGTGAAGGAGGTGCAGCAGTTTTTGGGGTTTGCGAATTACTACCGGAGGTTTATCTGGGGTTTTGGACAGGTGGCAGCTCCCATCACGTCTCTTTTGAAGGGGGGTCCGGTGCGTCTGCAGTGGTCTGCCGAGGCGGACAGGGCGTTTGGGAGGCTGAAGGACCTGTTTACCTCGGCCCCGGTGCTGGCGCATCCGGATCCCTCTTTGCCATTTCAGGTAGAGGTGGACGCGTCTGAGGCCGGTATAGGAGCCGTGCTTTCACAACGGTCAGGCGCGCCACCTAAACTCCGCCCCTGTGCTTTTTATTCTAAGAAGCTCAGTCCGGCGGAGCGAAACTATGACGTAGGGGACAGGGAGCTGTTAGCCGTGGTACAGGCCCTAAAGGTGTGGAGGCACTGGCTTGAGGGGGCTCAACACCCTTTCCTCATTTTGACGGACCACCGTAACCTGGAGTACATCCGGGCAGCGAGGAGGCTGAACCCTCGTCAGGCAAGATGGAGCATGTTTTTGACCCGGTTTACATTTAAGATCACGTACATCCCTGGGTCACAGAACGGTAAGGCAGATGCACTGTCTCGGCGGTATGACACGGAGGAGAGGTCCGTGGAGCCCACTCCCATACTGCCGGAGTCGTGTCTGGTGGCACCGGTAGTGTGGGAGGTCGATGCTGAGCTCGAGCGGGCGTTACGCACCGACCCTAGTCCACCACAATGCCCGGAGGGTCGGAAGTACGTTCCGCTCGAGGTTCGGGATCGATTGATCTATTGGGCTCACACGTCACCCTCCTCTGGACACCCTGGTATCGGCCGGACAGTGCACTGTCTTAGTGCCAAGTACTGGTGGCCCACGTTGGCAAGGGATGTGAGGGTTTATGTTTCCTCCTGCTCGGTGTGCGCCCAGTGTAAGGCGCCTAGACATCTGCCTAGGGGTAAGTTAATACCCCTGTCCGTTCCACAACGACCATGGTCTCACCTCTCTGTGGATTTCCTTACTGACCTTCCTCCTTCACAGGGGAATACCACTATACTGGTCGTTGTGGACCGGTTTTCTAAGGCCTGTCGTTTGCTCCCCATGCCGGGCCTTCCTACCGCCCTGCAAACTGCCGAAGCACTATTCACCCATGTGTTCCGGCACTACGGGGTACCCGAGGATATTGTGTCTGATCGAGGTCCCCAATTTACCTCCAGGGTCTGGAGAGCCTTTATGGAGCGGTTGGGGGTCTCGGTGAGCCTCACCTCGGGTTACCACCCGGAGAGTAATGGGCAGGTGGAACGCGTGAACCAGGATGTGGGTAGGTTTCTTAGAACATACTGCCAGGACCGGCCGGAGGAGTGGGCAAGGTACGTTCCCTGGGCCGAGATGGCCCAGAATTCCCTACGCCATTCCTCCACTAACCTAACCCCTTTCCAATGTGTGTTGGGTTACCAGCCGGTTCTGGCACCTTGGCAGCAGAGCCAGATCGAGGCTCCTGCGGTGGATGAGTGGGCGCGGCGCTCGGAGGAGACGTGGAACGCTGCACACGTCCACCTGCAGCGGGCCCTCCGACGTCATAAGGCGAGCGCCGATCTCCACCGCAGTGAGGGACCGGTGTACGCACCTGGTGATCGAGTCTGGCTCTCTACCAGAAACCTGCCCCTCCGCCTGCCCTGTCGGAAACTGGGTCGGCGGTTTGTAGGGCCATTTAAGGTCCTGAGAAGGTTGAACGAGGTGTGTTACAAATTACAACTACCTGTTGAATATAAAAGTATTAACCCCTCGTTCCATGTGTCCCTTCTCAGGCCGGTGGTAGCTGGCCCACTCCAAGAAAGTGAGATCAGGGAGACTCCTCCGCCCCCATTGGACATCGAGGGGGCACCGGCGTACTCCGTGAGTTCCATCTTGGATTCGAGACGTCGGATGGGGGGTCTCCAGTATCTAGTGGAGTGGGAGGGGTACGGTCCGGAGGAACGGTGCTGGGTGCCGAGGAGAGACATTTTGGACCCGTCTCTCCTGACGGAATTCCATCGTGGGCACCCGACGCACCCTGCTCCGCGTCCTCCGGGTCGTCCCCGAGGCCGGAGTCAGCGCACGTCTGGAGCCGCGCGTCAAGGGGGGGGGTACTGTCACGGTTTCGGCCGAGGCTGCCTCTCTTCCTTGTTCGGGCAGGCTTCGGCGTTCGTTGTCTCCGGAATACTAGCTGCCACCGTTGTATGTTTCATGTTCGTTTGCTTTTGTCTGTTTGTTGTGACACCTGTTCTCGTTTAGCGTAATTAGTGTCCTATAAGTTTCTCGTTGTGTTTGTCTAGTGTTGTGTGTGATTGATTTATTTTCTGTCGTGTGTTGCTTGTTTATTGCATTCTCGCTCGGTTGAACTTCACTCCACTGCGTTGGAGCATTTTCGCACATGTTTAGTGCGCCTTTATTTTTGTCGCCTTCGTGCGTAATTTCGCCTTCGGGCAAGTGTGCTCGTATTTTCCTTGTTGGAAATAGTACTAAAGTCTTTTGGACTATACTTCGGTGTCCTGCGCTTGATTCCACCACTACACCCACCTACAGCACTCTTGACATATTGCCATGGACGTCACGTATCGTTTTGTTGTTTTGTTCGTGTGATCATTAAAAATAAAAGTATGTTAGTATTCCACGCTGCGCCTTGGTCCACTTCCTCCAGCGATCGTGACAGAAGATCCCACCATAACTGGACCAAGCAGCGTGTCCAGGAGCCAACGCCAGAGAGGGCTCTAAAGGATATCAACCTCGACTGGGTCAAGCCGCGGGAGGAGGAGAGAAGCTGGACTTGGGAGCAGAGGAGCGAGAGTCTGGCGAGAGCCATGGAGGCCTGGCCCACGGGGAGGAGAGATGGCCAGACATTTTTTAGGGGGGGGCTCACGCCGTGGACGACGGGGCAGCAGGAGGCCGGGATAGAGTGGTTCAGCGGGTTGGCAAAGGAGGCCGCCAGGTTACGGGAGTCACTGGTCACCAGGGGGAAGGAGAATGTAGAGGCACGGCGAGAGGTACTGGGGTGTGTCCCCAGTACGGTCCGGCTTGTTCCTGTCCCTCGCACCGAGCCTGTGGTGCGCGTCGCCAGCCCGGTCCGGCATGTTCCTGCCCCTTGCACCAAGCCTGTGGTGCGCGTCGCCAGCCCGGTCCGGCCTGTTCCTGCCCCTCGCACCAAGCCAGTGGTGCGCGTCGCCAGCCCGGTCCGGCCCGTTCCTGCTTCCCGCACCAAGCCAGTGGTGCGCGTCGTCAGCCCGTTTTGGTCCGTTCCTGCTCCCCGCACCAAGCCAGTGGTGCGCTTCGTCAGCCCGGTTCGGCCCGTCCCTGCTCCCCGCACCAAGCCTGTGGTGCGCGTCGTCAGCCCGGTCCGGCCTGTTCCTGCTCCCCGCACCAAGCCAATGGTGCGTGTCGTCAGCCCGGTCCGGCCTGTTCCTGCTCCCCGCACCAAGCCTGTGGTGCGCGTCGTCAGTCCGGCACAGCCCGTGCCTGGGTCACCGGTGCCTGGTCAGGTACCGGTTAGCTGCTCCACATCGGAGCCTGAGCGATCCGCTCCACCGATGTCCAGTCCAGATCCAGCCAGCAGGGCCAGACCGGACCAGGGGCGCTATGGGGGGTTTGTTGGAGGGCTGGCTCTGGGACTCTTATGTTGAGCCAGGGTGGGTTGTTTCTATGTGTTTTGTGTGCTAGGTTGTTTATCTAGTTCATTTGTTTCAATGTTGGCCGGTGTGGTTCTCAATCAGAGGCAACATGAATCAGCTGTTGCTTGTTGTCTCTGATTGGGAACCATACTTAGGTAGCCTGTTTTGCCACAGTGTTTGTGGGATCTTGTTCCGTGTTTGGTTAGTGTCTATTGCCAAGGACGTCACGTATCGTTTTGTTCGTGTGATCATAAAAAATAAAAGTATGTTCGCATTCCACGCTGCGCCTTGGTCCTCTGTGTTCGACGATCGTGACAGTTTTATGTCAGTTAGGATCACCACTTTATTTTAAGAATGTGAAATGTCAGAATAATAGTAGAGAGTTTGACTTACTTCAGCTTTTATTTCTTTCATCACATTCCCAGTGGGTCAGAAGTTTACATACACTCAATTAGTATTTGGTAGCATTGCCTTTAAATTGTTTAACTTGGGTCAAACATTTCGGGTAGTCTTCCACAAGCTTCCCACTATAAGTTGGGTGAATTTTGGCCCATTCCTCCTGACAGAGCTGGTGTAACAGTCAGGCTTGTAGGCCTCCTTGCTCGCACACGCTTTTTCAGTTCTGCCCACAAATGTTCTATAGGATTGAGGTCAGGGCTTTGTGATGGCCACTCCAATACCTTGACTTTGTTGCCCTTAAGCCATTTTGCCACAACTTTGGAAGTATTCTTGGGGTCATTGTCCATTTGGAAGACCCATTTGCGACCAAGCTTTAACTTCCTGACTGATGTCTTGAGATGTTGCTTCAACATATCCACATAATTTTCCTTCCTTATGATACCATCTATTTTGTGAAGTGCATCAGTCCCTCCTGCAGCAAAGCACCCCCACAGCGTGATGCTGCCACCCCCGTGCTTCACGGTTGGGATTGTGTTCTTCGGCTTGCAAGGTACCCCCTTTTTCCTCCAAACATAACGATGGGCATTATGGCCAAACAGTTCTATTTTTGTCGATATAGGACTCGTTTTACTGTGGATATAGATACTTTTGTACCTGTTCCTTCTAGCATCTTCACAAGGTCCTTTGCTGTTGTTCTGGGATTGATTTGCACTTTTCGCACCAAAGTACGTTAATCTCTAGGAGACAGAACGCGTCTCCTTCCTGAGAGGTATGACGGCTGCGTGGTCCCATGGTGTTTATACTTGCGTACTATTGTTTGTACAAATGAACGTGGTACCTTCAGGCATTTGGAAATTGCTCCCAAGGATGAACCAGACCTGTGGAGGTCTTGGCTGATTTATTTTGATTTTCCCATGATGTCAAGCAAAGAGGCACTGAGTTTGAAGGTAGGCCTTGAAATACATCCACAGGTACACCTCCAATTGACTCAAATGATGTCAATTAGCCTATCAGAAGCTTCTAAAGCCATGACATCATTTTCTGGAATTTTCCAAGCTGTTTAAAGGCACAGTCAACTTCGTGTATGTAAACTTCTGACCCACTGGAATTGTGATACAGTGAATTATAAGTGAAATAATCTGTCTGTAAACAATTGTTGGAAAAATTACTTGTGTCATGCACAAAGTAGATGTCCTAACCGACTTGCCAAAACTATAGTTTGTTAACAAGAAATTTGTGGAGTGGTTGAAAAATGAGTTTTAATGACTCCAACCTAAGTGTATGTAAACTTCCGACTTCAATTGTACGTACAATACTGTTGCAAAAGGAAATCCAATCCCTTACAGAGTGAATGCATTTCCAGTAGTATTCTACTTTAGTTTATGCATTTCAATCCACAAGAACAGCTCAAGTATTTAAAAGTATGACATATGTATTTGACCCAGGTCTTACCAGCTTACCATTCACCCCAATAAATGAAACAACCTCTTTTCAGGAAGTGGAAATTCAGTCTGTCTACATGGACGTGAAAATTAACAACAGTATATATACAGTTTCTGAAAAGTGGTATGGGCCAAACATGTGCGTCTCAGTATTCGCAGAGGTGTAAAGATATGCCATCTCTTGCATTCCTGTTCTTTGCAGGTGTTGAGAGACTCCAATTCCTCTCAGGATTTTGTCCACAACTCAGTGAGGTGGTTTCTATAATTGCTATTGTTCAAGGTCGCTATTGAGCTTTCTGGAATAATTGCTGAACATCTTGTGCAATCAACTTGATGAAGGGAAACAGCCCAGTGGAAATAACAGGCACATTTCACCTTCTGTCTAGACACACTGAGGAAACCCTCTCATTACTGGTTATGAAACACAAACTGCCAGACAAACAGCACAGGCACAGGCAAAATCCTAGCGGAAAACCGGGTAAATTCTGCTTTCCAACAAAACGAATCATACGGGGATGATTTCTGTATTTTTTAAGTTACATACTGTATCTTGACAACTTGATTGCTGACAAGCAAAACATTTTGGGACTATGACAACAATGGACTAATGAAACAAATACCTAAAAGATCGTTTTTGGGTGGAATTTTCATTTAAACAAAATATTTTTCTCTGAGCAAATGTATTAGTATAAAATAATATAATTTCTCCATTTTTTTTTAGCATACAATATAGCTCAGTATTTGTATTATTTATTTCATACACAGTATTTTTTGCTCAACTTAATCAAGGGTGCCAATAATTTCAGATGTGACTGTACATTTTCTATCAACATTGAAACAGCCCATTAAGCGAAAGTTTAAATTAAATATATTACGTATGTTACAGGGACAAAAAGTTATTTGAGATAGACATGGAAATATGAGCCCTAAAAGTATTTTGGTTTCTCATACCCAAGCTGCCCAACTCCATAACAACTATTAACAAAGACTAGTTCTAGAACAGTATGCCTGATAGCCATGGGCTCTCACCTGATACGACTGCATCTCCATTGAGAAACAAGGTTAGACCCATCAGCATCATAATCCCCAGTGAGAGTATGTAGGGCCTCCGTCGGCCCCACGAGGACCTGCAGTAGTCACTGGCCGAGCCGATGATGGGCTGCAGAAGAAAGCCCAGGATAGGGCTGATCAGCCACACAAGGCTGTACAAACTCTGAGGGAGTCCCACACTGAGCAGCACCGGCGTGACGAAGGCCGCCTCCACTGCATAGCAAAATTCCCTTCCAAACATCACCATGCCATGCAGCAGCAGCCTGCCCCGAGAGCGCCTGGGAGGCTCCACCACCCCAAATACAACGGGCTCCATACTGTCCAAGTAGTCCTCCTTCGTAGACTCTCCAGAGTCCACACTCTCCACTGAGTAATGGTCCAGACCTGTGGTGCGTGTCCCGGGCTCCGGGAGCCTGCATGGCTGGGGTTGGTCCTCTGTGAGCAGGGTCATATCTACTGGGGGAGACTGAGGGTGGATGGGTGTAGCTCTCAGCCTCCTGTCAATGACAAACAGCCCAATCTCTGCTTCTCTGCTCCAGCTAGCTAATCCTCTACTGCATAGTTGAGCAATGAGACTAACTAGCCACAAGTCCTGAGGTGAGGAGAGGAAAAGAGAGGTTGACCAGAGGAAGTGGGGAGGAGAGGGGGTGTGGCTGTTCGTTCAAACTTAGATGAATGAAGTGTTTAACTTTTTTTTTTTTACCACGTGACTAGGATTGTGGCTTTTAACCCAGCCTCACAACACTACATTCCTTTCCTTCAAAATGATTCCTGGAACAATTTAGAGTTCCATGAAATTATCAGTTGATAATGGATTACCAGAAAGTCAGTTATCCTAAAAGAGAAATGTACAACTCTGCAAAAGCACGTTACATTGCATGTAAATCTGAATCCTTGCTTGCCTCTTTTTATGCAGTTCACTCACAAGGGCTCTTTTGTGGTCTCCTGGTGCTCTGCTTGTGTGCACATTAGGTTTATCAAATGATGTAGCATGTGATCCCTTGTTGTAACCACTTTGATGGAGGAGTGGAGGGGGGGATGGAGGAGGATGGCCAGCCAACGTATTAACAGTATACAATTCCTCGAAGAGAAGCCGTCCACACGTGACTATGACGAACACATACCCGTACCATTACACTGGATGCCCAAGACAAGGTTGTACCCTCTGCAGTTGAACATGTTTATTTCCTCTATGTATTATCATTCAGTTTCTAATACGTCATAATAGTGTATTTCTCATGACACTAGCTAGCTCGTCCTACCACAGTCATGTGAAACATTGAGGCAATTCCCAGAGTTTCTCATGGGAGCCCTGCCCGCCACCCTTCTCCCGCCCTCCTGCCGCCCCCGTCAGAGGACCCTGAGGAGGCGTCAGAGGGGCTCAACCCAGGAGGCAGTCAGATGCTTAGAGTCAGACAGATTAAAAGGCCACATTCTCACCAGACCTTGAGTCCTAGGGTCACTAACGTAGACACATTGTGTTCCAGAGTTAAACATACCAATGAGTGAGGCCTACATACGATCACTTGTTTGAGGGGACAATCGATAGAGTACTTTGAGTGGAGGAAGTGAACATTCTTAACTAACCATGAGGGACCACATTGATGAGTTATGCTAGAGGCATTTGAAACAGTAGAATTGTGAACTGTACTTCAAAACACAACCTCTACGGTCCTTTACTTGCCTTTATGGATGAATGAACATTCATATAAAGGTGGTCCATCAGGTCATTGTCTTGTGTCAGATACAGTAAGAGACGAACGATGCGTAGGAGTGACACCACCCGTCGGAAGACAATGCCATCAGGCTAGATAAATGATGCTAGTTGCATTTGAAACTGATATTGTGTACACACACACAATCTCTATGGTCATTTACTTTCCTTTATGCCCTGTTTGGCATGTCAAAACTGATAATGTACAGAAAAAATAAAATGTATTTATGGTCAGAATTTACTCTGTAGTTTTAGAGTTAGATTACATGTAATGGTTTATAAGGTGGAAAGGCAAAGCAGTGGTAATCTTAATAGTAGTAGTTACATTATCCTCTATGAAGGACATGCTCAAAGCAGGAATGTGAAATGGGATTCTGGCATTCCGACAGGTGGCTCCTTTTTTTTTAACCTTTATTTAACTAGGCAAGTCAGTTAAGAACAAATTCTTATTTACAATGACGGCCTACACTGGCCAAACCCGGACGACGCTGGGCCAATTGTGCGCCGTCCTATGGGACTCCCAATCACGGCCGGTTGTGATACAGCCTGGAATTGAACCAGGGGGTCTGTAGTGACGTCTCAAGCACTGAGATGCAGTGCCTTAGACCGGTGCGCCACTCGGGAGCCCAGGAAGTATAATAAAAAAAAAATGGGGGAAATTAAAACAGGTGCCCATCCATTGTAGATGAAAATCCTTAGTATATTATCGGTTTACAATATTGATTGTTATATAGTTTATGCATGTAGCAAATTATATTCTGACTTAAAGCTCTGTATCTATAGTTTGGGGTGATACTTATATTATCAAATAGCATTCTAGGCTTCAGAACATCATGCATTACATAGTTCTAACAGTAGTACTACAAAATTAAATAAGGAAGAAACATAACCTTAAAGAATTTTAATACAACTTGTCAAAGAGTATTATTAATAAGGAGCCCATTCACCTTTCAAAAATTCTAGATAAAATACAGGCAGCTCAGTCAAAAGCTGAGAAACCTTTTTAAAAATAGAATTACAAAGACCATTCAGAGGCACATTGACACAATCATGTAGAATCATCATTAACCTTAGGTAAATGTTATGACTAATATGAAAGAGAACTTACAGTCACGGGTCATCACTCGGTCCTCCTCCTTCTGCTCTCCCTTCGTCTCGTAATGACATATTGCCATTGCTATTTAGCTATTAACATAACTACAATTTAAATGGTACAGTACAAACCCTTAATGAGTCAACAGGGCTTGCAGTAGATGTTTTGCAGTCAAATGAATTAACTACTGAAGCAATTAGAAGAACACTATTACTACAAACATCTGTGAGTTAAATACAACAATAACAATTATATGAATTAATTGCATTTGCAGTGTGATTCATCCAAGGGATCCAAGTACTTCATGCTTGAATAGTACCCATACCAGCGACGCATGGCACACTACAGTTGAAGTCGGAAGTTTACATACACCTCAGCCAAATACATTTTAACTCAGTTTCAAAATTCCTGACATTTAATCCTAGTAGAAATTCCCTGTTTTAGGACAGTTAGGATCACCACTTTATTTTAAGAATGTGAAATGTCAGAATAATAGTATAGAGAATTATTTATTTTAGTTTTTATTTCTTTCATCACATTCCCAGTGGGTCAGAAGTTTACATACACTCAATTAGTATTTGGTAGCATTGCCTTTAAATTGTTTAACTTGGGTCAAACGTTTCGGGTAGTCTTCCACAAGCTTCCCACAATAAGTTGGGTGAATTTTGGCCCATTCCTCCTGACAGAGCTGGTGTAACTGAGTCTGGTTTGTAAGCCTCCTTGCTCGCACACGCTTTTTCAGTTCTGCCCACAAATGTTCTATAGGATTGAGGTCAGGGCTTTGTGATGGCCACTCCAATACCTTGACTTTGTTGCCCTTAAGCTATTTTACCACAACTTTGGAAGTATGCTTGGGGTCATTGTCCATTTGGAAGACCCATTTGCGACCAAGCTTTAACTTCCTGACTGATGTCTTGAGATGTGGCTTCAATATATCCACATAGTTTTCCATCCTCATGATGCCATCTATTTTGTGAAGTGCACCAGTCCCTCCTGCAGCAAAGCACCCACACAGCATGATGGTGCCACCCCGTGCTTCATGGTTGGGATGGTGTTCTTCGGCTTGCAAGCTGCCCCCTTTTTCCTCCAAACATAACGATGGTCATTATGGCCAAACAGTTCTATTTTTGTTTCATCAGACCAGAGGACATTTCTCCAAAAAGTACGATCTTTGTCCCCATGTGCAGTTGCAAACCGTAGTCTGTCTTTTTTATGGCGGTTTTGGAGCAGTGGCTTCTTCCTTGCTGAGCGGCCTTTCAGGTTATGTCGATATAGGACTGGTTTTACTGTGGATATAGATATTGTTGTACCTGTTTCCTCCAGCATCTTCACAAGGTCCTTTGCTGTTCTTCTGGGATTGATTTGCACTTTTCGCACCAAAGTACGTTCATCTCTAGGAGACAGAACGCATCTCCTTCCTGAGAGGTATGACAGCTGCGTGGTCCCATGGTGTTTACACTTGCGTACTATTGTTTGTACAGATGAACGTGGTACCTTCAGGCATTTGGAAATTGCTCCCAAGGATGAACCAGACTTGTGGAGGTCTACAATTGTTTTTCTGAGGTCTTGGCTGATTTCTTTTGATTTTCCCATGATGTCAAGCAAAGAGGCACTGAGTTTGAAGGTAGGCCTTGAAATACATCCACAGGTACACCTCCAATTGACTCAAATGATGTCAATTAGCCTATCAGAAGCTTCTAAAGCCATGACATCATTTTCTGGAATTTTCCAAGATGTTTAAAGGCACAGTCAATTTAGTGTCTATAAACTTCTGATCCACTGGAATTGTGATACAGTGAATTATAAGTGAAATAATCTGTCTGTGAACAATTTGTTGGAAAAATTACTTGTGTCATGCACAAAGTAGATGTCCTAACTGACTTGCCAAAACTCTAGTTTGTTAACAAGAAATTTGTGGAGTGGTTGAAAAACAAGTTTTAATGACTCCAACCTAAGTGTATGTAAACCTCCGATTTCAACTGTAGGCAGGGGTTAGTAGGGGTGCCAGACAGGTGCGGAGCTCGGGGTCACCTCTCCCTGGGCATCCCTGTGGAAGGAGGCCCTCTCCTGGTTATGGTGGTGAGAGATCACCTCATCCATAGAGAGAACGGGAGTCACACAGACATTCGTCCCGTCAAACACATGACCCCACTCCTCCTGGGTCTTAGTGGCAAACTACTTAGTGAAGATCTGCCTCAGCTCTGGCCAATAGGAGAAGCTCATCTGGGGAGGAAAATTGACAGCATCCAATCCCAGGCCTAGAAAAAGTGATATGCAAATGATAAGATATTATAAGTTTTTTAAATTATATGAGAAAATAATATTCCATTTTATTTGGAACGGCAAGCCAGACAAAATTAAACGGGCCTATTTATATAATGAATATGAATTCGGAGGACAAAAATGATTAAATATTAAAGCATTAGACCTATCACTAAAAGCTTCAGTCATACAAAAGTTATACTTAAATCGGAACTGGTTCTCTAGCAAATTAGTAAGATTGTCTCACCCAATGTTCAAGAATGGCCTTTTTCCCTTTATTCAGATTACAACCTCTCACTTTCAGTTATTTGATAAGGAAATAATCTCCCAAATATCACTATTCCTAAAACAAGCCATAGAAAGTTGGTTGCAATTTCAATTTAATCCTCCAGAAACGACAGAACAAATAATGCAACAAATATTGTGGTTAAACTCAAATATACTAATTGATAAAACAAACTATTTTTTTTTACAAAATGTTTAAAAAAGGTATAATCTTCGTAAATGATATTATCAGTAGGACTGGTGGAGTTATGTCGCACATGCAGCTAACAAAAACATATGGAAATGTCTGCTCTACCCAAAATTACAACCAAATAATTGCAGCATTACCGCAAAAATGGAAAAGGAAAGTGGAAGGGGGAAAAAGTAAGGAACTTGTCTGTCAGCCTTGCATTAAATAATATAATTGGTTTAAAAAAAATTGTGATAAAAGTATACCAGTTTCATTTAAGGACCAAAGGATTGACAGCCGTCCCATATAGATTGCAAAATAGTTGGGAAGAGATTTTTGACGTACCGATTCCATGGCATAGTGTTTATGAATTGATACGCAAAACGACGCCGGATTCCAAACTTAGAATTTTTCTATTTAAATTATTATATAAAATTCTTGCTACCAATATAATGTTATTTATATGGGGATACAATCTTCCCAGCTCTGCAGATTTTGCTGTGAAGAGACAGAATCATTAGATCATTTGTTTTGGTACTGTCCATTTGTAGCTTGTTTTTGGACACAGGTCCAGGAATGGCTAAAGGATTGCAATATTTACCTGGAGCAAACGCTGCAGATAGCACTACTGGGTGATCTGAAAAGTCATAGTCAAT